ATTCTAAAGACGAAATGTTCACACATACAGATGGGGCCACCCATCGTGAGTCAGGCCAAGCTGACATTTCTGCAGAGGGTTTTCTGTGACAAGATGTTCTTTGCAAGTGTGTGGAAGTAGGTCACGGACACGGTCATTTCTTTGTTAAGCCACTGGCGTTGGTCACCATTTCTCATTGTTCTAAAGTAATCTTAATGTTTTAAGATTCAAACTAAGATGATTCGCTCAGCATTCAAGTTTCATTGTCACCAAACGTAAAAAGATTGCAGGCACTTGTTAGCTGTTATTAAAAAGACCACCACTGGGCTTCCCTGGTAGTGCATGGGTTAAGTCTCGACCCTGTCAAGTTATTGCCAGCCACTGTGGCTTGAGTTAGATCCCCAGCCAGGGAGCTGACCCACATGGCACAGCAGACCTCTCCTGCCTCCCTGCTGCTCCCCTCAGCAGTGTATTTCAGTAGATCCACCTGTTCTGCTCCCCACTCTGTCTCTGGTGAATCTTCTCACCCCTTGCACCTCTGGCCTGTACCCCAGCTCTTGTATAAATAAATAGATAAAAATAAATCTTTTAAAAAATTTACTAGTATAGGGCCTCCCTGGTGGCGCAGCGGTTGAGCGCTGGGTTGCGAAGCTGCCCGCAGCCTCTGCGGCACCGGCTCGATCCCTGGCTGCTCCCCAGCCACCAGAGGAGGGTCCCACATGGCGCGCAGACCTCTCCTGCCGCCCGCTGCTCCCCTCAGCAGTGTACTTCGGTCCTTCTGCCTGCTCTGCTCCCCGCTCTGGCTCTGGTGAATTCTCTCACCCTCCCACGCCTCTGACTGTAGCCAGGGCTTGTATAAACAAACAAACAAACAAATAAATAAAGCATGCCTCTATTAAAAAAAATGCATTTAAAAAATTTACTGGTATAAAGTTGTTTATAATATCCTCTTCTTATATTTTTAATAACTGTAAAATCTTTAGTGTGGTGACCTCTCTTACTGACTTTGATAATTTTTGTCTCTGTGTGTGTTTAATTAGACTGGCTAGACATTTGTAAATTTCACTGGTCTTCTCAAAGGACCAAATTTTAGTTTCATTGACTTTTTTTCCTTATTGTTTTCCTACTTTATATTCCAGAGATTTCAGGTCTGATCTATATTTCCTGTCTTCAACTTTCTTTAGATTTCATTTACTCTTTCCCACCCCACCCCCCATTTTCTTAAAGTAGAAGCTGATGTCTTTGATTTGTGCTCTTTTCTCTCCCACAGTAGACACTGTGCTATAAACCTGCCCCTGAGGATGGCTTCGAACCTTGCGATGGTGGATATAGCCGAGTCCATGCAATGACTTAGAAGACGTAAAGCCTGGAGACACAGCAAGAGATGAAAGGACAACTCACTGCACGGAACTGGCACGTGGAGAATTTGGAGAAAGGTGGGTTATTTAGTGTAGTGGAGAAAGGGCAGGCAGAGATACAGCAAAGGATAAAGCTGGGGATAAAGAGGGGACAGATAACAAATGGTTTTAGTCTGAGAGCAGTAGGAATCAGTGAAGAATTCTAGGCAGAGGGTGGCATGAAAATATTTGCATTTCACAAAGATCGCCCCGGTGGGCAGGCGGCACTGCAGTCAGGAACACCAGGTAGAAGGTGTTCTGGTGCCCGTGCAGATGACGGGTGTGGTGGCAGCGGGATGGAAAGACTCAAGTGATACAAGAACTAAAATCAACCGCTGACAAAGACGTAGGGGAGAGGGCGAGGGAGGGTCAGATGAGCGGGACCAGACAGGAGGGAAGAGTTACCCGCAGGGAGGGACGAGGGGCCGAGCGGGGTCAGGACCGATTTCAGTCTGGGGCACCCTGAGGCGTGCAGGTGGAGTGACCGAGAAGGCAGGTGCGGACGTGGGTTGGGGGAGAGGAAACGGCCGCCCGCAGTGTGAGGGCGATGAAGTGGGGCGTTGTGACTGGGTGAACGGCCCGTGGGGCGTGTACTGTGTGGGAAGGGAGCCAAGATGAAAAATCAAGGCCTCTGCTTCAAAGAACTCAGCGGGCCCGGGGCCGCGCGCCAGGCCGTGCCCGCCGTCGAGCGGAGGCCGGGCTCACAGCCCGCGCGGGCCAGGCCGCCGCCTCCGTCCCGCCGCGCACACCGGGGCCCCGCATCTCCCGAGCCTCCCGCGACTCCCGGGCGAGGCCGCCCTCCGAGCGGGGCCGCCGAGCCCGAGCCCCGGACGGTCCGAGGGTGGAGACTGGCGTCCCGGCGCCAGCCCAGCGGGGAGGCCCGGCCCCCCGAGGCCCGCGTGGTCGCGGCGGCAGTCGGCCCTGCTCGGGCGGCCGTTGCCATGGGAACACGCGGAGCCGCCGCAGCTCGCGAGCGCCGCCTGCAGGCGGGAGGGGCCGGCGCCTCCCCGCACCGCCCCGCAGCGAGTCCCCGCCCCGGGCCGGATCCCCCGACCTCGGGGCTGGGAGGACTAGGTTCTGCAGACTCCCCTCCTCTTGGGGTTCAACAGGTTGGCGCTGTAACTGATGGCATCTACGTTAGGCAGTAGGAGCACGCGTACGTGACGTCGCCTTTTCCGGCCTCGGTTTTTGCTGCTCCACCTGACACCTCCACCACCGTCAGGACAAAATGGCCCCATTACACACGGGTCCTGCAGACCCGTGAGGGCCCGCACAGTTATGGGTGTTCCTACAATGAACACCAGTATTTGAACCCCTTGATTTGCACGATTGTGTAGTTTTCTGGGTGAAGCAAACCACTTTCAGAGGTCACCTAAGGCTGCTTATGGGAACACTGCAGGGTTCTTCTCCCACGGTCTGCCCCCCTGCATTTACATCATAGATGCATGTATCAGATAAATGTATGTATTGATAGGCTTTTTGCAATGTAGGGAATAAAAGGACCGAAACACAATGGGCAAAAGGCTAGTTTTTGCACTATTCATTCTCTTCCATATTGTCTTCCTGTTATCTGATCTTTGGATCTTTTTTTCTGGGAGATTTTTAAATCCTTCTCCGAGTCTTTTCTTATTTTAGCAATCACTTTAACTCCTTCAACTTGTTTTTGGATCCAGATGCTTCTTTTTTCATATTATTATTATGGATTTTTTTTTTTAATTCATGCATACAAGAGTGGAGGTGTAGACCAGAGGTGTGGAGGCTGAGAGGATTCACCAGAGACAGAGTCGGGGCAGAACAGGAAGATTCACTGACATACACTGCTGAGCGGAACAGCGGGTGAGACAGGTGAGGTCTGCTGTGCCATGTGGGTCACCTCCCTGACTGGGGATCATTTCATGCTGCAGTGGCTGTGGAGAGCTTCATAATGCTGAGACTTAACCCCTTGTGCCACCAGGGTCTCTTAATTACCCTCTGAGTATCGCATCACTTGAGGAGAGGGTGCTCACACACCAATGCCAGGTTTACTGACAAAAGTTTTTCTTTGCCATTCTCCCCTAGGACTCTTACTCTTCTTACTAGACAGGGTTGCCTTGCCAAAGACATGGTTCTTCAGCTAAGTTTTCCAAAATGAGCTCTGCAGAACTCTTGTGTCCACAAGATGAGTATTGGGGCAGGGGGAGAAAGAAAAAAAGGGGCCTCCTTGGTGTCACAAGGGGTTAAGTCTCAGCACTATCAAGCTATCAGCATCCACTTTAGATCCACCTGTTCTGCTCCCCACTCTGTCTCTGGTGAATCCTCATCCCCGCCACACACACACCTCTGCCTGTGCTCCAGCTCCTGTATGCATAAAATAAAATCTTTCAAAAAATGTGAAAAAAGGGCCTCCCCGGTGGCGCAGTGGTTGAGCACTGGGTTGCGAAGCCGCAGCCTCTGCAGCACCGGTTCGATCCCCGGCTGCTCCCCGGCCACCGGAGGAGGGTCCCACATGGCGCGCAGACCTCTCCTGCCGCCCGCTGCTCCCCTCAGCAATGTACTTCGGTCCTTCTGCCTGCTCTGCTCCCCGTTCTGGCTCTGGTGAATTCTCTCATCCTTCCGCGCTTCTGACTGTACCCAGTGCTTGTATAAATAAATAAATAAAACTTAAAAAAACTGTTTTAAAAAAAAAATGTGAAAAAAAATAAACTAGCTGGTCATGTAATTCTTCTTCTTCTTCTTCTTCTTTTTTTTTTTTTTTTGGTAGAATATCTTTGGAATTAGTGTTCCAGAAAAATTTGTGAAGTATTGTTTCAGAGTAATCCCCATTACCATTTACAGTCTCATTCTGTCATCCCTCAGGACCCCAGTCATCCACGCTAACACATGAAACATGAATCTTGCCACAGGCAAGTGTTCTCTGTGTGGAGAACGCCTCTCACGGAGAACAGACACTCTGTGCCCACGCGGCCTTCTGATGTAACCGTAGTGGTCTTCTACTTGTACGTGTTCACTTTTAACTTTTGCTTGAAAAAGCCTCACACTATAGTGCCTGCGATGCTCCTGAGGAAGCTGTTTCACTTTGTTATTTTGCCTTTTCTCAGAGTTGTGTCGCCTGCTGAGATGCCACTCTTGGGCATCTCATTCACGCTCTCAGCTTCAAACAGCATCTCTGTTCTAGAACACCCACGTCTACACTTCAGCTCCCAACCGCTTAGCTAAATTCTAGTCCCGCACATCTTTGCACCTGTAGTTTTAAGTTTCCCACATCAGATTACTCCAGTGTTGCTGAACCATCAACTGTTCCTTGGGAACATAATTCCAGTGGGACCTGCTGCGACACTGCAGCATCCACCAAAACAGACAAGACGGGGCCTCCCCGGTGGTGCAGCGGTTGAGCGCTGGGTTGTGAAGCTGCCCGCAGCCTCTGCAGCACCGGTTCCATCCCCGGCTGCTCCCCGGCCACCGGAGGAGGGACCCACATGGCGCGCAGACCTCTCCTGCCGCCTGCTGCTCCCCTCAGCAGTGTCCTTCGGTCCTTCTGCCTGCTCTGCTGCCCGCTCTGGCTCTGGTGAATTCTCTCACCCTCCCGCGCTTCTGACTGTACCCAGCGCTTGTATAAATAAATAAATAAATCTAAAAAAAAATTAAAAAAAAAAAAAAGACAAGACGGTGTGGAGACTCATTTATTGCCATCCGTCTCAAAGGAGGTGAATCAAAAGCACATACAACAGCCTTGCAGGCCTTTAACAAAATTCACTGGAATTAAACCCAAAGGTTTAAAGAAATATTTAAGAATCGCCCCATCCTGGAGCCTTGGGGACCGCACAGGAAGGTTCCTTCTGTCTTAACCCAAGCCGGGCATTCAGAGCCTGCAACAGCGGGAAATTAGGGCTTAAGTGGCAGGAGAAACAAGAAGCCTTTAATCAGCTGATGGGAATACAGCCGGTGATTTCTAAAAGAGAACGCCCTGTGTGGTTTCCCACATGCCTAGCCTGCACCACATTCCTGCTCAGAGGCAGGCCCCTGTTCCTAAATCTCCCAGTGGGCCCGAGGGGCAGCGAGTCCGCTGCAGGCTTTGATGTCCGCCTGGGCCTCAACTCCAGTCGGCCTCGATCATGGCAAACAGCTGGCTAAGCCTCAGCCTCTTGACCTCGGGCTCGTTCGGCGGCCTGCAGGTCTTCGCGTGCACCCTGACGTGCTCGGCCAGCTTAGACTTATAAATGAAGCCCTTCCCGCAGTCGCCGCAGGCGAACGGCCTCTCGGCCCTGTGGATGCGCTGGTGCCGCAGCATGTGGCCCTTCTCCCGGAAGCTTTTGCCGCACTCGGGGCAGCGGAAAGGCCGCTCGCCGGTGTGCAGGCCCCGGTGGCTGAGCAGCTGCGCCTTCAGGCGGAAGCTCTTGTCGCACTCGGGGCAGCGGAAGGGCTTCTCCCCCGTGTGCGTGCGGACGTGCTCCACGAGCTTGGACTGCTTGGCGAAGCCCTTGCCGCACTGGCAGGAGAAGGGCATCTGGCCGCGGTGCAGCAGCTGGTGCGCCTTCATGTCGGCCTTGACGCGGTAGCGCTTGTCGCAGTCGGGGCACTGGAAGGGCCGCTCGCCGGTGTGCAGGCGCCGGTGGCTGAGCAGCTGGCCCTTGAGGCGGAAGCCGCGCAGGCAGTCGGGGCACTGGAAGGGCTTCTCCCCGCTGTGCACGCGCAGGTGCTCGGCCAGCTTGGACGGCCGCTGGAAGCCCTTGCCGCACTGGGCGCAGGGGAAGGGCCGCTCCTGGCTGTGCGTGCGCTGGTGCGCCTTCAGGATGGCCTTGAGGCGGAAGCTCTTGTCGCACTCGGGGCAGCGGAAGGGCCGCTCGCCGCTGTGCACCCGCAGGTGCTCCCGGAGCCGGCACGGGTGGCTGAAGCCGCGGCCGCACTCGCCGCAGGAGAAGGGCCGCTCCCCGAGGTGGCGGAGCCGGTGGGCGCGCAGCGTGCGGGGCAGGCGGAAGCGCAGCTGGCACTCGGGGCACTGCAGGGGCTGCTCGCCCGAGTGCAGGCGCTGGTGCCGCAGCAGCTGGCCCCGCTGGCGGAAGGGCTTGCCGCACTCGCCGCACCAGAAGCGCTTCTCGCCGCTGTGCACGCGCAGGTGCTCCGCGAGCTGGCGCTGCCCCGCGAAGCTGTGGCCGCAGGTCCTGCAGGAGAAGGGCCTGTCCCCGCGGTGCGCCCGCGGAGAGCTGCTCTCCCGGCCCTGCGAGGGCCTTTCTCCCGCAAGCACCCGCCCGAGGCCCAGCAGCGGCGGCCGCGGAGGGAAGCGCTGGCTGAGGTCGCTGCCAGAGATCGGCCTCTGCGTGGGGCCGGACTCCTCCTCCCGGCTCCCGCAGGGCTGCTCTCCTGCAAGCACACCGCTGACTTCGCCCTGCTCAGAACAGGGCCCGGGGCCTTCTCTACACGAGTCTGGCCTCTCCCCACTGTACCGGTCCTGGGGAGCTGGCCCGCCGTTCTTGGGGAGAAAGCTCTTGTCACATCCGGGGCACTGGGGTGGTCGCTGCCCCTTATGCAGGAGGGGGTGGCTGAGAAGGGTCTGTTTACATTGGGGGCACTGCGAGGGGTCCTTCCCTGCGTGGGCGGCCAGGTGTCTCAGCAAACAGTGCTTCAGGCGGAAGCTCCTCCCACATTCCTGGCACCGGAGGTGTCCCTGTCCCTGAGGGGGGCTCCGTGGTTGCTGGGGTTCAGCTCGTGAGCTGAATGGCTTCCAGGCCCTGCGTGGCTGGTCCAGGGAGTGGCTCCTCTGGTGCTTTTCTAAGTGGGTTTGCTTCCAAAAGCTTTCCCCACACACAGGGCAAGCCAGCGGGGTGCCCTCCCAACAGGGGGTTTCCTGAAAGCCAGTGAGGCCCAGAGTTCTGGGACTTAGGGTTCTTTCTCTTTGGGTGGATCCCCTGCAGCTGTGGACTACTGGAAAGAAAGCCCCTGTATCAGGTCTGCAGGCGCTGGTGAGGATGCCACCTTGGTCAGGGCTGAAGGAAACATCTTCACTTCTTCCTCCTAAGGGGTCAGAGGAAAGGCAGCACTGAAGGGGATCTACTTGGAAATGGCATTTAGTTTCTCCTGAAGTCACAGCTTGCTGGCTTCCTGAAGTCGAGACAAAATTCAATCAGTATTCCTGTGCGTGGGATGACTAAAGGTTTCTGTCACCAGTAACGTGACCCGTGACAGTGACCTGTGGTGGCCTGGGAACCCCCTTCTGCTGAGCACAGCCAGGCACATTGCAGTATGGCTGGACTTTGTGACCGGGAGCTCGGAGAGCGTCTGCTGACACTCAGCTGAAAAGACCTCTCAGAATAACACTGGAAAGGAGGACAGCAGTTGACACAGGGAGGGCCTAAGCTCTGGGGTCAGTGGTCAGGGGACCAATCTCGTCTGTCCACTATGCCTACTCTGTCACGCCAACCTTTCTTGCTTCAGTGCCTTTTTCTGCAGAAACAGGTGTTCAGGTGTCTACAGTGTTTAGCACGAGCCTGGCATAGTGCTTACACCATCCTGACCTCAGGAGCACCATGCTCTCCTACGGTCACTGCCCACGTTACTGGAGCCAAGAGAGACGTGCAAGGAGCAGGCCCTGATTAACACCCAGTCCTGCGGATTCCTGAGCAGGCCCTAGGAGCTGGCTGCAAGGCTTGGACTCTGCCTCCCTCCTTACCCTACTCCCACTGACATTTAAAAAAGGTCACTTGGAAGAATTAATGACAGATGGTAAAAAATGAAGTAACTTGTAGAGAAAATCTAACACTCCAGAAAGAAGTCACTGAACAAACTACTTTTTTTTTTTTATATATAGAGGCATGTTTTATTTATTTATTTGTTTGTTTGTTTGTTTATACATGCACTGGGTACAGTCAGAAGCGCGGGAGGGTGAGAGAATTCACCAGAGCCAGAGTGGGGAGCAGAGCAGGCAGAAGGACCGAAGTACACTGCTGAGGGGAGCAGCGGGAGGCAGGAGAGGTCTGTGCGCCATGTGGGACCCTCCTCTGGTGGCCAGGGAGCAGCCGGGGATTGAACCGGCACTGCAGAGGCCGCAGGCAGCTTCGCAACCCAGCGCTCAACTGCTGCGCCATCAGGGAGGCCCCTGAACAAACTTCTGATGAGATTTCTTGGAATGATGTTCCCATTAGACTTTCTCATATTTATATAATGCTGATTGCCAAGAATCTGAAAATCTCTGGGCCTCCCTGGTGGCACAAGGGGTTAAAACGCAACCTATGAAACTATCCACAGCCACTGCAGCACGAGTTCAATCCCCAGCCAAGGAGCTACCTACATGGAGCAGCAGACCTCTCCTGTCTCCCCGCTGCTCCCCTCAGCAGTGTATTTCAGTCAATCTGCCTGTTCTATTTCCCACTCTGTCTCTAGTGAGTCCTCTCACCCCCTACACCTCTGGCCTGTACCCCAGTTCTTGTGTGCATAAATAAATAAATCTTCAGGGCCTCCCCTGGTGGCGCAGAGGTTGAGCATTGGGCTGTGAAGCTGCCTGCAGCCTCTGCAGCGCCAGTTCGATCCCCAGCGAGGGTCCCACATAGTGTGACAGACCTCTCCTGCCACGCCCGCTGCTCCCCTCAGCAGTGTATTTCGTCACTCTGCCTGTTCTGTTCCCCACTCTGGCTCTGGTGAATTCTCTCACCCTCCTGCGCTTCTGACTGTACCCAGTGCTTGTATAAATAGATAAATGAATGAATGAATGAATGAATGAATGAAATTAAACTATCATATTAAAATAAATAAATAAATCTTCAAAAAGAAAAACAAAAAAAGAATCTGAAAATCTCAGACCTCCCATACATCATGGCAAAAAAAAAAAGAGCTAAGTTTTAGGCCTTCAAGTAGAGACACGGTCTCCAGACAGAAAGGAAGCGCTTTTGGTCACAAGCATTTGGTTAAGCAGTTTCTGATTTCCCCTGCCTACTACTAAGAAAAGTCACATTTACTAAGCTCTTACTATGTGCCAGATGTCTCTTTAACACTTTGCATACATGAGCCCATTTGTATTATCTTCATTTTTTAGATCAAGGCATTGAAGCCTGAGGTTGAATGACTTGCCCTAGGTCACCCAGAACAGGCAGGGTCCAGGCTCAGCCTCCAGAACCCACACTCCTAACCACTATGCTTTATTGTCTTACTCCAGAATATACAGATGTCCAAACCAGTTAAACAGGAAGACAAGTTAGTGAACTGGAACTAAGAAACCCAAATGTGCGGCCTCCCTGGTGACCTGGGGATTAAGTCTCAGCTCTATCAACTCTACTGCCTGAGTTTGATCTCCAGCCAGGGAGCTGACCCACATGGCATAGCAGACCTCTCCTGTCTCCCTACTGCTCCCCTCAGCAGTGTATTTCAGTCTATCTGCCTGTTCAGCACCCCACCCTGTCTCTGATGAATCCTCTTATCCCCTACACCTCTGGCCTACATCCAGTTCTTCTATGCAAAAATAAATAAATAGGGTCTCCCTGGTGGCGCAAGGAGTTAAGCACAGCACTATGAAGCTATCTGCAGCCTCTGCAGCACGAGTACGATCCCTGGCCGGGCAGGGAGGTACCCACATGGCATAGCAGACCTTTCCTGTCTTACCCACTGTCCCCCTTAGCAGTGTGTTTCAGTCAGCCTGCCTGTTCTGCTTCCTACTTTGTTTCTCCTGAATCCTCTTACCACCCCCCTCACCTCTGGCCTATATCCCAGATCTTGTATGCATAAATAAAGAAATCTTTAAATAAATAAATAAATATGGGGGGGGGACACAACTTGAATGTGACATGTTAAGTACAGGACCTTGATTTCTTGATACTCACCCCAAAATAGCTGTCTCTCAATAACTCGATCAAAATGTTTATCAGCAGAGGAGCAAATTATCTTTCCTGATTTCCGTGATTCACTCCACTTCCTGAAGGGTTCTCTTCCCTGTTCAATCCAAGATATTAGTTCTGGTTTGGGAAGTCCCCCATCTGCACAGAAAATCAATGAGATAGAACTGAGAATCCAGAAATTAACTTTTCATTTATACGCAACTGATTTTCCAAAAGGGTGCCAAAGGGGAAAGAATAGTCTTTACAACAAACGGTGCTGGGGCAAATGGATACCCATATACAAAAGAAGTCAGATCCCTACCTGACACCATACACAAAAATAACTCTCAATGGATCAAAGAACTAAATGTAAGGGTTAAAATATGAGTGAACTGTTGCAACTCTGTAATAGGCAATGGTTTCTTAGCTATGACACCAAGAACTCTGGGGACAAGAGGAAAAATGGATAAACTGGAATTCATCCAAATTAAAAACTTTTGTACTTCAAATGACACCATCAATAAAGTGAACAGGCCCTCCCCGGTGGCGCAGTGGTTGAGCGCTGGGTTGCGAACCTGCCCGCAGCCTCTGCGGCGCCGGTTCGATCCCCGGCTGGTCCCCGGCCACTGGAGGAGGGTCCCGCATGGTGCGCAGACCTCTCCTGCCGCCCGCTGCTCCCCTCAGCAGTGTACTTCTGTCCTTCTGCCTGCTCTGCTCCCCACTCTGGCTCTGGTGAATTCTCTCACCCTCCCGCGCTTCTGACTGTACCCAGCGCATGTATAAACAAACAAATAAATAAATAACAATACATGCCTCTTTAAAAAAATAAATAAAGTGAACAGACAACCCATAGAATGGGAGAAAATATTGCAAACGATGTATCTGCAAGGGTCCAGTACCCAGAAGAAAGAGAGAGCTCTTTCACCTAAGCAATAAGAAGACAAAAAGCCAGGGGCCTCCCCCGTGGCTCAGCGGTTGAGCGCTGGGCTGCGAAGCTGCCTGCAGCCTCTGCAGCGCTGGTTCGATCCCCAGCTGCCAAGGAGGGTCCCACATGGCGCGCAGACCTCTCCTGCCACCGGCTTCTCCCCTCAGCAGTGTACTTGATCTCCACCCACCGGGTGAGGGTCCCACATGGCGTGCAGATCTCTCCTGCAGCCCGCTGCTCCCCTTGCAGTGTACTTCATCAGTCTGCCTGTTCTGCTCTCCACCCTGACTCTGGTGAATTCTCTCACCCTCCTGCACTTCTGACTGTACATAGTGCTTGTATGTATGTATGCATGTATGTATGCATGTATGTATGTATGTATGTATGTATGTATAAATAAATAAATAAGACAAAGAGCTCAAATTAAAAACTTATCTTTTCCTCTCAGATCAGGAACAAGATAAAGGTGTATACTCACACCACTGTTACACAACAGAGCACAACAGAAGTCCTGGTCAGAGCAATTACACAAGGAGGAAATAAAACGTATTCACATTGGAGAGGAAGAAGTAAAATGATTACTATTTGCAGAGGACATACATTAAAAAATCCCAAAGACTCCAGTAAAAAAAAATATTAAATATAAAAAATATATGCAGTAAAGCGGCAGGCTACAAAATTACTAGGCAAAATTCTGTTGCCATATTATACACAAATAATGACCTAGCAAAAAGAAGTCTGGAACAGTCTCACTCACTTACAATCACATAAAAAAAATTAAATACCTAAGAATAAATTTAACCAAGAAGGCTAAAAGACTTGCACACTGGAAACTGTAAGATATTGTTGAAAGAAACAGAAGACACAAAGAAATGGAAAATAGTCCCTGCTCATGCATTTGAAGATTTAACATCAGTAAAATAGTCATATTAAAGCAATATACAGATTCAATGCAATTCCTATGAAAATCCCAACCTCTATGAAAATCTACTCTTCACAGAAATAGAACAAAAATAGAATTTATTTAGAACTACAAAAGACTCCAAGCAGAGAAAAAAAAAAAAGGATATTCAACTGAATAAAATATCTTTGCAGGGCCTCCCTAGTGGCGCAGGCAGTTGAGCGCCGCACTGTGAAGCTGTCTGCAGCCTCTGCAGAGCGAGTTTGATCCCAGTCTGCCGGGGAGAAACCTACATGCCATGGCAGACCTCTCCTGCCTCACCTGCTGGTCCCCTCAGCAGTGTGTTTCAGTCTGCCTGTTCTGTTCCCTGCTCTGTCTCTGGTGAATCCTCTCACCTCTCGCACATGTGGCCTGTACCCTGGTTCTTGTGTACATAAATAAATCTTTAAAAAAAAAAATCGTTGGAAATTATAATTAGAGAGGGTGTGGAAAGAAGGGAATCCTTAGATACTGTCGATGGGAATGTAAATTATGAAAGCAGTATGGAGAGTCCTCAAAAAATTAAAAATAGAAATTCCATCAATTCCATTTATTCCACTTCTGAGTATTTACCCAAAGAATACAAAAATAAGAATTTACAGGGCATATGCACTCCCATGTTCATTACACTATTACTCACAGTAGCTAAGAGCTGGAAACTAAGTGCCAGCTGACAGATGACTGGGCAAAGAGGATGAGGTACATACACAATGGAATGATATTTAGCTGTTAAAAAGCATGAAATCCTGCCATTTGCAACAACGTGGATGGACCCAGAGGGTCTTACACTAAGTGAAATGCATCAGGACATAGACACACACTGTACGATTTCATTCACATGTGGAAATAAACAATAATGAACACACAAGACAAAAACCAAACTCTTACACTATATGAGCAAAATAGTGGTAATCAGAAGGGAGTTGGGAAGAGGGGTGAGTAAAAGGAGTCAACTATATGGTGAAGGACAGAAACTAGACTTTCCTTGGTGAACATCATGTAGTAAATATAGATAATGACCTATAATACTGTATACCTTGAAATCTACATATTGTTGTAAACCAATGTCACTTCAATAAAAAAATTTTTTTAACGGGCAAAATACTTGAATAGACATTTCTCCAAATAAGAGATACAAATGAAAAGATACTCAAGATGAATAACCATTAAGAAAATGCAAGTCTTAACTATAATGATACACCACTTACATCCATTTGATCTCGATAACTGGAACATTCTTTCTGGGTGTCACAGGGGTAATGACATAGGATTACATTTTTTTTAGAAAAATTCAACTACTTTAGTTATTCAGATGCAATGAAAAGAATGTGATGTCTTGGAGTCTCTGGCTTAGAAACAATCTATAGATAGAAACTGGAAAACTTAACTATGGTAAGGGGACAGAATGCAGGTAACTGGAAACCTTGCGATACAAACATAGCTGTCAGGGGCCTCCCCGGTGGCGCAGTGGTTGAGCGCTGGGTTGCGAAGCTGCCCGCAGCCTCTGCAGCGCCAGTTCGTTCCCCGGCTGCTCCCAGGCCACCGGAGGAGGGTCCCACATGGTGTGCAGACCTCTCCTGCCGCCCGCTGCTCCCCTCAGCAGTGTACTTAGGTCCTTCTGCCTGCTCTGCTCCCCGCTCTGGCTCTGGTGAATTCTCACCCTCCCGCGCTTCTGACTGTGCCCAGTGCTTGTATAAATAAATAAATAAAAATAAATCTTAAAAATAAAAAATTAAAAAAATAATAATCCTGGGGCCTCCTAGGTGGCGCAGCGGTTGAGCGCTGGGTTGCGAGGCTGCCCACGGCCTCTGCAGCGCCAGTTCGGTCCCCGGCTGCTCCCCGGCCAACAGAGGAGGGTCCCGCATGGCGCGGACCTCTCCTGCCGCCCGCTGCTCCCCTCAGCAGTGTACTTCGGTCCTTCTGCCTGCTCTGCTCCCCGCTCTGGCTCTGGTGAATTCTCTCGCCCTCCCGCGCTTCTGACTGTACCCAGTGCATGTATAAACAACAAACAAACAAATAAATAAATAAATAAAACATGCCTCTATAAAAAATAAAAAACAGAAACAAAACAAAACAAATAATAATAATCCTTAAAAAAAAAAAATAGCTGCAGGACCTAGCCAGAGAGGTGGAGGGAATACAGAACTAATTACCTTCTTTATATACTGGAGGAAAGAGATATAAATTGGTAAAATATGATCTAGGAACTTATTTGCATTATAAAGATAACTGACAGACTTGCAAAAACCATTACGTTTTGAAGAGAAGTGGGAGAGAGAAGACAGCATAAGTGCACTAATGTCTCATTTTTCATAGTAATGAGTTAATGCTGCCTAAATTTGATCAATCAAGAAACGGAGATGTAAGCATGATTAGATTGGAGGAAACCACAGTGAAAACTAAAATGGTTTAAAATGGTGGCTTTGGGGAATTCACTGAGTGAAGTGAGGATGAATTGAGATTTTTATCATTCGTATTTTATAAATAAAAAGAAATATAAAGCCCAATAAGTAAAAAGACTAAAAAGAACACCCATTACCATAACTGCTGAGAGAGCTGCTAGCAAACACCACAGGCTAGAGCCATCCAAAATCTCACTGCAGGGGAAAACTGTATCAGTTTTTCTGAGGCATTCCGACTCCACTTAAAAGCTGATAGGCAGGGGCACCCCGGGCGAAAGGCACACAGGGTAATCGATGGACATGAGCAAGAGGTACTCCAAAGTGGAAAACCATGGAACCTGCAAGGATGCTGTGACCAAAGCTCTGAGGTCGGCTCCTCTGCCACCATACATTACACACTGTCCCAGTAATGGGACACGTAACAGTATATACCCTTAACTACAGATCAGCAAGGACTGATCAAGGGCCTCCCTGGTGGCGCAAGGGGTTAAGACGCAGCACTATGAAGCTATCTGCAGCCACTGCAGCACGATTTCTGATCCCTGGCCAGGAGGTGACTCACATGGCACAGCAGACCTCTCCTGTCTCCCCCGCTGCTCCCCTCAGCAGTGGATTTCAGTACATCTGCCTGCTCTGCTCCCCACTCTGTCATGCAAATGCATGAATGCTCTCACCACCACCCTCACACCTCTGGCCTGTACCCCAGTTCTTGTATGCATAAATAAACAACAACAAAAAAGTACTGATCACAAAAGTGGGGGGAACTGCTTTTCCAAGTTGAGAAATAGGGTAACCTGACCAAGGTGAGTGCCCAGTGACTGAGACCTCTCACAGAACCCAGTTCCATGACTCACCCACAAAGTTGAGCACTTCTTACCTAGAGAAATGAGAATTTCGTAATTTGTTCTCATCACGTGCTTGTAAAGCTCCTTCTGCCATGCCTGCAGAGTCTGCCATTCTTGCTCCGAGAAATAAATGGCAACGTCCTCGAAGGTCAGAGGTGACTGAAATTAGAGAGAGATACATACTCAGTCATGAGTGCTCTAAGTAACTCAACTCCTCATGGACAAGAAAGATTTGTGGTGAGGACCCTGTTTCTGTTGCGGTTTCCTTAGCCACGACCACTCCTCCCGCGTTTCTTTATACCTGTTCAAACGATTTTGCTCATGTAGTTTATGTGAAATGTTTTTTCTAAGTCGCATTATACTCCACAGGCAAATACGCCCCAAGGATGCGAGTTTCCATTTCCTTTACAAATTACAAGGCACTGATGTTTCCATATGTATTAGTGTCTTCATTTCTCTACGACAGTCTCAAAAGAAAAGCTGCTGTCAAAGGATATAAACATCCTGGGTCTAAAGGACACAAGACTGTTGTCCCCCCCAAATGCTGCACTCTTACATTAACGAGATCCCTTATTTCTACACACCTTTGCCAGCCTAGGCAGTCAATGTTCTTAAACCTAATTATTATTATACTAATGTGATAGGCAAAAATATTGAATTTGCTTGTGAGGCTTACTAACTTCGTGAGGCTTAGTAGCCTTTGCATACTTTTGGGGGCTTCCATGTATCTCTGTCCATGCCTGTCATATCCTTTACTCAGCACTCTAGTGGGCTTTTAAAATTTGAATGAACTTTCTTACATTAGGGTTAATAGTCCTTTGACTGGCAAACATTTTCTCCTGCATGATTTATATTTCCATAGCCCTCCACAAAACACAATTATACTGTACCAAATGTCAGTGGTGGCAAGGGTGAGAGACACTGCATTGGGTGAGCTAAGATAACTGAGCTGGGTAGGAATAGACACCCTTCCAGCACCTGCCACCTATTTCTGATTACCCTGTGTTAGGGTAGTACTCCTCCCATCTGCTGTTAGAATTTTCCATCTGTTTTCAGATCATCTTCCTTCTACCACTCCCTAAAAATTCACAAATCCCAACCCTTCTTACAGCCACTTCACGTAAATGTCAGGTAATTATTCAGGTAACTATGTTTTGATCATTTAACATGTCTAAAACTGTTGTTCTTAGTAGGTTCCTCTTGTTTATTTTCCACATCACATGATGAACTTTTTGAGTGTGTGTGTGACTAACAGTTCTTGCATAAACTCCAGTTTTTATAGAATGATTTTGCACCATGCACTGTGATTTTCAGAAATGCATGTTGTAATAGAATAGAACTAAATGTGTTGGTGATAAGTAGTCTCTTTTCTAGATGAAATTGCGTCCTTTTAAAATGTTTTCCAAAAATGCTCCAAGTTTCCAGCTTACTTCCAGAAGTTTAAAAGATCCAGAAAATAACAGATTATAACAAACATGCCAGGATCCGCCACTGTCTTAGTATATATTTTTCCCTTCAGATTTCCTTTTAATGAATGAAACTTAAGTTCTCCTGGTCCTCTTTAATCTTGTTCTTCTCTTCAGTCCTAGTCTCTTCCCTTTCAACAAGGTAAATATTGTAACGAATGTGGTAACTTGTCAGTTCATGTTTTTATTTTATTAACACACGTGCAACCATCAACACACAGTTCTGCTTTGTCGGTGACACAAATGCTTCATTATACTGCCACTTGATTTCAGAGTCCTGAGATCTGCCGTGGGGGCACAGAGATGGCCGATCTGCTTTCCTCTTGAGTGTCCCGGCCCCTGGCGGCGGCCAGTCCTCGCCGCCCCGGGCCTGGAGGTGCCTTCCCCTGCTCCCCGCGGCGCCCTCCGGTTTTTACATCCTCTCCCACGCCTCCCACGGTCTCTTCTTTCCTTACACTCGACAGAGTTGAACACATCAGCGGTGGAACCTGCCATGTCTCGGGCTGAAACGTCACTGACACCTGCAGGGACCCCGGCTCTGAGCTCAGCGACCCGCCGCGGCCCCGGCTCAAGTCCACGCACCCCTCGCCCGCCCGGACCCCGATCCTTTCACCCTAGTCCGCCCCGCCCAGCCTCGGCCCGGCCCGGCCTGACCCGGCCCAGACGGCGGTCCCCAGGGGCAGGCCCGGCGCCGCCGCCCCAGACGCCGCCCGCCGCCGCGCCCGGCCTCGGGATCCCGACCCGCCCGGCCGAGCGCGTCCAGGCGTCCGCGCGGGGGACCCGCTTACCGAGGGGGCCTCGGCCATGGCCCTCCGCGGACCCGCCCGGCCGGCGACTCCCAGCGGCCGCCCGGCCCCCAGCGCCGGCCCCGCCCGCGGCCACCGCCCTGTCAGCCCGCGAGCCCGCCGGGCGCGGTGCACGCCGGGACTCGGCTCGCCGGGCGCGGTGCACGCCGGGACTCGGCTCGCCGGGCGCGGTGCACGCCGGGGCTCGGCGGCGGGACCGACAGCCCACAGCGCCCCCTGCTGCCGGGAGGGCGAGCGCCGCCCGAGCTCCCTGCCCGCTGAGGGTCTGCAGGTGTTCCGGAGCGAGTTCCCACATCAGCCTGGAAGGTCCAATCCTGAAAGTCAGGTAGACACATGGCATCGCTGATTCCATAGAATTTTTAAAAAATATTTATGTACTTATGCATACAAGAACTGGGGTACAGACTAGAGGTGTGAGGGGTGAGAGGATTCACCAGAGTGGGGAAGAGAGCAGGCGGACTGACTGAAATACACTGCTGAGGGGAGCAGCAGCAGACAGGAGAGGTCTGCTGTGCCATGTGGGTATCTCTCTGGCTGGGGATCGAACTCGTGCAGCAGTGGCTGCAGACAGCTTCATAGGCTGCGTCTTAACCCCTTGCGCCAGCAGGGAGGCCCTCCATGGACTTCAATTAGGAACATGACTCAGTCTATAACATCCAATTAATGGTTTTATAAAATAAATGGATTTTAGTTTGTAACTCCTAAGCAGTCTGTGGTTGAACTGGTTGAACTGCTTAGATATGCAATTGCTGTCCCTATCTGTAACACTTTCCTAAATCAATGTTTATATAAAACACGTAACACTAAGCAAATTTTAAAAGGTGGTCCGTAAGTCTGGTACTGTAATTGCTGTTTTCCCATATATTTTATTTCATATATATTATTCTGTACCTATTATTTTCCCATACCTCTGCTCACAGATGTCTTTTTCTATTGCTCCAAGAACATGTCATTTTGTGTTTATTCTTTTGCTTTCTTTGGCTATATCAAGGTTATCATGGACCTCCCAATCTCATAGTTGTACTCTGTAGGGGCAGGAAGGACACGGAGCAGGTTTTCTATGATTCCAGCAGACGGGGTAGAGGAGGAGTCCTGGAGCCCTCAGTGGCTTTTCAGGCTTTTTTTGTTTACCAGGTACACGGCCGGCAAGGGTGCTGGGGGGCCGGGAGGCTGACAGGCCTCCCAGCCCCCAGCAAGTCTTCACTCTGGGCTCTCTGGAGGCCTTGTTCTCTGCTCTTGTGGTTATGCTTCTCTGCTTATGCTGGTGTCCCTGTGACACAGCCCTTATAAGCCCAGGTGTGTCCACTTACATGCCCACACCCTATTCCAGGTGCCCACTATCAGGCATGCATTCAGGACCGCAGGGATCAATCCTAATGGCGGGAGGGCAGAAAACCCTGATACTTTTTATTTACCCTACATACTCCCAAATGGCTGTTAAGGTAGCGATTCATCTGCTAGTGCTGCCATAACAAAAAGCCACAGGCAGTGACTTAATAAACTGATTTCCTCGCAGTTCTGGAGGATGCAAGTCCCAGGTGAAGGTGGCAGCAGTGTGGTTTCCCATGAGGTCCCTCTTCTAGACTTGCAGGTGATGGACACCTTTCTCTCTGCATCTTCCCGCGGTTATCGTGCGTTCTGGGCACCATTTCCTAATCGCCTGCCTCTTCTGATAAGGACACCAGTCCTAATGGATTAGAGCCCACAAGCTTGACCTCATTTTACCTTAATTACTCTGTAAAAAAAGACCCTATTTCCAGGAACTCCCTGGTGGCACAAGGGATTAAGTCTCAGCACTGCTATCAAAAAAAAAAAAAGGGCCTCCCTGGTGGCGCAGCAGTTGAGCACTGGGTTGCGAGGCTGCCCGCAGCCTCTGCAGCGCCGGTCAGATCCCTGGCCACCAGGCGAGGGTCCCACATGGCACGCAGACCTCTCCTGCTGCCCACTGCTCCCCTCAGCAGTGTACTTCGGTCCTTCTGCCTGTTCTGCTCCCTGCTCTGGCTCTGGTGAATTCTCTCACCCTCCCGCGCTTCTGACTGTACCCAGTGCTTGTATAAATAAATAAATCTTTAAAAAAAAAAAAAAAAGAAAATCTCAGGAAAAAGTTTACTTCTTTTATTAAAGATTTATTTATTTATACAAGAACTGAGGTACAGGCCAGAGGCGTGGGTGAGAATTCGCCAGAGACACAGTAGGGAGCAGAATAGGGAGAAGAACCAAAGACACTAATGAGGGGAGCAGCGGACGAGACAGGAGAGGTCTGCCGGGCCATGTGGGAATCCCCCTGGCCAGCCAGGAATCGAACCCATGCTGCAGACAACTTCACAGCACGGAGCTCAACCCACTGCGCCCCCGGGGAGGCCCTAAATATTTTTTCATTCTTGTACTTCAGGGTCTGAGATCAATTTAATCATTTAGGCTTGATCTCAAAGGTCTGTTAGAACAGCCTGAAAAATTGCCTTAAAGTTAAGGACAAGGCCATAGAGTAGTAAGTGGAAGAATGCCACAGACTCACGGTATCTTTTCCTTTGGTACTTACCATAGAGACCTTATATTAGGGCGAGTATGTTTCTTAGAGAAAATGCAGACTGAGATAAATAACATCAGTTGTTACAATTCTGGATTTTTAGGTAATTTAATTTAGAAGGCAATGACAATTATGTGGGCCATCTTTTTAACAAAAGAGGCATTAGACATTTATTTTTAGCAATATAAAGTCCTGGAAGACTGTAGGAACTCTCATCATTGAGAAAAAATGAAAATTCACTTAGAGAAAACTGAAAATCAAGATATATTTCCCACAAAGAGGGCTAGGAATGGAAAGCTGACGAGGTGCACTGTGGGAAGAAGCACTTCATATAGGGTGTCTCTTCGGCGATGTCACGACTTAATAGCAATGCCCACACTCTTGGGTGACTGAAAAAACTGATGAAATAGCAGAACAGCATGACTGGCAGGCCTTGCCCATGAGGCTTGCAGGGGAGAGATGCCTCCTTGGCTACTTTTTGCCATTTCTGGAACCTGTCAAGGAGCCACCAGGCCCCGCCAGCTAGCCCTCTGGCCACCGTGCTTGCAGTCAGTGTTGTGTGAATCCCTCCCCCACCTCAGCCGGAACCAACAGAGTGCAGCAGCCCCTAAAAGCCGTCCCCACCTCCTCTCTGAGTGGCCTGAGCTATAGCCTGAGGGCTGCGTCCTGGGGCGTGCACTGCTGCAGTGTGAATGGTGAGCGCGCCCATGTATGTGAAGCTCCTGCCACACTCATCACAGGAAAAAGGCCTCTCCACGCTGGGGCGGTACAGATGGGTCTTCAAACTTCTTTTCTGGGGCAAGACTTTGCTGTACTTAGCGCTGCTGAGGGGCTTCTCTCCGCTGTGTGTGTACAAGTGGACCTTCAAACTTTCCCGTGAGCAAAAGCCCATGTTACACTCAGGACACGGGAATGGCTTCGCACCAGTGTGAGAACAGATGTGCTTTGTGAGCCGGTGCTGCTGATTGAAGCCTTTGCCACACTTGACGCACGAGAAGGGCTTTTCGTGCTGGTGCAGGTGGATGCTCAGATTTTTCCTGAAACGGAAACTTTTATCACACTTGGGGCACTGGAAGGGCTTCTCCGCACTGTGGACTCGCGCGTGCACGGCGACCTGAGATCGCTGAGTGTAAGTCTTGCCACACACGCTGCAGGCAAAGGGCCGCTCGCCCCGGTGCATGCGCAGGTGGAGCTTCAGGCAGGACTCCCACAGGAAGCGCCGGTCACACTCAGGACACTGGAAGGGCTGCTCCCCGCTGTGGACCTTCATGTGTACGTTGACGTGCGTGCGCCGGCTGAAGTTCCTGCCGCACACAGGGCAGGAGAAGGGCTTCTCCTTGGTGTGGACCCTGTGGTGCTGCACCAGGGAGGATCTCTTTGTGAAGGTCTTCTTGCACTGCTCACAGGACAGCTCCTTCTGCCGACCACGGCAAGTCACCTTAGAGGGCGAGGTTGAGGCCTTGCCACACTCCCCAGAGGGCAATGGCTTTTTGTGCCGTGTCGTCCTCTGATGGAGCTTCAAGAAAGACATCCTGGTAAAGCACCGCCCACACTCTAGACACTGGAAAGGCCTCTCCCCTGTGTGCACCCTGAGGTGCTCAGTGAGCCTGTGCTCATGGAGGAAGGCCTTGCCACACTCCTGGCAGGAAAACGGTGTCTCTCTGTTGTGCAAACGCACATGCCTCCTCCACGTGCCTTTATACCGGAACGTCCTCTCGCACTCAGGGCACCGGAAGGGCCGCTGCCCTGTGTGGACCACCTGGTGCTCGATCATGGTGGACCTCCGGGAGAAGCTCTTCTCGCACATGCCGCACTGGTACCGCTGCTTCTGGCAGAGGGGTGCCTGCTCCGCCTCGAGGTCCTCCTGTGGTCCCGCGGCTATTTGGTCGGACAAAGTCTTTCCCTCCTCCTCTGATAAGGTCGCACACGAGCCCTGCTCTTGGAGGCCATTTAGATGGTGTTCCTCTTCCTTTGTCCTGAGAGTTCCCAGGCCACCTGGAGAGAAAAACAAGAACACCTCTTCAGTGAAGCTTCACTGCTGGGGGCAGTTTCAACTAGAGTCGCCGAGACACATGCAGCGGGGAAGGGGCTCCCGCAGTCACCCTGAATGTGATCTGCCTCCCACAGATGACAAAGTTATCTTCGATATGCAAAGTCCTTCATCACATTCAGAGACAGCTCAGCAAGAGTAAACATGCAGGAAATACATCTCTTGAAACTATGGTGCTCCTCAGAGGGCAGGTAGAAGTTGGAAGGAAATAAAAATAAGCTACCATCATTATAATATTCCTTAAGGAATGTTGCTTTATTCCCAATCTGGGAATAAAGGGCACAATTTTTAGGAAGGCTGCATGTCATAGTCTTGTTCCCTCCTACCAAAGGTTTCAGTACTTCCAGGAAAGGGCCTCCCTGGTGGCGCAAGGGGTTGAGACGCAGCCTATGAAGCTAACCGCAGCCACTGCAGCACGAGTTCAATCTCTGGCCAGGGAGCTAACCCACATGGCGCAGCAGACCTCTCCTGACTTGCCCGCTGCTCCCCTCAGCAGTGTATTTCGGTCAATCTGCCTGTTCTGTTCCCCACTGTGGTGAATCCTCTCACCGCCCACACCTCACCGCCCATAAATGAGTTATGGACCTCAACCCACCAGGACAAGGTGACACTCACCTGAACAAGGTGACTTTCGCGTGTTCCTCAAGTCCAACTGCTCATACATAGTGGGGCCGAGTGTCCTTCCTGTTTCCTTTGAATGTCCCTGGTGCCTGATGAACAGAATTTTTCCTTCTTCCATGCAAGTGATCAAATCTGGCTTGGAAAACACGCAGCCTGCAAGTTGAGCCCACACGGAGTCAGTCTGGGTTTCCCAACTACTTGGAGAAACACAAATACCCAAGGTGTCACTTGCATGTGGGCTATAGAGCAACAAACAAAGGGTCAGATAAAGGCCCTTTTTAAAAATGGGGAGCCTCGGTGGCACAGCGGTTGAGCGCTGGGTTGTGAAGCTGCCCACAGCCTCTGCAGCACCGGTTCGATCCCCGGCTGCTCCCCGGCCACCGGAGGAGGGTCCCACATGGCGCACAGACCTCTCCTGCCGCCCGCTGCTCCCCTCAGCAGTGTACTTCGGTCCTTCTGCCTGCTCTGCTCCCCGCTCTGGCTCTGGTGAATTCTCTCACCCTCCCGCGCTTCTGGCTGTACCCAGTGCTTGTATAAATAAATAAATAAATCTTTAAAAAATAAAAATAAAAATAAAATAAAAATGGGGAGCCTGCGGCAGGAGGAGGGGAGGCTGATAAGGGGGTAAATAACCCTTGAAAGCTGACTACAGAACTGAGGCACCCAAACTGGGAGGCAGGAGAACAAAGAGGGCAAGGAGCACAGTGGACGAGGTGGAGGACCATGGGTGTGACACTCACTACACCTGAAACAGGGGGGCTATATTCCAAATTCAAACAACAAAGTAACCCAGCGTTACCTCAACAATAAAAAGAAATGTTCACAGTTCACTTTGATCTAGGAGACATGATACCAGTTAGGCTAAAAAAAAAAAAAAAAAAAGGAATCCTTTGAAATGACAGGAATGACAATCAAATACAGTCTAACCAAGATGGTCTACCAAAATGTTCTCTGAAATATTTTACTAAATAAGAGGAAAGAGGGAAGCTAAGGATGATGAATAAAGAGAAGAGGAAAAAGGTGCAGGCTTTGAAAAAGCAGACTGAGAACATATACTAAAGTAACCCAATGAGAACAACGTGAATAGAATATAAAGAAAAAGAGTAAGAATAGAATAAGTTACACGAGAATAAGAATAACCTCAAAAAGAGAGAGAATCCTTCAGGCTATACTGAGACCACCCATAAAATTCATCACAGTAAAAAGTTTTAATGATACAAGAATAAGTCAGGGCCTCCCTGGCGGCACAAGAGGTTAAGTCTTAGCGCTATGAAGTTACTGGCAGTCACTGCAGCAAGAATTAAATCCCCAGCCAGGGAGCTGACCCACATGGCACAGCATACCTCTCCTATCTTGCCCACTGCTCCTCTCAGCACTGAATTTCAGTAAAATCTATCTGTTCTGCTCCCCACTCTGTCTCTGGTGAATCCTCTCACCTTTCCCCCAACACCCCTGGCCTACACCCCGGTTCTTGTATGCATAAATAAAGTCTATTTTTAAAAAAAGTCAAAAAAAGTTGGATAAACAGCAAGATCTGATCTCCACAAATTTCTCTTTAAATGTACTCTTGAGTATATCCCTAGAGATACCTAAGCATCCTATCTCCTCCTGTAAAGAGGGTCTTCTTCCCTGCTGTTTCTGCACTGTGCTGTTTCCTGAGCTTATTCTAAGTTACTATGTTCCTTTTTTGAGAACCACGGTTCAATAAAAGGGTTATGTATTACTTCTAACTGTGGGAGATAAAGAATTCAGAGAATAAATACAACTGAGGGAAACAGATGCCAGGCATAACGAGAGATTCCAGGACATCACAAAAGGTGAAGAGGGCATTCTGAATGCAAACTGGGCACTATAGGGGCCTCCTCGGTGGCCTAGGGGTTAAGTCTCTGCGCTATCACTGCTATAGTTTGAGTTCGATCCCCAGCCAGAGAGCTGACCCACATGCAGCACAGCAAAACTCTCCTGTCTCACCCGCTGATCCCCTTAGCAGTGTATTTCAGAAAATCTGCCTGCTCTGCTCCTCACTCTGAATCCTCTCACTTCCTGCACCTCTGGTCTAAACCCCAGTTATTTTACACACACACAAAAACAAAACAAAACAAAACAAAACAAAACAGAAAAACTGGGCCTCACACCCTATTCACCAGCCAATAGCTGGGATAAGGAAGCCTATAAACACTGGTTGGTTCTGAAAAGTGGCTCCTTAAAAGTCCATCTCACCTATGGGCCTCCCTGGTGGCACAGGTGCCCTGACTTAAAGTCACAGCCGTGTCAAGCTATCGGCAGCCATTGAGATACGAGTTTGATCCCTGCCCAAGGAGCTGACCCACATGGCGCAGCAGACCTCTCCTGCCTCGCCCGCGGCTCCCTTCAACAGTGTATTTCAGCAGATCTGCCTGTTCTGCTCCCCATTCTGTCTCTGGTGAATCTTCTCACACCCCGTACCTCTGGCCTGTACTCCAGTTCTTGTATGCATAAATAAATCTTTTTAAAAAATAAGTTAATAAAAAAATAATAATAAAGTCTACCTCACCTAGAGAAGCAAGAGTCTCATAATTGGCCATCATCATTTGTTGGTACATTTCCTTCTGCCACTTCTCCAGGATCTCCCACTCTTGCTTCGAAAAGTACAAGGCTACATCATCAAACGTCATGGTTACCTGGAATCACAAAAAGTATAGGACACATGTATGTTTTCACTTTCAGGCTGCTGTCAATATCCACATTTTTTAAGACAGAGAGAGAAACTATCTACACTACTAACCTCTGGTGTCATGAACCTAAGAAAAGGGTGGCACATGTCACCACAACCAAGTAGGGTGAACGAGTGAGTAGCAGATCTTTGAGAATACGCAGCATCCAGAGTGGGGATTCTTGGCATTGACCATTATTGCTAATATAGAGTGGGTCAAAGTTGTTGGGTATACCAACTTATTAAAAATCCTTTAATGTTTAACTATTCAGAGTTACAGAAGTTGCAAAGAGTAAGAAAGGTTACCTGCACCTCTTGATCTAATTCCCTGAAGGTCACATGCTTCATCAATACACTATCAAAGCTATGGAACTGACCTTGCTACAATGAGTAACTCTGATTTTCAACTGTGTTGATTCGTGTAACCCCAGTACAGTCAAAAAGCAGTTCCACCAGGGCACCCATGTGCTCCCCTTTATAATCACACCACTGAGCTAAAATCCATAGCTAATTTTGTCATTTCAAGAATGTTAAAATTCATATACCTTTTAGAGATTGACCCTTTCTCCTCTACACAATATGTTCAAGATCCAGTCACATTATTTTTTATATTTTTTAAATTTCTATTATTGCTGTGTAGTACCCAGTGGTACAGATGGACCGCTGGTTAATCATTCATCTACTGAGGAACATTTTGGTAGCTTCTTGCTTTGAGGCTATTACCAAAAAGCTTCTCTGAACAATCACGTACAGATTTGGGTAGGCACACATATGCAGTTTTCTGGACATGTCCAGATCTACAAGTGGGATGTTTTTTAAAGTTAATTATTTATGCATACAAGAACTGGGGTACAGGCCAGAGGTGGGTGGGGGAGAGGATTCACCACAGAGTGGGGGACAGAACAGGCAGACTGACTGAAACACACTGCGGAGGGGTGCAGGGGGGAGACAGGTCTGCTGCACCATGTGGGTCAGCTCCCTGGCCTCGGATCCAACTCTTGCTGCAATGGCTGCAGAAAGCTTCATTTCTAGGTTAGTCTTAACCCCTTGCACCACCAGGGAGGCCTTACAAGTGGGATTTTTTAAGAAACCATTTTCCAGAGTGGCACAACCCTCTAAATTCCTACAACTGTGGATGAGAGATCTGTTTCTCATATTTCCCAGGATTTGGGGAGGAAATGTTGCAGAGGTGTAATTCCATCACCAAATCTATCATAGGCCCAAAACTGACCAGTTACTGTAACAAGCTTAAAAGTGATGTTTTTATAAGGTGAGATGCTCAAAGACATTCCGTCTACCATTTCTTGAGCCTTACTCCGTGCTTTCCAGCTACAAGACATGTGACCCTGTTCACAATTAGCACGGAGCTGCTCCTGTGAAAAGGAAAATGAACCTGAAAACACTAATTTCTCCTGCGTTTCCCAAGTAACACTACAGTCAGTGAACTGGCATCACTGAAGTTATTTCAGGGACTCAAACTTATAAAATTACCAGAATCCACGAACTTTCACAGAACGGAGAGGAATATTCCAGAGGGTTCCCAACCTCTCCTGTGGAGGGGGAAGGACGTGCATTCTATTAATAAGACTAATAAAGCATTAAATCCCAGGGGGAGTACTCGGAGACCCGGCACAGCTAAGCAGGCCACACTGAACTGAAGCAAGGGTTTCCTGGCCTGTTGTTCTCGGCGAAACCCAACGCCCAGGTCACCCGCGAGCGCGGGGGCGTGTTCGGGAACAGTGACCCAGGGCTCCCACGTCCTGGGCCGCTGCCGCTTCTAGCCCCCTTCCCCTCCTCATCTCTTAGAAACTGAGGGGGGCGTCCGTGGTTCCCCCCACAGCAGAGCTCGCAGCCTCAGAACCGAGTCCGGAGGAACAGGGGTCCCCAGCGCCCGGGCGCCCGGCCGTCCCCGAGGGCCTCCCCCCGGCGCAGAGCGCCGCCCCGCGCCTCGGACACCACAGGGCCCCGCGCCTCGGACACCACAGGGCCCCGCCCCCGCCGTCTCACCGGAGCCCGCCGGGCCGCGGCCCTTCGCGGACTCGCCCGGCCCGGCGCCACAGAGGGGTCCGGCGCCATCGGGCCGCGTCCCGGCCCGGCGGGCTCCGCTCACCCGCCCGCAGGTCCGGCACGCGCGGGGCATGCCGGGACGCGGCCGGCCGGGCGCGGTGCACGCTGGGAGTCGCCGGCGGAGCGCGGCGCCTTCCGCCCACAGCGCCCCCTGCGGCTGGGAGGGCGAGCGCGCCTGCGACCCAGACCAGTCTGTCCTGGGCGTTGGGTGGGTTGGGAGGGGGTCCCGGAGCCCCCCAAATCCCCGAACCCGGTTTGCCACACCTGCCGCTGGGGCACGGTTCCTCGCACTGCCCAGGGGTTTCCCAGGCAGGGAGAGGAGATGAAAGGGACGGTATCTGGAGAGAGACTAGACGGAGATCGGAAATGCAGTCAGCTGGGAGGGACGACCCGCAAGGGGCCTGCTAGCTGAACAAAAGTGTGTGTGTGTGTGTGTGTGTGTGTGTGTGTGTGTGTGTGTGTGTGTGTGTGTGTGTGTGTGTGTGTGTGTGTACACTCAATGTATCTGCCTGTATGCAGATACTCAATCCAACAGAGAAATAATTAATATGGCAGATAAGATGGGTTGATTTCTGGGTTATTGGGTTATTGACCCACCTTGCATCCTGCCATAGACTTCACAGGACCGGGTGACATCTGAAAATTTTACCCATCTTGCAAGCTAATAAATTAGCTGCTGTGGTTTTGTTTGATGATCGTGTTAAAAACACATGGTCATGGGTCATAGGGAGCACAAGCTTTGTTGTTCAACCATCCCTCCCTTCTCCCCCTCACTGGAATTGTTACAGGGCAGGGAGAGGGGCAGCCCAAACCCTGCAAACCTGCCTATTCTAAATGGGTTCTCCCATCCACCGCATCAACACAAAACATAGGAGACTTTAATGGGAAGGAACTTTAATACAATTAGGAAACAAGGGCCTCCCCGGTGGCGCAGCAGTTGAGCGCTGGGTTGCGAAGCTGCCCGCAGCCTCTGCGGTGCCGGTTCAATCCCCAGCTGCTCCCCGGCCACCGGAGGAGGGTCCCGCATGGCGCGCAGACCTCTCCTGCCGCCCGCTGCTCCCCTCAGCAGTGCACTTCGGTCCTTCTGCCTGCTCTGCTCCCCGCTCTGGCTCTGGTGAATTCTCTCACCCTCCCGCGCTTCTGACTGTACCCAGTGCTTGTATAAATAAATAAATAAATAAATAAATAAATAAATTAGGAAACAAGACAGGAAAGGCAAAGAATCTAGTTTCTAAATCAAGCACCCAAAGTGACCCGTCCCCTAGTGGGTAAAACTCCATCCAAATGGGATTGGCCCAGAGCAAGGCCCCAAGGCCTGCCACAAGTCCAAAGCATCTTCCAGTGGGGACCCACAGAAAATGGTCAGAAACAACCAGACAAGCCCGGAAGGAAAAGAGCAAAATCAAAATCAAGATAAAAGCTTCCATGGTCACCTCCCCATGGGTCTCACCCACATCTGTGTCACCCAGTGTACGACCAAAAGACAAGCACAATTTCTTCACGTGTCTCTAGGCTCCATGTGCCTCCTCCAGGTCTCCCTCTTGCTCTCCATCCTGCTTCCTTCCTTCCTCAGTCTCCTCTTCTTGGTTCAGCTCTGTTTCAACTTTCTGGAAGAACTCCACTCAAAGCCACACAATGAACTTATGTCCAATTTTTTTAGTTTAAGCAAACAAAATCCCTGTGGATGTTATGCAAAAACAGACTCTGAGATAAGTAGTAAAAGATTATTACCAATATTTTTATGCTGTGTTGGTATCAAGGGGAGAGAAAATGCAAACACAAGTTAGCTTTGCTGAAAAAAAAATTGCAACCTTGGGCCTCCCCGGTGGTGCAGCGGTTGAGCACTGGGTTGCGAGGCTGCCCACAGCCTCTGCAGCGCCAGTTCGATCCCCGGCTGCTCCCAGGCCACTGGAGGAGGGTCCCACATGGTGCGCAGACCTCTCCTGCCGCCCGCTGCTCCCCTCAGCAGTGTACTTCGGTCCTTCTGCCTGCTCTACTCCCCGCTCTGGCTCTGGTGAATTCTCTTACCCTCCCGTGCTTCTGACTGTACCCAGTGCTTATATAAATAAATCTTTAAAAAAAATTGCAACCTTGCTGCAGATCCTGGTCACCAAAACAAGAAAACTTTGTGGATTCAGAACAAAATGCAAAAAAATTATCAGTATTATGTCAAAGAAAACTTAGTAAATATCAGGTGTATTTTCAGATCTATTCAGTCCTTAGTAGGAAAGTTTTACTCTCAACAGTTCCATCAATAGGCATCTGTTGAGACCTTTTCTCCCTATATTTCCAGAAACAATTTCTGTAGATATTAAACAATTGAAGTATACAATATTACAAGGTGACAATCACCATTGACAATTTACATTCATATCAGGTCAAGGTGTTACCCGTTTTCCAAAGTGACAATGCTTCCCTTGCTCACTACACCCTGAGATCTGTGCCACCATAGATATGGTGGAATAAAAATTAAAAGGGGGGATTGTAACAGGGTGGTCCCCAGGAAAGGGGGAGGTTCCAGGTTTCCTGCCCCGCCCAAGGGAGGGCGGAGCTGAGCAGGGAGAGAAGAAGCTGCAGAGGAGACTGAGGAAGGAAGGAAGCAGGATGGAGCCAGAAGGAGACGTGGAGGAGGCACATGCAACCTAGAGACACGTGAAGAAACTGTGCTTGTCTTTTGGTCATGGACTGGGTGACACAGATGTGGGTGAGACCCGTGGGGAGGTGACAATGGCAGCTTTTATCTTAATTTTGATTTTGCTCTTTTCCTTCTGGGCTTGTCTGGTTGTTTCTGACCCTTATCTGTGGGTCCCCACTGGAAGATGCTTTGGACTTGTGGCAGGCCTTGGGGCCTTGCTCTGGGCCAATCCCATTTGGATGGAGTTTTACCCACGAGGGGACGGGTCACTTTGGGTGCTTGATTTAGAAACTAGATTCTTTGCCTTTCCTGTCTTGTTTCCTAATTGTATTAAAGTTCCTTCCCATTAAAGTCTCCTATGTTTTGTGTTGATGCGGTGGATGGCAGAACCCATTTAGAGCAGGCAGGTTTTGGGGGATCTGGGGTGCACCTCTCCCTGCCCTTATGTAACAGAATGACATTATGAACACGTGGTTGTAAGACTTAAGAAACCTTCCTAGCTGGCCCAGGGCACCAGGCACAGGTCACCTTGTACCCATGTTTCTGGACCATAAATAAAACCCAGATGAGATAAGAATCATATATATGACTAACCCTCATGTTTTCCTGAAGATACATTTCTCACAGACTGTCCAGGATGACAAGGTCCTGAAGATGCTAACACCAGGGCCGAAGACATTCCTAAAGGCCCCTCCACACTAAACAGCACTGTTTCACCTCCTCACTGTCTCCTCTGGGAGGCACTTTCTTGGAAATGCTAGTTTTGCTTTTTTTCTTGTCCCAAAGAAACAAATTTCTTGTCCTTTGGGTAGTCATGTTGGCTGTGTCTTTTCTTCAGCCCAGAGGAGACAGCTTGGGTAAAAGAAATTGCAAGCTGGTAAAAGGCATTGCCCCAAGTCCTGTGTGACCAGGTGGACTGGATCATGGAGCAGCAGATCTCCTGTCTCTCTGCTGCTCCCCTCAGCAGTGTATTTCAGTAGATCTACCTGTTCTGCTCCCCACTCTGTCTCTGGTGAATCCTCTCAACCCCGGCACCTCTGGCCTGTACCCCAGTTCTTGAATGGATGGATGGATAGATAGAGAGAGAGAGAGAGAGAGAGATGCCTGCCTAGTCACAGGCTGCAGGAGAGCTGCATCCTTAGGGCAGAGGTTGCACTGATTTAGGGTCTTTTCCTTGGGAGGGGTTATTCCTCTGTAGAATTGTTACCTATTGTTAAGTTAATTGCTTCTAAGTGTGTCTGGGTAGATTTGCAAAGACGGGTGATTCTCCCTAATGGCCTCATCTCCATATCCGACCTGTGGTCCCACCTCAGATATTCTCCATAGTAGTCAGCGCCTAAGAATTTTCATTTCTAAAGCTGGTTTTAACAGCTATGTTCATCGTTTCACCCCCACCTCTGTTTCTGGTCTTGTTTTTGTTTTTTTAAAGATTTAGTTATGCACACAAGAATAGGGGTACAGCCCAGAGGTGCTTCGGGTGAGAGAATTCACCAGAGACAGTGGGGAACAGAACAGGCAGATCTACTGAAATACACTGCTGAGGGGAGCAGCGGGCCAGACAGGAGAGGTTCTGCTGTGCCATGCGGGTTGCTCCCTGGTTGGCCGGGGATCAAACTCGTGTTGCAGTGGCTGCAGACAGCTTCCTATGGCTAGGACTCAACCCCTTGCACCACCAGGGAGGCCCCAGTTTCTGGTTTTGTGATGCTTCTACCTGAAAGTTTCTACTCTCAGCCTCCAATGAGAATATCTTTTCATAGAGGAGTATGCTAGAGATGGTCCCCAAGGCTGTGGGCAGGTGCTGGGATTACACAACGGGAAGTGAAGGAAACAATCGCTATTCCCCCTTTTATGACCCAAAAGATTATAGGGGTGGGAAGGGGTCTCATCTGCTCCTGAGGTTTATCATGTCTATTTAAGAATCTCATCTTTGGGGCCTCCATGGTGGCGCAGGGGTTATGGAGCTATTGCCAGCCACTGCAGCCTGAGGTCCATCCCCTGAGTTCCATCCCCAGCCAGGGAGCTGACCCACTTAGCACAGCAGACCTCTCCTGTCTCCCTGTTGCTCCCCTTAGCAGTGGATTTCAGTGAATTCCTCTGCTCTGTTCCCCACTCTGTCTCTGGTGAATCCTCTCACCCCACCCACCTCTGGCCTGTACCCCAGTTCTTGTGTGCATAAATACATAAATCTTTTTTAAAAATCTCGTCTTTGAGAGTAAGGATGAAGTGACCCCCTCCTTGTCTGTCATGAATTCGTCCTTTCTCTGACCTTGATACTCAGGCCCTCAAACTCAGGATTAATATTCCTGATCTCCCTTATATTTTAGAATTTACAACTGTGTGATTTCTCCATATCTGTGTTACTAAATTCATTGCTTTACCTTTGCTAACCCATCTGATGTTGTTTTACTTAATCACCCAGATTGAGAAGAATCCCCGAGTGGGGTGATTTATTTTATGCCTGAGACTATGACTAGTCTGTTATTGACAGGAAACCTCACCAATAGCATAGATGGCTCATTAGCACACATTTTGTATGCTACATATAGTATATTGTATTCCGAAAATGCTACACAGGAGAAAATCGCACTATGAAAATCACCACTGGATCATTTCATTATGTCATCCTCATCGTCTTCACGTTGAGTAGGCTGAGGAGGAGGAGAGAGAGGAAGGGTTGAAAAAAATCTGTTTGTAGGTTGACCTGTGTATCCAAACTCCTGCTGTTCAAGGTTCCACTGCACAGACCATTTGGAAACCACCAACTTCAGACCAAGAGAAGAAAATAGAAGTTCACTTATAAATGTTTGCACTTCCAAGCCATTCTGCCTCTAACATGATCACTGACTCTCTGGAGGTAGTGAAGCAATGATGCAGAAATTAAAAGGGCGCTTGCCTACTAGGCTACCCAATTGCACATCAGCTGAAGCTTTTACAACTTTATTTTTATTTTATTTTATTTTTTGCCTTTACAACTTTTTTTTTTAAAGATTTATTTATTTATTTATACAAGCACTGGGTACAGTCAGAAGCGTGGGAGGGTGAGAAAATTCACCAGAGCCAGAGCTGGGAGCAGAGCAGGCTGAAGGACCGAAGTACACTGCTGAGGGGAGCAGCGGGCGGCAGGAGAGGTCTGCGCGCCATGTGGGACCCTCCTCTGGTGGCCGGGGAGCAATGGGGGGGTCGAATCGGCGCTGCAGAAGTTACGGGAAGCTTTGCAATCCAGCGTTCAACCGCTGTGCCACTTGGGAGACCCTGCCTTTACAACTTTCAAGGAGGCTGGTTGAGACGATTAGGCCCCTCACTAGAGCAAGAAGGATGTAAATTGAGAGGCTACCACATGGGGGCGCTGGAAGAACTAGAATGGGCTTAATCAGGCAGTGCTTGGCAGAGGGAGCACTGTCTTTTTTCCTGCTTTTCTATTGTCTTTTTATTTTTTTCTTGTTTTATTTTGTTTTTGCTTTTTTTAAAGATTTATTTATTTATGCATATAAGAGCTGGGGTGCAGGCCAGAGGTTGGGGTGGGATGAGAGGATTCACCAGAGACAGAGTGGGAAGCAGAACAGGCAGATCTACGGAAATACACTGCTGAGGGGAGCAGTGGGGAGACAGGAGAGGTCTGCTGTGCCATGTGGGTCAGCTCCCTGGCTGGGCATTGAACTCATACTGCAGTAGTTGCAGATTGCTTCACAGCGCTGACACTTAACCCCTTGCGCCACCAGGGAGGCCCCTGTTTTATCTTCTTGAAAGTTAGTGATAAAGGATCTAAAATCCCAGATGGAAAAATACTTTTCATTTTTCACTAAGAAGCATCATGTACACTTCAATGAAAACATGACTAGTCTTTTTAAAAATCTGGTTAGGAGAAACCCAAGATTCTCAAATATCTCTCACACACATGCATGCACAGACACGAGAAGGAAGAACTTTACCTGTAATATTCTGTATTCTATATATTCTATGATATTTTTCATAATATAAGTAATGTTTTATTACTTTTTATTATGTTTTTTTACTTTTTCTTCCCAGGGGCTTACTAAACCAGGACCCATTTTAGTTACTAGTATTCACTGTTCACTACTCTTATTTCAGTTAGGGTAGAAGTGAGGTAGTAGGTGTATCAATCCTAAAGCAAAACACATTCTAACTATCATTAAGATTATAATGTTCCATTTATTGAGTTTGAACTCAGATTTAAATTATATTTATAGGCAAACACTGATATTTTCTCATTAATAAGCAGGAGGGAAAATTTTGTTTTCCAAACAGCAATGAAAAGGGGAGTCTGTGTTGAATCTAGGAATTAGGGGAGAAAGTGGTAGTATGATACCTGGTTCCATATTAACAAGTCCCTGTCATACTGCTTAGCCACCTTAGCCATGCTTACCTGACTGACAAGGATGCCTCACCAAGTGTTTAGTAAGTGCTCTGCACTGCAAAAATGTCAATGAACAAAATTATCCCAGAGATGATAACAAAATGCATCAAAACTAGGGTGAAGGGGCCTCCCTGTTGGCTTAGGGTTTGAGTCTCAACATTATCAACACTATGGCCCACCACTGCTGTAGTTCCATCCCCAGCCAGGGAGCTGACCACAGGGTTTAACAGACCTCTCCTGTCTCCCTGCTGCTCCCCTCAGCAGTGGAGTAGATCTGCCTGTTCTGTTCCCCACTCTGTCTCTGGTGAATCCTCTCACACAATCCCCCTACCCCACTTCTGTCCTGCACCCTAGTTCTTCTACACACAAAAAGAGGGGGGGAGGAGGCACGACCTCTCCTGTCTCCCCGCTGCTCCCCTCAGCAGTACATTTGCCTGTTCTGCTCCCCACTCTGTCTCTGGTGAATTGTCTCACCACCCACACCTCTGGCTTACACCCCAGTTCTTGTATGTATAAATAAATAAAAATCTTTTTAAAAAGTGGGGGGAGGAGCAAAGGGTTAGCAAAGGGACAAAGGATTCATTCAGGCAAGGATAGAGCTTCTCCCCAGCCTCCAGGGCCCTCAACTGCTCTCAAAGCAAAACAATCTGCATTCTTAAGTAACAGAAATAGATTTCAGGAGCTTCACAGACCCTGAGGCCCTCTAGTTCTGATATCAAGGTGGCCAGAGACCTGCCCTGGGCACATTGAGAAATGTCTATTGCACCCTTTTGGGGAGACAGACTCTTCATTATATGAGGCCTGTGTTTGAATTGAAAAAAAAAAAAAAAAAAAAACACAGAAAGACAAACATTTGTTTGGAACTTGCTGGTTAACTTGACATACCTTCAGAGTACAAGTATTTCAGGATTCCAGGTAAAAAGTTCTTCCATTGACTTGACTGTAGGGGAGATGCTGAAACTGGTATGGATGCAAGAAAAGGTAAGATGTGGATGGAAATGTTGATGATTTTCTTAACCTGAAAACAAATTAAATTACTCCATGGCCACATTTCTACATCCAAACTCAAACAACAATTTTTTCCCTATTGATCCTGTGGACAGGCAAGAACAGAGGGAAAAAATTGAAATAAAAAATGTGAGGGCAACAATCTTAAATCTGCTTCTGAAAATATTGTGCATCTTCTTAAACAGGGCAGTTCCTGTTGACCTTTTGGCTTCAGTGACATACCATCCAAAAAACTTTCAAGGCCAAGAATTAAAAAGGAGGACAATCTTTAGTAAGTTCTTGGGGGGAAGGAACATTAAATAAATTGGCAGCAATCTTACCACATTATACTGGGTGAGTTAGAATTGCTGCTTCATGGAGCCAGTTGAAAGGATCAGTTTGGTGTTTTGTTTTTTTAAAATATATTAAAAGGCCAGGTTTATTAGGACAGGGAAAAGAGAGGCCCCTGCAAGGTCCTGGGGGCAGGAGTGCTGTACAGGGTCTCTTGATCTTATTTAATGATGTAAATACCCCCGTGATGACCGGAGGGGCATCTAGCAGTTAACAGGGCTGAGAAATCAGTTCTTGTTTAACAGTTCAACTTTCTACCTATTAAGTAATAGATTCACAAAAACGAATTGCCAAGAAAATTCAGAATTTTTTTAAAAGTTCCTTCTGTTAACGGTGATATTCTGATTTAGAAAATAGCCATTTTTAACTATCAAACAGTCACCATTTAACGAACATATACATGCAGATAGAAATCAAATTACACTCTGATGGCGTAGCTGAGGCCTAAAAATAACTTCATAACAAGCTCAAAAGCAGGTGCCCAGCAGGGCAGCTCTCATGCCTGGGTGATTTAGAGGTACTCTGTTAAGACACTTGATGCACTTGTTGAAATACAGGTTTGGGAGGACTTCAAATCCGTGCTGCCGAGTCAGGGGTTGGCGTTGGTCTCCATCACACACCGGTGCCACCTGAAACACACACCCTCCCGGGAGCCGGGCCCTGCAAGTGAGCGCGCACCCGGCCAAGCAGAGCCTCGGCCGCCGGGGTGGAGAGAGTCGGGGTGCCACAGCCGCCCTGGGGTGTGAACGTCGCCCCATGGCAGCTGCTGTTGCAATTTCTGCAGCGCTGCAGGTCGGTGCCTGCAGGACACTGGGCGCCTGGCCCCGGGCCCTGTGCTCGCGTTTCCACTTTTCCACCCCGAGCTTTCCCCCGGCTGTGCTCCGGGAAGGAACCCCAGTTTGTGGCTGCGCCCCCAGCCGCCGCGGGTTGCGCTCGGGGTGCGGGAGGAGCCCCGCCCGGGCGGCGGAGCCCGCGCGCGCCTCGGCCGAGCCCGGGGGCGCAGTGCGCGCTGGCGCCGGCAGGGGGCGCGCTGCGCGGCGGGGGGCGGCGCGGGCCGCGGCGCGTCTAGGCCGCGCGGCTCCCGGGTGCGCTCGGTGCCCACAAAGCGCCAGCTGAGGGGCCGCTGCGGGCCGCGCGCCGCCGAGCTGCCCGTGCCCCTCGAGCTCACCGGCCGGCCGCCCGCGCCCCCAAGCGTCCCCGCGCCGCGAGCAGCCGCGAGAGCCCAGCGGGCAGGCCGGGAGGCGGCGCCGCGGCGGAGAGGCCGGCCAGCCTGCGTGGGCCGCGCGGCGGCGGCGGCGACTCCCGGGCGGGCCCGACCCAGCGGGACCATGGCCGAGGCGGCCCCGGCTCCGGTGAGGCGGCCGCGCCCGGGGCGACGCGCCGGGGCCGGGCGGGCGGGGCGGCCGGGCGGGCGGGGCTCGGCCTGTCAGGCGGCGAGCGCGGCGCCCCGGGGCCCGCCTGCCCGGGCCGGGCTGAGGGGCGCGGCGGGCCTGGGAGGGGCCCCTTGCGGGTGGACCCCCCGCCGCCGGCGTGAGGCCCGGGGTCCCCGTCGGGGTGCGGGGTTTCTCCGGCCCCGAATGCGGGGCGAGGGGAGAGGCCAGGGGCGGGCTCCCTCGCTGGTGCCCCCCGGGGGGCGGTGGGTCGGGGTGTTCGTCGGCCGCCCCGGGAGCCCATCTCACGACAGCAGCCGGGGGGTCCCCGGGCCGGGGCGTGACAGGCGGACGCGGGGGGCCCGCACCGTGGGGGCCTGCGGAGCCGCTGTGCGGGTCCGGGGGGACCGAGTGCGTGTGTGCGTGTGTGAGTTAGGGGCCAGGGTAGGGAGCCCCTGGCCCTTGGGGAGCCCTCCGAGCTCCGGCAGGGCCCCCCTTCAGCGGCAAGTGGCAAGTTAAGGAAAAGGCGGTTCCCTGGGCGTCCACGGGGAGCCTTTAGGGCGAGAGCTGCGTTTGATCCAGCGCGGGGACTGGCCTTTGGGTAATGTTCTTGGCGCAGTTTCTCACTTTGAGGATGGGCTGCTTTTCTGTGAGGACTGGCTCGTCACCCCAAACCCCCTAACTCCTGTTCCTGGACTAGGAAGCTGCCAGGGTTGGTTGAACTAGCCCTTCATCCTCTCAGCCCCCACCTCCTGTTCCTGGCCTTCCGATTATTCCAGCTTACATTTTCTTTTTTTTTTTTTTTTATAGAGGCATGTTTTTCATTTATTTATTTATTTTGTTTGTTTGTTTTGTTTATACATGCACTGGGTACAGTCAGAAGCGCGGGAGGGTGAGAGAATTCACCAGAGCCAGAGCGGGGAGCAGAGCAGGCAGAAGGACCGAAGGACACTGCTGAGGGGAGCAGCGGGCGGCAGGAGAGGTCTGCGCGCCATGTGGGACCCTCCTCCGGTGGCCGGGGAGCAGCCGGGGATCGAACCGGCGCTGCAGCCGCGGGCAGCTTCGCAACCCAGCGCTCAACCGCTGCGCCACCTGGGAGGCCCCCAGCTTACATTTTCTACTCAAGCTTCCATCATATTCAGTCAGTGATGTTCACTGGAGGGGGAAGAGGACCACGGGGGAGCAGTAGCAGCTGAGCCAGGGAAATTGGGAGCAGGGCAACAGCCCGCCTACCCTGGGACCTATTTTGACTCTTCCAGCGCTTTTTTAAATTTTAATCTGTTAGAGATGATCATGTGTCTATACAGACCGGTCCAATAGAAATATAATGGAAGCCCTTTGTATAACTTGAAGTTGTCTCTTTGTCACATTTAAAAAGTGGAAAAAAAAAGTGAAGTTAATTTTAGTGTTATTTAATCCAGTGCGTACAAAACATTTCAGCATATAATCAGTATCAAGAGCTTATTAATGTTTTACGTTTTTACCCCCTACAAAGTCTTCCGTGTTTGTATGTATTTTGTGTTCAGCCCAGCTCCCTGGGAATAACCACATTTTCCGTGCTAGTGGCTACCAGTTGCAGGTGGCTGCCAGAGCGAACAGTCCAGGACTGTCTTATGGAGAAGAAACAGGAGAGATTTGCAATATCAACCCTGTGAGAAAAGAACAATATGCCTGAAAAAGGTAGAAGGAATTGGTATTGAGAGCATCACTGGAGAGATGTTTTAAATAGGGTGACTTTTCCTGTGGGAAGGAGAGAAGAAAGTATGTAGTAACTTCCTGATGAGTTGGAAATAGGAAGACATGTGCAGAAAAAGAAGCGATAGTGGAAGGCATTTCAGTTTACTGACCGATTTCTTTCAAAGTGGGAGGCTCTGTCATCTCTGAGATGGAGGGCAGTGGTGGACAGTCTGGACTGCTCAGCAGGAGCTCCTCCCTGAACCAGCAGTGTCAGCATCTCCTGGGGGCTTGTTAAAGAAATGCAGAACCTCCAATTTCCTTCTAGCCTCATTGAATCAAATTCTGCACTTAAACGATGCCTGTGAGTTAAGAAGTGCCGGACTAGAGGCTTGGAGGGCCAGCCCATGTGTCCACGGGCACCTGGCAGTGTTGAGGTCTCCCCAAGCGAGGAGACCATTGGTGCAGTAATCACAGGTCATGTGACTTCCTCCAGCAGTGCTCCCTCACCTGCTTATGGGATCAGAGAACTGATTCGAAGCTGGAGTTTAGGTGAACAGGTGAGAGGGAAAGACAGGTGAGTGAAGGGGCTGAAAGTGGCTGAAATGATCAACCACAGAAGAAGGCAAAGCCTGGAGGCTGATGAGCCCAGGACAAATGACCTGGGGGACCGTGAGCAGGTGAAAGGGTTGAGCTGAAGCAATGGGAGATTGAGACAGAGGGGATTATCAGTTTCATAGGAGGCTTGGTAGAGGCCATTCTCCAACCTCCTACTTGCTGTGGGACTGTCTTCCATTTATACCACTCTTTGTTTCAGAATGTATGTTGATGGGACGACCTTTTATTTTCTTGGAAAGATCCAGTTCAAAAAGTATGTAGGCCATAGTTTGCCTGCCTGGAAATCCCATGCTGGTTCTTGTTCTTCCCTCTGGAGTAACACAGGTCTAAAGTTAAATGTGTCTGTTCTCCCGTCTTTTTTTTTTTAAAGATTTATTTATTTATTTTTAAAAGCACTGGGTACAGTCAGAAGCATGGGAGGGTGAGAGAATTCACCAGAGCCAGAGCGGGGAACAGAGCAGGCAGACTGACGAAGTACACTGCTGAGGGGAGCAGCGGGTGGGGAAGGAGAGGTCTGCGCACCATGTGGGACCCTCGCCCGGCGATCAACTGACGCTGCAGAGGCTGTGGGCAGCTTTGCAGCCCAGCGCTCAACCGCTGTGCTACCAGGGGAGGCCCTCTCCCTTCTGTTTTTTAACCCTCACATACTTGACAATAGCCATCATATTTTCTCCAAATTCAACATTCTCTGCGCACTCCCCTATGGCATGGTTGTGATGTAAGCAGCGGGTGGACTAGCCAGAGCATAAGGCTGGAAGTCCTTGTCAGAGGGCACTGGGAAGGGTCTGGTGCACTTAGGCCTTTTTTTGTAGAGGAGGTGGCAGCCACCAAGCCCCAGACGGTGTGCTCTAGGGTCTTAGTGCCAGGGTGCTGGGTAGGTTTGTAAAGACCAGCTGCCTCTTCTGCTCCTTCACTGTCTTTAACCACCAAAGCAGTTCTTTTGGGTTTTGATGCCCAGGAGTGCCCCAAAGATGAGGCTTATGCAGGTGATACTAAAACTGCATTTAGATTAATCTCAGATGGCCTCTGAGGCGGTCCTTATCTGTTTTACTCTGGATTAAGTCTCCTAATATTCAGTGCTTTGTCCCATTTCTTTACTGCATGCAGACTTCTGAATGGGACGCCGAGTGCCTTACATCCCTGCCGCCCCTTCCTCTTCCTACACCCCCGGCGGCAAATGAGGCACATCTGCAGACAGCGGCCATCTCCTTGTGGACTGTGGTGGCCGCCGTGCAGGCTATAGAGAGGAAGGTGGAGGTCCACAGCCGGCGGCTGCTACACCTGGAAGGACGGACGGGCACTGCCGAGAAGAAGCTGGCCAGCTGCGAAAAGACAGTGGCCGATCTCGGGAACCAGCTGGAGGGCAAGTGGGCCGTGCTGGGGACGCTCCTGCAGGAGTACGGGCTGCTGCAGCGCCGGCTGGAGAACATGGAGAACCTGCTGAGGAACAGGAACTTCTGGATCCTGCGGCTGCCCCCCGGGATTAAAGGCGATATCCCGAAGGTAATGTCCCCACCAGATGAAAAGTGGGACCCCCAGTCCCAGGGATGTTGGTTTGGACAGGTGTTGGGTTCAGAGAACTGGGTCCTTGGGTGACCTGAGAAAATCTCACCAGATCTCCCCTTTCAGCAGCACATGGCGAGTTTCCCCACGAGGCAGAGAATCATCAAGTTATGTCCTAAAAAGTAGCTTTATTATTTTTTAAAAAGGGAAAGGAAGGGATGCTTGTGCAGACACTAGCGGGCAGAAAGAGCGGCCCCTTGAAAGGGACAGGCTTGTTAAGAGGCCTGCGGGAGAGCTGTGCAGATTCCGGGTTCTTGTCTCTGGGAGGGGTCATTCCTCTGCGGAATTGTTACCTGTTGTTAAGTTAATTGCTTCTAGGGGTGACTGGGTAGATTTGTAAAGACTGGTGATTCTCTAGAATAGTCTCCATCTCCATTCCCCACCTGTGGTCTGCGCCTCCCTTTTCTCTACAGTACTTGGTGCCTAAGGATTTTCATTTCTATAGCTGCTCTGATGACTATGTTAATCCTTCCTACCCCCACCTCCAGTTCTACTCTTGTGATGGTTCCATCCTAAATTTTCTCCTCTCAGCCTCCATCACTTAGACTGGTAAGAGATAGTCTTAAATCAGTTGCTCAGCCTGGAGGACCCCTGAAGTTGTGCTTCTCAGCAACCATTACCGTGTTCTACTTAATGCTCATTTGAAAAATCAAAGTACAGAATAGAAAACTTTGCAAAGATTTTTAAATTTTCTCTTATGCTTTCTCCTACCCACTACTCCTGAGGTGCTTTTTCCTTTCCCTTTCTGTGTGAATCTTGGTGTGGAAATGAAACTAACTGTTGTGCCCACGTCGACCAGTGCAGCCCCCAAGGACACAGACAACCGATGCAAGGGCACAAAGGAGTTTATTACGGGCTCGAGACCGGGCCCTCGACACGCACCAATGCAACGGCAGAGGTCGAGAGCCCCGAACAGAGGAAGCTGGGATATCTTATAGGGTCGCAAGTGGCGCAAATTTTGAAAGAAGCTGGCAATTACTCATTGGCTACTACAAAGGCATTTTGGCGCGCGCGGTTACAGTTTCAAACTGATTGGGCGGTTAGAGATGCTGTCCCATTTATGGATAGGACTGCCCTCATTGGCGGCTGGGGTGGTCTGCTTTTTCGTCACCAAGTGGAGTGAGGGTTGTGACTGCTGAAACTATCTCCGGAATGCGGCTGGACAAGGACTAACATCAAGGTGGAGGATATACAAAATGGCGAAACCTCAGCTAAGCTTGGTTCCACACTAACTAAATCAGTCAACATGCATTTGTTGGCTATTCTGGAGCAAGTGTTAGAGGGATGGTGAGGGGTGGGATGCAGTGCCCGCAGCTTCTGGAAGGGTGTGGGGCTCTCTGCATTTCTGGGACTACAGACAGAGCCTGTCCTCTGGCATCCTTTTCAGAAGAACCTTGCCCCAGTGCTGGGGCCCACCTTTCTGGAGCAAGGAGTCTGTCAAGTGGAAGGGAATAAACATTGCTCTTAAGTATGTGGACGATCACCCAGAGGCAGCCAGCTTCCAAATGTACCTGTTTATCCATCCATTCTTTCAACAAATGTTTCTTCAGCACTTTTTGCTGAGGGCATAGCAGTGAGCAATCTATGTAAGGGCCTCTGGAGCTTAAATTTTTTAAATTATTTATTTAAGATTTATTTTATTTTTATACAAGAGCTGGGGTATAGGTCAGAGGCACAGGAGGGTGAGAGGATTCACCAGAGACAGAGCAGGGAGCAGAACAGGCAGGCAGACCAAAAGCACTGCTGAGGGGAGCAGCCGGCGAGGCAGTAGAGGTCTTCTGCACCGTGTGGAAATCTCCCTCACCGGCCTGAAATCGAACCCGCACTGCAGAGGCTGCAGAAAGTTTCACAGCACTGCACTCAACCTGTTGTGCCACCGAGGAGGCCCTGGAGCTTAAATTTTAATGGGAAAGGAAGATAATGCAAACAAAAATACACTCAAATGTTTTAGAATTAAATATGCTACCTGGTGATTTTGTTTATTTTATTATATATTTTTAAAAGATTTATTTATGCAAACAAGAATTGGGGTACAGGCCAGAGGTGTGGGGGGATGAGAGGATTCACCAGAGACAGAGCCGGGGAGCTATACAGGTAGATCTCCTGAGATACACTCCTGAAGGCAGCAGTAGGGGAGTCAGAAGAGGTTTGTTGCGCCATGTGGGTATCTCCCTGGCCAGAGATCAAACTTGTGCTGCAGTGGCTGCAGATAGCTTCATGGTGCTATGCTTAACTCCTTGTGCCACCAGGGAGGCCCTGTACTAGAAATTTATTTACTTTCTAGTTTGTTTTTCCTGCTTTAGAATCATTCATCCTGGAGCTGATTTGTTGTTGTTGTTTTTAATTTTTTGTTTTCCATATACATAATGTAATCCTGAGGGGTTGATTTAGATTTACAAGTGAAGGATTCAGTTGATTAAGAGGGCAGTGATAGGAGGCTGGCGTGTTTTCTCTGCCTGCGTGAAGTCTGGTTAACAAAAAGATCTTCCCCTGGCAGGAGAGGCTGTCTCCACAGGTGATGGAGGTGACTGGGCCCGACTTTAAGGTGCTGGGGCAAGGAACAAATAAACACAGCAGGGACCACCCAGGAGGAGTAAGGTGGGCCCTCAGTCGTCACCACCCAGGTATAAAATGTATTTAGAGATGAGGTCTGTGGCATCAGCCTTGGGGTAAATGCGGCTGCCTCCAGCTCATGGCGACGTCAAAGGGCCCCCGCTATTCTAAAGATAGATCTAGAAACTACCGTTTATAACCACTTTTACTCCCACTCAAGTATCTGCCTGCTTTGAGCTTGGAATTCTCTACATTCCTCTGCACAGGCAGAGAGTTCCTCACGCACCTGTGACCCCAGCACCACGCCTGCCCCCCGCCTCCACCCCCTGAGTTCTTGGGCAGCCCAGCCAAAACCCGGCCTCTGCTGGCCTCTCCTTCCCACTAGTGGCCGGTGCCGGCCAGCACCCCTGCTTTCCCAGCATTTCAGCGCTGCCCAGAGGGTCGGGAAGCACCTGGGTATCAGTTCAGTCCTGAACGGAAGCACGTCCTGATCCTTTCCTGTCCGCGTCATTTTGTCACGGGTGTTTGCTGTGAGCTGTCACAGTCCTTTGTGTGGTGACGTTGGGTGAGAAGAAGCTGAGCTGTTGAGTGTCTGCACTGGCCCTCGGCTTGATTTTAGGTGCAGAGCAGAAGGTAAAGTTGAATGATTTATGTTTCCAGCCCCTAAGGGACAACATTTCTAGTTGAGGAGGAAAAGATGACACAAATGAAACAATTAGAAAATAAACCCAACTCCCTTATGGTATCATGTAGATCTTTGAATCTAATAGATGAATATGTATGTTTTCATTGCATTTTTTAATTTTGAGAGCAAAAGTATATGTATACTAGTTACCAGGATTTTTGTATACTCTTTCTTTCATAGCATCCTGTTTTTATTTTATGAGTGTACTATTTTTTAAAATTTTTTTTAAGATTTATTTATTTATGCATACAAGAACTGGGGTGTAGGCCAGAGGTGTGGGGTATAAGAGAATTCGCCAGAGACAGAGTAGGAAACAACAGGCAGATTGACTGAAATACACTGGTGAGTGGAGCAGCAGGGAGACAGGAGAGGTCTGCTGTGCCCTCTCTGGGGATCGAACTTGTGCCGCAGTGGCTGGCAATACCTTGATAGCTCTGAGGCTTAAACCCTGCTCTTGTTTTTTTGTTTTTTTTTTAATCTAGTGAGCACTGATTGAGTGGCTTCAGTGGGAGGGACTAACTAACCCCCTTGTGATTGCCATTTCAGGTGCCTGTGACATTTGATGATATTTCCATCTACTTTTCCACACCAGAGTGGGAAAAATTAGAAGAATGGCAAAAGGAGCTTTACAAGAATATCATGAAGGGCAACTACGAGTCTCTCATCTCCATGGGTGAGGCTGAATTGGCACATTTTGGATGAGGTGACAGTAGTTCCAGGAATGCTCAGAATACCCCTCTTCCTCAGTGTCCTCATTTCTTTCTTTCTTTTTTTTTTTTTTTTAAGATTTATTCATCTGTGCATGCAAGAGCTGGGGTACATACAGGCCAGAGATGCTGGGGGAAGGGAGGGGCTGAGAGGATTCACCAGAGACAGAGTGGGGAGCAAAACAGGCAGATCTACTGAAATACACTGCTGAGGGGAGCAGTGGGCAAGACAGGAGAGATCTGCTGCGCTATGTGGTTTCTCCCTGGCCGGCTGGGGATTGAACTTGTGCAGCAGAGGCTTTGGATCACTTCATAGTGCGGTGCTTAACCCCTTGCACCACCAAGGAGACCCTGTTCTCGTTTTCATTCTGTCCTTTCACACTTCAGATTCTGGTTCGAACCAAAGATTTATGATTCACCTTAGAAAAATAGAAAATCATAACCTCCTTTGTCAAATCGTGGGATAGAGAACTAAATTTTGGTTACATGTGTGCCAACTGCAGTGTTTTCTGTGGGTTTTCACCTTGAAAGGGGCTTGATGCCTCCCCCTTGGGGCACGCTGTCGCTCTCCTCAGTGAAAGCAGCAGGCCGGCAGTGCTGGAGGAGCGTGTGTGCCTTTCCTCTCCTCTGGCCTGCTTTCCTAGTGGGTAACACCCATGGTTGTCGGTGAATGGATGGGAGAAGGCACCTAGAATTTAAGAAGCTCTCCAGAACTTTGGGCCTTCGGGCCCTCAGGTCAACCGTGAGGGCTGTTATTACTCTCATTTATCTTTGTCTTACCCCCTTTTTCTCCTAGATTATGCCATGAATCAACCTGATGTCTTATCCCAGATTCAGCCTGAAGGAGAACATAACGCAGAGGAGCAGGCAGCGCCTGAGGAAAGTGAGATTCCTGCAGACCCCAGTGACGGTGAGTGGGGAAAGAGGTGGCCTGGTCCTCGTCTTCCTTTCAGGTCAGAGCTGGCTCGGGAGTGAGTGAGCAGGGCTTGGGGCTTCTATACCTCTCAGTGCTAAAGCGGGTGGCCTGAATGGATTGCCGGACATTTAAAAAAGACATGGGTTCAACTTATTCAACACATCAGCACCAAACATCTGGGGACCCTTAATTGCATTCCGTGACAGAGGTTCTGAACCCTAAATACTTAGTAAGGTAAGCCTGTCCTGAGAGCGGAGGAAGCAGTCCTATTCCCAGGGAGGGACGTGGCTTCAGGGAGTGGAGGCCGCTGTTCAGCTCACAAGTGTGGGAGTGCCGGGGAATCTGCATGGTCCCTCACAGAGGCACTTATCTAGCGAGCCAATGACATCTACCTGGGCAAAGTGGATCTTACCTGGCTTGGGAGCCAGTTGTCACTGACGCCCTAATTGTTGGTTGGCAACTGCTTGATGTTGTGTGGCAAGACTGCTAGCCGAAGTCCAGGGGCGTTGCTTCTCCCAAGTCCCACCTCTGCTGTCAGGAAAGTCATGACAAAAGTCATATGAGTTTTGTTCTTTGCTGGATTGCAAGCTCACGGGAGGTTCATCCTCCAGACATCTCTATAGATGAGCTTCTCTTATAACCTGTCCCATCCAGTTCCTTTTGTCTAACACTTTATTATGAAAATTTTCAAACCAAAAAATTGAAGTAATTTTATAGTGAATACCTGGATACCTGTCACCTAGATTCTGCCACTAACATTTTACTCCACTAGTTTATCACATATCTAATCATTTCTGCATCCCTCTGTCCTTCCACCTGTCCACCTGACTTTCAATGGACTATAAAATTAAAGCAGATATCAATACATTTCCCCCTAAATAATTCTGTGTGACTATCACTAACCTGGAATTTAATCTTCACTTTTTCTTTTTAGGTAAAATTTTATTTTATTTTATAGCTTTGTTTATTTATGCATACAAGAACTGATGTACAGGCCAGAGGTACAGGGCTGGGGTGAAAGGACTCACCAGAGTGGGGAGCAGAACAGGTAGATCCACTGAAATATACTGCTGAGGGGAACAGCCTGCGAGACAGCAGAGGTCTGCTGTGCCATGTGGGTCATCTCCCTAACTGGGGATTGAACTCAGGCCACAGTGGCTGGCTGTAGCCTGATAGCGCTGAGACTTTAATCCCTGTACCACCAAGGAGGCCCCTTGACGTAAAATGTATATACAATGAGAAGCTCAAATCATTAGTGAATATTCTGTAGAGTTTTAAGTAATGTATATGTTTGCCACACACTGTTTTTAAGAGGATGTGAGTGATCATACTTAGGCAATGTAATAGGTTGAATTTGGACAAGTCTGTATATTGTAGATACAAGTAATGAATCTCAAATCATAACAAATACAGTTGGGAGACTTGATTGATTACAGAAAGATTCATTATTAAAAATAACTTATTAGTTACTTCACACAGCTCTCAGTGAGTCTACATTAGTGTGTCATTTTGTATTTGGTGACAAATGGAAAGGATATAAGCAAATTAGTTTTGCAGTGATAGATGAAAGTTTAATTTAGTTGCTATCTTGTCAGTTTATTTTTACCTTTGTTTTCAAAGTTCCCCTTGTAGGTAATCAACTTATAGACTTTCATATATTTTTAATTATAATTAACAGACATTGTAAACATTGCATTGGCATAGTACTCTCACTTTATTCTTTACAGTTTTGGCTTGTGTTGATGATTATCAACCTGGAACCTAGAAATTTAGCAGTACTTAAAGACAGGATGCATATGACTTGGACTGATCAATATATATCATTTAAAAAAAACCCTCATGTGTCTGTTTAGAACCCTTTTTATTTTTTCATTATAGTTTTACCTATAAAAGTCATGAGACCTTTTACTCACTTAATTTGATTAATTTGGTTGCTGAAATTGGCAGCCTGAAAAGGCTTTTCACCTGTCTAAAGTGTCCTTTCAGTACTGCCTCAGTACTTGGTTTTTTAAAAAATATTTTCCAGGCTATTTTGGGGGTCCCCAAGACTAGCCCCATGTTCGAAGACTTTCTAGGAGAGCACACAGGACTCTGCACAGAGTCAAGCCCAGGGATAAGACTTACTAAGGCAAAAGGATGCAAAGCAAAAGCAGCCAAAATAAAACATACACAGGACTCAGTCAGTGGGGGAACGTAGGGACTGACTTCCCCTGGCCCTTTCAGCAGAGTCGTGGGACACATGTGACTCCCCCAGCAGGGAGTTGTGACCATGTGTGGGGAGTTTCAGAGATGCTCATTAGAAACTCAGTACCCAGCTGTTCCCCTGTCCTGGCTCATAACAAAATTGCAGGCTCCCAGAAGAAAGCGAATGTTGAATGGAAACCATACTGCACTGTACAAACAGGCTTAGGAGGCACCCTTAAGGGAGGGGTTTTTTAATTGGAGTAGAGAGGTTTGCCAGCTCAGGGCCAACTCTGCCAGCAGGTCTTTCTAAGGATCGCAGCCTCAGGCGAGGTGTATTAGCACAGACCTATTTTAGAATTTCTTCCTCTTACATGTCAAAAAAATCCTGGTTCCTTTTAATACTATTAAATTGCCTGGTCATGAAGGTGCTTCACAGATTGTCCACACCAAGGCCAGGCACAGGACACTCCGACGAGGCCGCTTTGGTGACGACAGTAATAAAATAGCCCTTTGGTAAATTCTTCTCACCTAGCTCTACATGATAAAATAATTTTTTCGTCTTGTTCTAATAGGAAAAAAAAAAAAACTGCTTTAATTTTTGAGCAAATAGTTTTTTCTCTAACATCATCTTTTTAAAATCAATTTTAGTATTTAAAAAATTTTTAATTAAAAAAATTAATAGACCATGAAATCTGTTGCTAGACCACTGTGTTTATATTCGAATATTGACATACTTTTAGAAATCTTAATTTTCTAAAATACACCTGAGTTTCATCCCTATATCTTAGATAATAAAGCCTGTAATTTATTGCATTCCATTTTAGAACTTTAGGATGAAAGTACATTATAATGAGATGAAAATTCATAGCTAGAAGTGACTTGGGGCAGGTGATAGTATCATCTGGCTCCCTTTTTTCTCTGACTTTTCTTCTTATGTCCAAATACCTTGCAATTAATTTTATAATCAGTCACCATCATCTGAATCCAATGAAAAGAAAGATAAAACTCTTTATATCCTCCTAAACATTATCTATTGATGCCTAGTCTCTTAGATAAAATTGCATACAATTTCATATGTAGAAATTAGTAGAAACTACAGAAAAACAGACTTGAGGCTTTCTGAAATTCTTCTTTAACTCCATTACTAGGGCTGATCTACAGCCAAATGGCCATTATTTGGTCCTTAGTGGTTTTAAAGTTTTACCCCAGTTTTTTTGAATTTTTTTTTTAAAGATTTATTTATTCACTTACACAAGAAACTGGTACAGACCATATGTGCGGGAGGGTGAGAGGATTCACCAGAGACAGAGCAGGGAACAGAAAAGGCAGACTGACAAAATACACTGCTGAGGGGAGTAGTGGGCGCGTGAGGAGAGGTCTGCCGCGCCATGTGGGACCCTCGCCGGCTGGGATTAAACTGGCGCTGTAGAGGCTGAGGGCAGCTTCACAGCACGCCGTTCAACCGCCTGCGCCTCCAGGAGAGGCCCTTAACCGCCTGCGCCTCCAGGAGAGGCCCTTTTTTAGAATTCTTTGGGAAAAAACTTTACCCAAGAAGTTCAGATGGAATAGTCACGAGAGGTGCACTGGCTAGCCCTTCTCCTAGGTCCCAAACTTTGTACTCCAAGACTCTCAAATGACCCAAAAGTAAAATAATTCATTCCTATGACTTGTAGACTTGGGGAGATTTTGATCATTGTAGTTTCAGGTGTATCGATGTTTATCCCTGTTCTCTCTGGCCTGGGGAGTCCCTCTTTTCTGAAACAGTCAGTGACTAAAGCTAATCCCAACATGAGACCCTTTCAGTTCAACCTTCTTATGAACCTTCATTCCAGATGATAAAATTTCAGCTTATTACGCAAATACCACATTCTCTTGGCTTTGTTACAACCTCACACCTGTTTCACAAAAAGTCTCAAAAGATAAGTGTTTGTTTCTCCTAATGGTAGTTTTGTGTGTTGAGTGATTTTTGTTGCCTGTTTGAGTAGTTGTAGTTCAGCCTGTTCCCCTCATTGACGCCTGCATGCACGTCCCAGTCCCTTGTGGACAGCACAGGCCCTTGTCTGTCAGAACACACAGTCAGACCTCCTCATAGTTCAGGTAACACTCAGCTAGTATAGACATTAAAATCTTCTATTTTCTTGTCACCAGCCTGTTTTTAACCACCTGTAACAACCTCAATGTTCATTGATTTCCTCTTATCTAATCAGTGTTCAGCTTTACGCTGTTCTCTGGTTTCCTGCAAAGCCTGTTGCTTGTGTGAAGCAATGATCCTATTTTCATTCTGTGCCTCCTTATGTCTGCACTGTAGATTCCTCAGACCTATGAGGAATGTGCTTGGAGTGCCAATGTGGTGACCTGACTAGCACGTGCCCACGGTAACCACACAGTTGTCTGTGTTAGGTCGCCGTGGTGTCCCGTTCTTGACTCCTTTCATGGCACTTCCTAAAGGCCCTCCGCTCCTCCACTCCCAGGCTTCTGCCAGTTGGTATTAGACACTGCAGTGTTCTGTGACTGCAGCACCAAGAACCAATGACACATTCCCTCTGTTGTGCTGACCTAACTAGTTTAACCACCGGAGGAGCATTTACCATAGTCATTCAGTAAGAAGGGTCAGCTCCCTGGGGTTTGCCAAGCTTAGTGGAGACACACTCAGCTCTCGGCGCTAACAGCAGCTGCCAGTCACATCTTGGGAGAACTGGTAGGTTTGCTTGGCTGGTGGCCTCCATGGTGTTTATGGCTGGCTGCCGACTATTGCTGGAACAGAAGATTGGAAAGTCCTAATTCCCGCCAGTGTTGGACTCCTGAATAAACGATGGGACAGCTATAAAAAGCAACGTGCAAGACCTCTGCACACTGCTGCAGACTGTTCAGAATATGTGGTCATGGAAACATCAAGGTATAGAACAGTTCGTGTAGTATGCCACATAAAGAGGGAAAATGCAAAAATGTATACATACTTGCTTATTTTCACAAAGAAACAATGGCCAATAAAAACAAGAACCAGGGCCTCCCTGGTGGCTCAGCGGTTTAGCGCTGGATTGTGAAGCTACCCACGGCCTCTGCAGCACCAGTTCATTTCCCGGCCGCTGGGCGAGGGTCCCACATGGCATGCAGACCTCTCCTGCCGCCCGCTGCTCCCCTCAGCAGTGTGCTTTGTCAGTCTGCCTGTTCTGTTCCCCGCTCTGGCTCAGGTGAATTCTCTCACCCTCCTGTGCTTCTGACTGTACCCAGTGCTTGTATAAATAAATAAATAAATCTAAAAAAAAAAAAACCAAGAACCAATAAAGATAGCCACCTAGGGCCTCCCCTGGTGGTGCAGCGGTTGAGCACTGGGCTGCAAAGCTGCCCGCAGCCTCTGCAGCGCCAGTTCCATCCCCGATGAGGGTCCCACATGGTGCTACAGACCTCTCCTGCCGCGCCCGCTGCTCCCTTCAGCAGTGTGTTTCGTCAGTTCTCTCACCCTCCCTTGCTTCTGACTGTACCCAGTGCTTGTATAAATAAATCTTTAAAAAAAAAAAAAGAAAGAATAGCCACCTATACAGGGTGAAAGAAATTAGAGAGGATGGACTTTTCCAAATGTACCTTGTTTAAATTTTTGATTTTGGGGTCTTATAAATATCTTACATAATTTCAAAAAGCAAAATTAAAACAAATGTTCAAGGTATTTTATGGTTTCAGTCTTGACATTCAAGTCTTTAATATATTTTGAATTAATTTTTGTGTATGCTGTTAGTGGTCTAATTTCATTCTTTCATAATGTGGCTATCCTGTCTTCCCAACACCATTTATTGAAGAGACTGTCCTTTCTCCATTGTATTTTCTTGGCTCCCTTGTCATATAGTACTTGTCCATGTACATTTTTTTTTTCACATTTTAAAAGGACAGGCTTGTTAGGAAAAGGCAAAAAGAGGCACCTGCAAAGTCACAGGGACAAGAGAGCTCGTGTACACACCATTTGAACTATATCTCTAGCAGGATATCTCCTAAAGATTAAAACAACAAACCAAATTTGTATTTTTTTTAAGATTTATTTATTTATGCATACAAGAGCAGGGGTACAGGCCAGACATATTGGGGGTCACCAGAGACAGAGTGGGGAGCAGAACGGGCAGACTGACTGAAATACACTGCTGAGGGGAGCAGCGGGGAGACAGGAGAGGTCTGCTTCGCCATGAGGGTTGCTCCCTGGCCGGCCAGGGATTGCACTTGTACTGCAGAGGCTGCGAATTGCTTTATAGTGTGGTGCTTAACCCCTTGCGCCACCAGGGAGGCTCCCAAATTTGTATTTTTAATAATGATTTTCAAGCATATTTGATAAAGCAGAGTTTATATTAATATCACTAGGAACCAAGATTTTCAGAGTAAGAAAAAAGATATAAGAATAAATTCAAAGGATTTAATTAAAACCATGTGCTCTGAAATAGGATTCACAACTGTTAATATGAACTCATGACACTACTTTTTCCCAAAAGGTGTGTATTTTGTGGCTCTGTCATTGGCAGCCCTAGAACCTGTGACAGCCTGTTAGTAACTCCCAGCTTTGCCAGCCAGATTGGGGGCCCAAAACGCCGTTCCCAGAGGTCACTGTGTGCCTGGAGCAGGGAATGTGCAGGATATTTTGTCTTTCTCGAAGTGAAGGAAACTAGATGTTTGGTATGAAGAGAGAGATCTGATCAAAAGGGGCGCCCGCTGGCCAAAGAAGGGACGATTTGAGCATTAAGAATAGTGACTAAGGGCCTCCCCGGTGGCGCAGCGGTTGAGCGCTGGGTTGCGAAGCTGCCCGCGTCCTCTGCGGTGCCGGTTCGATCCCCGGCTGCTCCCCGGCCACCAGAGGAGGGTCCCACATGGCGCGCAGACCTCTCCTGCCGCCCGCTGCTCCCCTCAGCAGTGTCCTTCGGTCCTTCTGCCTGCTCTGCTCCCCGCTCTGACTCTGGTGAATTCTCTCACCCTCCCGCGCTTCTGACTGTACCCAGTGCATGTATAGACAAAACAAACAAACAAACAAATAAAATAAATAAATAAATAAATAAACATGCCTCTATTAAAAAAAAAAAAAGAATTAAAAAAAAAAAGAATAGTGACTAAAATGGATTAAAAATATGTGTAACATGTGAGTTCAGAATGATCTAAAAAATGTCACTTAACTCACTAGTTTTCTGAAGCACTAATTCATCATTCAGAAAATTGATGAGGAGAAGCAATTAAACATCATAAATAGGGCCTCCCTGGTGGCGCAGCGGTTGAGCGCTGGGTTGCGAAGCTGCCCGCAGCCTCTGGGACGCCGGTTCAATCCCCAGCTGCTCCCCGGCCACCAGAGGAGGGTCCCACATGGCGCGCAGACCTCTCCTGCCGCCCGCTGCTCCCCTCAGCAGTGTACTTCGGTCCTTCTGCCTGCTCTGCTCCCCGCTCTGGCTCTGGTGAATTCTCTCACCCTCCCGCGCTTCTGACTGTACCCAGTGCTTGTATAAACAAACAAACAAACAAATAAATAAATAAAACATGCCTCTATAAAAAAAATAAATAAATAAAAAATAAATAAAAAATAAACATCATAAATATCTCACATTTTTGGTGAACAGAAAGTTCATCCTCTAGAGAGCTACTGAAAGAGGCTTTTCCTTCTACCCAGTCTCTCCTCTTCTGCGTGCTCCCTTCATATGTGTGTATATAAAATCTGAAAGAAAAACAAGGCCAAGTTGGACTGTTTGCTCCACGTCAGCCTCATCGCTAAGTGGGGAGTTGGAAAGGCAACCTGCATGTGAGCTAAAAGGCAACCTGTGTTCCCCGGTCTGCAGGCCCTGGTCCTTGTGGCCTGCATTTCTGCTCTGGGCATGGCTTTAGATCTCAGGTGTTCTAATTGATTTAAAAGGCATTGGGCAAAACAGATGAGTTCTTCTCATTTGTCTGGAATGAAACCATAACCTGCCCACAGGGTTTTTGTTTTTATTAATAAAACAGAGCTTGAATTTACTCTCTGGACTTTGTCAGCTTGCCAGTTTTTGAGGCCAAAAAAAGGCGATGTAGACTCGGCTTGACTGGCAAGCACAGCTGTTGCTGGGCTGACCAAATGAGGCGTGCTATGTGCAGAGCCTGTGGGACTTGCAAATACTAGCTCCAACCGCCGAGGAGACAATGATCTGTATCATTTAATAGGCAAAGGTGACATGATTTCTTGGAAGGAACCCAGAATTGGGGGCCTGAAAAGTCTATGTCCCAGGAGTCAGCTCTATATTCTGGTCTAACTTTGTAATTCCAGAAATCTTTTTTTTTTTTTGGAAAATTTTTTTTTAAATGAACATTTAAAAGAGACTTTTTTGGTCACTTTGTTTTCTTTTGCTTTTTTTATGGAATATTTTAAAGCAAACTGGTAATATGGCATTTCACTGTAAATACTTCCTTGTTGACAGAGGCTCACTGAAACTTCTGTGGACACCCTCTACTTAACTGGAGAAAATATCCTCTGCTTCATGATTTCATAAAAAAGCTGTGGGAGAAAGTAGTGAAAACAGTTTGAAAGTAAGAATGCTAATGAAATGAAAGATACTATTGAAAATAGGTAATTTCTGACTATCCTCTCCAAAATATATTTGTCATTTGACATAGGTTTCCTAAAAATAATGAGTCAAGTTTAATCTCTCATATAAAAATACAAAAATTTGGTGGCTTTTTTTTTTTTGAACATTTTATTTTGAGTAGAGGAACTGGGGTGTAGGCCGATGTGGGGGTGGCGAGAGGATTCACCAGAGACAGAGTGGGGAGCAGAACAGGCAGATCTACTGAAATCCACTGCTGAGGGGAGCAGCGGGGAGACAGGAGTGGTCTGCTATGCCTTGTGGGTTAGGCCCTGGCCAGGACTGAACTGAGGCCTTAGCTGTAATAGCACTGAGACCTGGAGGCACCAGGGAGTCCCCAAATTTGGTTTCATTTTGAACTGGTTCTCTAGGTGCATGTGTTTTTATTTTTTTTTTTTTTTTTTATAGAGGCATGCTTTATTTATTTGTTTGCTGGTTTCTTTGTTTGTTTTTGTTTATACATGCACTGGGTACAGTCAGAAGCACGGGAGGGCGAGAGAATTCACCAGAGCCAGAGCGGGGAGCAGAGCAGGCAGAAGAACCGAAGTACACTGCTGAGGGGAGCAGCGGGCGGCAGGAGGGGTCTGCGCGCCATGTGGGACCCTCCTCCGGTGGCCGGGGAGCAGCCGGGGATCGAACCGGCGCCGCAGAGGCCGCGGGCAGCTTCGCAACCCAGCGCTCAACCGCTGCGCCACCGGGGAGGCCCTGCATGTGTTTTTAAAAAGCCTGTCCCATTTTATTGTTACAAGTAGAGAAATACTGAAACAAAAAAAAATATTTTGGCAAAACAATGTTCAGAAAACCATCGTGATGATTTTTCACTTTCTGATGCAAGTCCTTGAAGGTCATTCTATTCCCGCACCTTCCTTCCCACCCTCCAACAGAGCCTGGCATCTCAACGTCAGATATTCTGTCTTGGATTAAACAAGAGGAAGAGCCTCAGGTTGGGGCCCCACAGGAGTCCAAGGAGAGTGACATATACAAAGGCACCTATGCTGGTAAGTGATGCCCCGGAGGCGATCCATCCTGGGCCAGCACTGAGAAGCAGCTGATGGAATGGGGCCGTAGGGACAAGGAAGTGGGGTGTCAGTGGGGAATGGGTTGCGGGAGAGACATGCTCAAATAAGTCAAAACTGAGTGTGAAGTGAAGCTAAGATAAATTGTGAGACAACTCTTACATGTAAAGACAAATTACAGTTGCCAGAAGAAGAATAAATGTGTGCAGGTGGACCACTGTGAGGGCAGGGACAGAACATGTGTGATCATGGAAGAAGGACAGAGCAGCGCGGGGAGGGGGGGAGTGACATGCACCGGGGACCAAGCTGTCACTAGCGGTGTGAACGGAGTTGAATGAAGAGCTCTCCCTCAGGGAGGACAATGACGGGAGAAGAAAGATATTCTGTTGCTGCCATCTGGGTAGAGGGTTAAGGTTAGGGCATCCCAACCTTAGTGAAGTTTATTTGTTTGTTTTAAAGATTTACTTGTGCATATAAGAACTGGGGTGTAGGCCAGAGGTGCGGGAGGATGAAAGGATTCACCAGAGACAGAGTGGGGAGCAGAACAGGCAGATCCACTGAAATCCACTGCTGAGGGGAGCAGCAGCGAGACAGGAGAGGTCTGCTGCGCCCTGTGGTTCAGGTCCCTGGCTGGGGATAGAACTCATGCCACAGGGGCTGGCTTGATAGCACTGAGACTAACCCCTATTCCAGGGAGGCCCTGAAGTTTGGTTTTAATACCTTCTGTGCCCTGTGTTCTTTCAGACTCCAGGAAATAAAAATAAAAAGTAACAGTTTCTGCTCCTACAAAATTTATATCTGGGAGGCACATATCAATAGAATAGCTAAGTGCCAAGGTGAGCAGGATGGATGACTTTAAAAAATCAGAAGTCAGAATGGGGCCTTAGAACATTGCTGTGAAGCAATGTGGGCAGGCAGAAGGGGTGACTTTTGCAAAAGGAAGGACAGAATGAGCAAGGGCGGAGAAGCAGAAATGCCTTTCTTTATTTTCAGGGAAAGGAAAGACGGCAATCTAGTGAGGGGTTTGGCAGGCAGAGGGACGGGGTTAGGTGAGCAGGCCGGCACAGGGGCCACAGCACCCTAGGAGTGAACAGGAACGGGGAAGCCTCATGCAAGCTAGGGAAGGAGGTTCTTCCTCTTTCACACCGGGCCCTGGAGGACCAGCGCATCCCTCAGGATTTCCCAGGGAACTTGATTGCTGTCTCAGCCCCACACAGCCTCTCCCTCTGGCTGTCAGAGCCAGGAGTTCTGTTAAGGGGGGCTGGGAGCACTGTTTGGGGGTCTGGGAAGATCAGGGTTGGTGAGCGCTGCTGACGGGGTGGTGCTCTCTGCAGATGAAGAGCTTGTCGTCAAAGCTGAAGGCCTTGCCAGAGCCTCCTTGTGCCCCGAGGTTCCAGTCACCTTCTCTTCTCCACCAGCACCGGCCGCCAAGGATACTTTTTCAGACGTGGCGTTCAAAAGCCAGCAGGCTGCCTCGGTGACCCCGTTTGGACACCCGGCCCCTGACCTGGCCGACGCCTCCGAGGGCCAAGTGACTTTCACGCAGCTGGGCAGCTACCCGCTCCCGCCCCCGGCCGGGGAGCAGCTGTTCGCGTGCCACCACTGCGGCAAGAGCCTCAGCCAAGACATGCTGCTGACCCACCAGTGCGGCCACCCCGCCGAGCACGCCGCGCCCTGCGCCCAGTGCCCCAAGCACGTTCCCCAGCCGGCGGAGCTCGGCAGCACGGCCCACGCCGGCCAGACGCCGCCCACCTGCCCGCACTGCGCCAGGACTTTCACGCACCCGTCCCGGCTCACCTACCACCTGCGCGTCCACAGCAGCACCGAGCGCCCTTTCCCCTGCCCCGACTGCCCCAAGCGCTTTGCGGACCAGGCGCGGCTCACCAGCCACCGGCGCGCGCACGCCAGCGAGAGGCCCTTCCGCTGCGCGCAGTGCGGCCGCAGCTTCAGCCTGAAAATCAGCCTCTTGCTCCACCAGCGGGGCCACGCGCAGGAGCGGCCCTTCTCCTGCCCGCAGTGTGGCATCGACTTCAACGGCCACTCGGCCCTGATTCGCCACCAGATGATCCACACCGGCGAGCGCCCCTACCCCTGCACGGACTGCAGCAAGAGCTTCATCCGCAAGGAGCACCTGCTGAACCACCGGCGCCTGCACACGGGCGAGCGGCCCTTCAGCTGCGCGCACTGCGGCAAGAGCTTCATCCGCAAGCACCACCTCATGAAGCACCAGCGCATCCACACGGGCGAGCGGCCCTACCCCTGCTCCTTCTGCGGCCGGAGCTTCCGCTACAAACAGACGCTCAAGGACCACCTGCGCTCGGGTCACGGCGGCGGCTGTGGGGGTGACCCTGACCCCCCGGCACCACCGCCAGACCCACCAGGTCCCCTCCTCCCTGGGCTCGAAACCTCTGGCCTAGGCGTTAACCCCGACGGCCTAGAGGCCACTCCGTGGTATGGGGAAGGAAGTGTGGGGGGAGTTTTGTAACTCCTGTTTTTTGTGGTTGCTGGTACTTACTGGCCACCCGGCAAGAGAAAGCCGGGCAGCCCCTCCACCCCACTCCCCCCAGCAGTTACTCCGCAGCTTGATGACTTGGGGTCTTCTGCACGTGGCTAGAGGTGTGCGGTTTAGGGACTTCATATTACAAAACACCATATTTTGAGGCCCAGGAAGGCCTGGGAAAGGAGTCCAGTATCCCCATGTTTTAAAAAATATCACCTAAGCAGAAGTTATGAGAATGGTACAGAGGCTGGAAAGCAAGCTCTGGCCTCTGGCAGCCTGTCCCAGGGCAGTAGGTGTGTCAGGATCCCAGCTCTAGTGCAGGGTTGCAGGGGGAGAGCCTGGAGCTGCCTGTCCATCTGCAGGCTGCAGAGAGTTGAACTGGGTCCTTTATTCTTGCGGCTAAGCTGGCCGTTCAAAAGGGCCAGGCCGAAACCCTGCTTCCCTTCGCCCGGTCCAGCTGCGTCTGCCACCTGCTGGTGTCGCTGTCTCTCCGGAAGCCCTGACTCCAGGCCGCCTGCCCAGGCCTCCCAGATCAGTTCTCACACGTTTTGTTGTATGTTGGGTGAAGGAGAAATCTGACTTTAAAAGCTCCTCAAAGAGAACAGTTCTTGGCTTAGTTTGATTGGAAACATTCAGACTCTTACTGGCATTGAAATTGCTACAAACCTTTGCTGAGGTCCCAGTTAAGAAATTTGCTAGGAGTGTTAGCCCCGGCTTGAAAAGCTGCAGATGACAGATGATGGCCTAAAATCTGAGTCTGAGCCTTGATTCTTAGTCATTTGCATCACATTCTTCCTAATCTGTGCCAGCCAGTAAGCTGATACCAGCCTGGTGGCTGGTATTCTTGACCACGGTCGGCAGAAAAGATCCCAGCACTTGCCAGGAGCAATTCAGTTTCCAAAAGTGTGAGTGGACACTAGGCTTTCATTTCCTCAGCAGTGAGTGTGATGAGGGTGTCCACCCACCCGGCTCCACGAGCAGGCAGCGTGCAGAGGGAGGGGCTTCCGGCATGGCTGAGAGCTAAGGCCAAGCGCAGACAAGGACAGCCTGTGGCCGCCAGATCTTGTTGAGGCCAGTCAGTCACCTGGCCACATCCAAGCCCAGTCCCACCGAGTGGCTTGCGGCTGGGTATAAGTCCCTTTTCTCTGCACACCTCATGTCTCCATGTCCGAAGTGAGGCTGGTGAAAGGCATAAAGTGGGCCTCCAGAAAAAAACTGAAAGAAATCTTGTGATACGTTTCTTCTCTTGCCAAAATCCTATCTTTCTCTGGCTTCTATCCAGGCAAAGCCAAATAAAATGGAAAAATCAAAGTAGAAACATTCTTGCTGAAACTTGACTGAAATCAGTTTGATTTGTTATTTTACTCTCGCTGGGAGCCCGAGGTAGGAGATAGAGAATACGGAAGTCCTGCGTCTCGGGCAGAGCAGCTGTCGGTGCCTGGAACAAGGTCTGCGGGTGTAGAGATAGGACACTGTTGATGAAGTGGCAAGGGAAAGACTCATTTTCCCCCTTATCACCTCGCCCAACCTTCCTCCTGCCCCACACTAGGAAAAAGTATTTCCCCGGCTAGCTTTGCTCCTGGGAAGGCTCTGTCTGAACTTGCTGCTCTTCAGGATAATCACATCTATAAAGTACCTGGTCTGCAGCAGTCACAATACCGGGAATCTTGGGGGGCTGAAGATGTGTGTGTGAGGCCTAGCCTGCTGTCCTGCCTGCGCTCCGAAGGCAATGAGGAAAACCGAAGGGTCCAGAATAACCAAGACATGATGAGCAAAAAATCCTGGCCTGTGAGGACTGGGAACATGCTGGCTAGAACTTGGACCCATGCCAGGGGGAAATTCGAGGGTTCTGGGAATTCCAAAGCCAGGGCTCCGACATCTTCAGTGACCCACTAGGAACTTGAGTGTGCGCTCCAGCTGTGGTTGGCACCCCGATCCCTAACAAGACAGGAGAAGGGCCCAAGTAGTGTGTTTAGGTAGTGAGCTCCCCTCTGTGGGTAGACATTAAGCACTGGCCGGGGCACGCTGGAAAAGGGTTCCTGCGCCAGGCGTGTGTTGGACTAGACGTCACAGAAAATTCTAAAGAGATTGAGAACCAGAGCTTATTAATGAGAGACCCGTGGATGAGAGCGCTGCGGAGAGGCGACACAGTCCCTTGTGCAGGTAACCAGAGCTGCCAGGGGCCCAGGCTTCGGCCAGAAGAGAACCCAGTTCAGAGCCAATGAGGCGAGAGCCTTGAAACACCGACAGGGAAGGAACAGGGCCTCGCCCACAATGGGAGTGGGTGTCGTCCAGCCCCCCACCCTGCGGGGGCCAGCGAAACTCTGCTGCTGTGCATTCCTGTCCTCTCCCCAGCCCTGCCATGGAGAGCTCTAAGAAGTCTGGGCTTGAAATCTAAGAGTGGATGAGTAAAGTGGGTTTGTGGAAAAAAAAGTCCAGCAGAGGTTTCAGTGTGGGGGGGGAGACTTGACCCCCAAGGGCGCCTGAGACACATGCCTGCTGCTGCAGTGCCCGAGGACTGGTCGGCACCACTGGACAGGGCAGGAGCAGCAGCCCCGGCTCTCCGTCGGCCGCCATCTGGGCTGCGAGGGCCGCTGTCACCGTTAGAGGAACCTCTGGCTCAGCCGCAGAGGAGAAAGTGAAGTTGATTGCTCGTCGAGAAAGTGAAAGTGGCCAGTCTTTCCTGTGGGTACTGGGCCTGCCTTCGCGGGGCTCTGGCGGGAGCGGCGTGTTAGGAAACCCGCTGTCGTTGGGAGAGTCCCTGGAGCTCCTGCTGGGCGACTCTGCTGGGCTGCCTCCTGGAGCATCCTTGGGCGGCTTGTGTGTCCATGCCTGCCCACCGGGCTGGGCCCTGCGGCTCGCGGGGGATCACTGATGTCCGCTGTCTGAGCAAAAGCCAAGGACCCGAGCTCCCGTACCATTCCAGTGCGACGGAGAACCCACGCTTCTGCTCAGATTTCCTCTGGAGGGGGGCAGGACGCCCTGTTCACCCCCCTCAGGAACTTCTTGGACAACAAAATGCTGTGAGGGCCGCTCAGTGGCAATGGGTAGAAGCAGGTCTTTCCCCTCCAAGGCTCTTGCTGATGAGGAGCTCAGTTTGTCAGGTTTATGTTTTCTCTGTGCCCAGTGGGTACCTTTGGCCCTGTTCTCTTGTCTCTGCCTTATCTGCAGTCCCTCGCCACAGGGTTTGCACGCGGAGGACATTGACTAGGGAAGTGTCAGGCTCCTACAAGCAGAAGATACTCCCATTGGGTCAGGTTGTGGGGGAGCCCGTGGGGAAGGGGGAGCACTCCAGGCCTTCACATAAAGACACCGTGTGGATTAGTGGTTTGGAGCAAGCACAGAGCCAGACCTCCATGCACGTCCTGCAGCAGACGTCACATCTGCTGTATTGTGTGACCATCACAACCTAGTTTCCTTATCTGCAAAGGAAGGAGATGAGGAGGGAAATGTGGAAGGTGCTTAGCGGGGTGCACAGAAGGTGCCCCACGTGGTAGCTGTCAGGAGAGCTCACAGGGCCAGACAGGGCAGTGCTAAAGTGGGCTGGACTTGAAGTGGACAAACAGGCTGCCGTGCGGAAGCCCGCGTTGCGTGATGTTGGCATCTGGCTCGCGGTCTCTGCTGGCATGGAGCCTGCTCCTCTGCTCTCTTCCTCACCTGCTGTGTGTCACGGCGGCACATGGCTTGGTTCTCTTGGTTTCAGATTCTAAGGTGTGGGGTCTGGCCCAGCAACTCTTTCTGTACCAGACCACAGGCGTTTCCAGTCAGCCCCTGGACTAGCTCCCCTCGGGTCAGTGCGCATCTTGGTTCCGCGCCCTGCTCAGGCGCTGTGGGCCGCGGGCTCACTTGGGGCGGGCAGGTGGCAGCACAGGACGGCACAGCTCTTACAGGATCAGAGAGAATCTCACCCCGGACGAGGGTCCTTAAAGGACTTCTCCATCAACACTGTCAGAGACCAGAGCTTACTGTCCCTTGCATAAAGGACTTGGAACATGCTGTTTATGTTCTCGCAAAGGATTAATTTGTCACTTTCTAGGGTGTTATTGCTTCTTTTCTGGTCCTGCTCCAGAAACTCTGGCCACAATATATATATATACACACACACACACACATACACACCCACAGTGACTTTGATCTGTTAGATTGCCTCTTCAAAACATTTTACCCCCGAAGACCAACCACGTATTAAAGATGCAGATAGATACAGTCCACTCAGAGAAACCTCAAAAGCTTGTGCTGTGATGCTCTCAAAAGTTCCCAGGTCACATTTCAAATAAAATTTGATAAAACTTCACTGGGCTATGTGGCTCTGTGTGTGTGTGTGTGTGTGTGTGTGTGTGTGTGTGTGACAGCAAAGCCAGTATGTATTGTGAAATCTTTTTTATTTATGCATACAAGAGCTGGGGTGTAGGTCAGAGGTGTGGGGGGTGAGAGGACTCACCAGAGACAGAGTGGGGAACAGAACGGATGGATCCACTGAAACGCATTGCTGAGGGCAGCAGCAGGGAGACAGGAGAGGTCTCCAGATTTGCATGTCTGCCTTGGAGTCTCCCCTGTGCTGAAATTAACAAGTAGACTTAGGGGTTAAAATGGAATCACTGGACCAGGAAAAGCCTCAGTCCTCAAGCTGCCCCTCCCAGTGCCTGTCTGTGGTCACAACCCCCTACCTTCACTTTAGAGCACTGTCCCTAGTTACGCCAAACTTGGAGAAGGGCAGCTCTGTAGGTTTCAAAGTCACTTACCTCCTAAGTGATTAAAAATCAGGGAGAGCTTCCTAGAGGGGAGAGGCTCTGTGGATAAAGCATTAAAGCCCCAAAACTGGGGCCTCCCTCGTGGCGCAAGGGGTTAAGACACAGCACTACTTAGCTATCCGCAGCCTCTGCAGCACGATCTTTGATCCCTGGCCAGGAAGCTACCCACATGGTGCAGCAGACCTCTCCTGTCTCGCCCGCTGCTCCCCTCAGCAGTGTGTTTCAGTCAATTCAATGTTCTGCTCCCCACTCTGTCTCTGGTGAATGCTCTCACCTCCCACACCTCTGGCCTGTACCTCAGTTCTTGTATGCATAAATAAATCTTTTTTTTAAAAAAAAAAAAAAAAGACTCCAAGACTACTTAGAAGAGGCAAAAAGTGTTAATGTGGGATCAGATATTTCCTCCTATGTGAGTTTTTCTTTGGGTCAACTTGATCTCACTAATGAGTTTTTAACATGCTTGCCTCCTTTATTTATTTTTTTAAAGATTTATTTGTTTATGCATATAAGAACTGAGGTTTAGGCCAGAGTTGCAGGGGGTGAGGACTAACCAGAGACAGAGTGGGGAGCAGAACAGATGAATCCACTGAAATCCACTGTTGAGGGGGGCAGCGGGTGAGTCAGGAAAGGTCTGCTGCACCATGTGGGTCAGCTTCCTGGCCAGGGTTACAACTCATGCTGCAGTGGCTGCTGATAGCTTCATAGTGCTGACACTTAACCCCTTGTGCCACCAGGGAGGCCCTGAATTTGTTTTTTTGCTCAAGTTGCACGTTGAGTTCATTTGTGCTGAAGCTGGCAGGTTGGGAGGAATCAAGCTCACGGGGTTAAAAACATGTCTGCAAGGAAGACACATGGAGATACTGGGGACTGAACCCAGGGCCTCCTGCACGTTGCACTTGGGCACTGAGCCACACCCCCACCTGCCACATACTTTGTGTATAGCATTTTAGATGCTTTTATAAGGATTTTTTCACAAAGAATCCTGGACAGAAAATCAGGAGGCCAGAATTTTATTCCTTCTTTGGTTTTCTCATTCACAGTATGAGGATACCTGTTACCAAGTTTATTTTTAATTATTTTTAATTTTTATTTATTTATGCATACAAGAGCTGGGGTACAGGCCAAAGATGTGGGAAAGTGAGAAGATCCACCAGAGACAGAGTGGGGAACAGAACAGGCAGATTGACTGAAATACACTGCTGAGGGGAGCAGTGGGCGAGTCAGGAGAGGTTTGCTGCGCCATGTGGGTTGTTCCCTGGCTGGTCGGGGATGGAACTCGTGCTGCAGAGGCTGTGGACAGCTTCATAGGTTGCATCTTAACCCCTTGCGCCACCAGGGAGGCCCCTGTTACCAAGTTTAAATGGAGGTCGTAAAGCTCAAATGAAGAAACATCCTAAAAAGCACTTCCAAACATTTCAAGGCTAAGAAGAAAGTGTGGGTTCCGGACTACGTGAACCTACGTAGCATGGGGGCTACGTGTTGACATTCAACCCATTTCCTGGGTGTTGCCGGTATGTCACCCAAGACTGGGTACTGGTCAATTTCTTCACTCCCAATTTTATGAAGGCAGACACATCGCACACTGGAAAGATTGGGTTAAACCAGCAGAATTCAAAATTAAGGCTAGACCTAAAGCTATATACAGGAAGTCCATGACCTTTGAATGTATAGTTTTTTTTTTTTTTTAAATCAAGAAAAATAAATTCTGTGAATAATGAGTAACTAGCAGGAACAATGAACAGGAATAATTAAATCAATCTTATATTGTATTAATAAGTAATAACAGGATCTTAATTTCCCCAGGGTGATCTTGCAGGGCTGGGACACAGACATCAGGAATAGCAAGGAGACTTTGTTAGACTGGTTTGTTCTTAACCGAAAATCAGAATATCCTGGGGAGCTTAAAAAAATTTATGTTGGGCACACCTGGCATGATTTAATTCTTCTGAGATGGCGCCTGGACATTTTGTTTTTTGAAGTTCCCCCAAGTGATTCTCATGTGCCTGCAAGTCTAGAAGATCACAGAAAGTGAAAGTGAATTATTGGACTGGAAATGACCAGTTAGCCTGCTTTACTGGAGGAAGGCGCTGTGGACTGGAGACTAATAAAGGGCCCTTGGATCCACATGGGAAGCCATAATTTGATTCTAGAGGCAGGACGCAGAAGGAATGAGGATATGGGAATGCTTGAAAAGTTTTACCTGATCTCAATAGTGAGGTCAGGTGTTCCAGAGGCACTGCAGGAACTGGCAGCAGCTTCTGCTGTGCCCACTGCCAGCTCCGGCCTGAGGCCTGTCTGTGCACACTGTCAGGATGCTGGATGGCACAGGTGGGAACAGCACCTGCGCCTGGCCGAGGACCCCCCTGGCCTCTGTGGTGGTGGGGCTGGCCCCCGGCAGAGGCAGTTTGCTGAGAAACAACAAAGAATCTCAGTGACATCTTGTGGGCTTGGGGTTTAACAGTAACTCATGGTCTCAACACCTAACTTGTTGCATCTAGAAAATTCCATGTTATTCTAGACTTTCTTTTGAATGAATTTTGGTCGTTTTTAGTGATCAAATTCACACTTGAAAGTTGAAAGGTTGCCCACTGGGAAGATTCAAGAAAAACACGGTAATTATCACCAACATGCACCATCTTCTGCACAGTTTCAAAGCCATTGGTGTGAGCTGCATTAGACCCGTGGAGCAGCTAACGCGGCCACCCAATTGCATCATCTACTCATTACGCGTTTGGACTGAGGAAAGGCTATGGAGTCATTAAGAACAGAGAGAAGCCAGAGAACTTCACTCACCTGCTGTGTCAAAACTTGTAAAGGAGGTGATGAGATGCCTGTTTGAAGGAAACTAAGAATAAACTCCAGAGAGAAAAGGGAGCATTCTCTCCAACTTTAGATAGGTATAAAGCAGAAACTGTCAGAAGTTAGTGAGAACAAGAGGGAGAGAACGTGTGTGTCTGTGTCTGTTCATTTAAGTTTGAATAAAAATGTTAGCAATAGGTGGATCTAAAAGAGGCCACCCCTGGTGGCGCAGGGGTTAAAGACACGGCGCTGTCAATCTATCGCCAGCCACTGCAGCACGAGTTCAATCCCCAGCCAGGGAGCTACCCACATGGCGCAGCAGACCTCTCCTGTCTCCCCGCCGCTCCCTCCTCAGTGGATTTCAGTAGATGTGCCTGTTCTGCTCCCCACTCTGTCTCTGCTGAAGCCTCTCAACCCCACCCCCGCACCTCTGGCCTGCACCCCAGTTCTTATATGCATAAATAAATAAACCTTAAATAAATAAAAGAGGCAAGGATGTTAAAAACTCATTAGTGAGGTCAAGTTGAACCAAATAAAACTCACGTAGGAGGAAATATCTGATCCCCACATTAACACTTTTTTTCACATTAACACTTTTTGCCTCTTCTAAGTAGTGTTGGAGCTTTAATGCTGTATCCACAGAACACCTCCCCTCCAGGAAGTTCTCCCTGATTTTTAATCACTTAGGAGGTCAATGACTTTGAAACCTGCAGAGCTGCCCTTCTCCAAGGTTGGCGTAACTAGGGACAGTGCTCTAAAGTGAAGGTAGGGGGTTGTGACCACAGACAGGCAGTAGGAGGGGCAGCGTGAGGTCTTAGGCTGCCCCTTTTCCTGGTCCAGTGATTCCATTTTAGTCCCTAAGTCTACGTGTTAATTTTGGCACGGGGAGACTCCAAGGCACACATGCAAATCTGGTGGTCTTCTTCACTAAGAGTAAATAAAGACTTTTTCTTTTTTTTTTATTTATGCATACAAGAACTGGGGTGTAGGCAGAGGTGCGGGGGTGGGGTAGGGCGAGAGCATTCACCAGAGACAGAGTGGGGAGCAGAACAGGCAGATCTACTGAAATCCCCTGCTGAGGGGAGCAGCAGGGAGACAGGAGACAGGTCTGCTGCGCCATGTGGGTCAGCAACCTTGTGGGGGATCAAGCTCGTGCTGCAGTGGCTGAGGATAGCTTGGTAGCACTGACTGAGACTTGAATCCCTGTGTCACTGATTCGAATACTGACTTGGACACACCCAGGCATAGTCTTACCAGCTATCTGGGCATCCCTTGGCCCAGGTAAGCTGATGCATGAAATTAACCATCATGCCACTTAAATAAATGTTCCTGCATTTACAGATTCCCTCTTCTCTGGCCTCTTCTCTACCCTTTAGTTCAGCATCTATCACTTCAAACACCCCATCCAGAGCAGTGGCTATAGAATTGCTAGTGAGGAGACAGAAGGGGGCTGTGGGATCAGCCCCTACAAGAAATGCTTGTTAACAGTGATACTTGACATTTCTCAGGCACCTCACCCCACTGCTCACCCTGCCCCTCAGTACACAAGAGAACTCACAGGTACCCATGAAGCATGGACACATCACTAGACAGAACTGCTCTTGTTCCTGGATCTCTCCCACCTGTTCCTGGATCTCTCCCACCTGGCATTTCTCTGCCCCAGAAGCCCTGGGGTCCCTGGAGGACCCACGGGAAGGTCCAGCCTGTGCTGCTGCAGCTGCTCCCTCCCTGTGCCCTTTTTGTTTTCCTCTGGGAAGTGCCTAGGTCCTCCATTCACTACCCACCTGCTGTATCCACTGCTGGTCTTTGTGGCCCTTGGTCTTAGTGCTTAGTAAGGTTGGTACGACAAAGCCTGTGTGCTTAATTTCTGAGTTGAGTAGCTTGGTTCCTGTCTCCTTACAGCCAGCTGAACTTCTAACCCTGGGCAGTCATCTCCGTGGATGGCTGTCTAAACACCTCGTCTGCAAGGGAGAAACAAGGTGGGTGACTACGGTGGTGTCACAGTGCTTGAAGAGGGAAGGCACTGCAGCTGCTTCATGCTGAAAATGCAGTGTTAATGCTTGGGGAGAAGCTGGTCCTCTCCTTCCCTCCCCTAGAAAAAGGGAAGATAAGTCACGCTCAAGCCCATGTGTGCTCTGAAGTGTGTCTCACTGGTGGACATGAACTTGCCTGGACGCTACCTGCCTGGTCCCCCAGGTGACAGTGGACGTGGTATTTACAACCCGGGGCAGCCTATGGCCAGGGAACAGAGGGCCGGAAAGCATCGCTTCTGGGAGTGTGATGTCAACTGGCCTGGAAACTCCTGAGGATCTTCTGAAAATGGCCCTCCAAGCTGCCCTTCAGCTTCTTTTTGTGTGTGTAGAAGGACTGGGGTATAGGCCAAAGGTACAGGAGGTGCAGGGGGTGAGAGGATTCAGCAGAGACAGAGTGGGGAGCAGAACAGGTGGATCTACTGAAATCCCCTGCTGAGGGGAGCAGCAGGGAGACAGGAGAGGTCTGCTGCGCCGTGTGGGTAGCTCCCTGGCCGGAGATCGAACCCAGGCCTCATGGTGATAGTGCTGAGACTTAACCCCTAGGCTACTAGGGGGGCCCTGCCCTTTAGCTTAGGAAGTGCAGGGGGACAGTGCAGCAGGTCAGCCTCCACAGAGCGGGCACAAGATGGGGACTAGTCATTTAGAAAGACAAACCAGACACTCTTTAGAGGATAATTACAAGGACTTACCTTTTGGAGTAACTACCCTTGCTGCGTGTCTATCATGTGCCAAGCACTGTTCTTGTCTCACTTGACTTGGTAACTGTGGAGAATCACTGTTATCTTCATTAACATAGGGAGAGCCAGGAGGAAGCCCAGAGAAGTTAAATGAATGGGTCACAGTCACAGCTCCCGGGTGAGGTCGCAATTTAAACCCAGGTCGATCCAACAGCAAAGCCCACATCAGCCAAAACAGCCCCTGGCTTCTAGTAGGTGCTCAGTAAATATCTGCGTAATGAATGAATGAAATTCCCCCCTCCTGCCCTGTCCATCACCCGTCCTGGCCTCTCGAGGTTCTCCTCTGACACTGACCCACATGCCAAGGCCTGGGACGAGGCAGCTCAGGAGCGCAGCGCGCTGACCCGGGCAGGGGGACTGGACACGGCGGCCCAGCTCACTCCGCGCCGCCCAAGGCCGCGGGTGGACGCAGGGCCGGGCCCGGGGCGAGGGGGAGAGGCCGGAGGAAAGTGGCCGGAGGCAGAATCACTCCTGCAAATTTCCCAGCGGGGCCAGGCCTCGGTTTCCCTCGCCCGGCCCCCCCAACCCCGCTCGCAGACGCCCCCGAGAGGCGCGGGGGTCGGGCCGGGGCGCGCGGCGAGGCCGGGCCGGGCGGGCCGGGCCGGGGCGCGCGGGCCGGGGGCGGCGCGGCCGGGCGGGCCCCGGCGGGCAGGCGCCGGGCGGCCATTGGCTGCGCGCGGGCCGCGAGGGGCGGGCGCGGCGCCGAAGGGGCCTGTTTGCTCCTACGGGCTGTAGATGGAGCTGTCCGGCCCCGGCGAGGGGGAGCGCGCCTGGCGAACGTTCCTGCTCTGCCTGGCCGGCCCGCGCGGGCACCAGCGCTCCCAGGATGCAGTTTGTGTCCACACGGCCGCAGCCGCAGCAGCTGGGCATCCAGGGCCTGGGGCTGGACGGCGGCGGCTGGAGCTGGGCGCAGGCGCTGCCCCCGAGGAGGTCTGCCACCAGGAGCCGGCGCTGCGCGGGGAGATGGCCGAGGGGATGCCGCCCATGCAGGTGGGTGCCGCCCCCGCCCGGCGCCATGGCCGCGCCGCCGGGCCGTGGGGGCGGGGCGGGGCGCGGCGGGCCCGGCCGCCCCCGCGCCCCGACCCCCGCGCAGGCCCCGGCCCGGCCCGGCCCCGGCCCCGGCCGCGCGCCGCAGGCCCCCGCCGAGCCGCGTGCGGGCCGGGCCGGGCGGCGGCCGAGGAGGCCCCGCGGGGCCGGGACCCGGCGCGGCCGCCAGCGCGTCCCCCGGCCGGGCCGCGGGCCCCGGGGCGCGGGGCTGCGGCGCGGGGCGCGCGGGCCTGGCCGGGGCCCCCGCGGCCGCCGGGGGGACGAGGAGGTGGACGCGCCGCCCGGCCGGCCCTCCCCGCGCGCGCGCCTCGCGGGCCCGGGGCGACGGAGGGACGCGCCCGAGAGGTGACTTTGCCTCCTGCCCGGCGCCGGCAAACTTGGCCGCACGTTCCCCCACCTGGGCGGCCAGGCAGGCGCCGGCGCCCCGGCCGGGCCCCGACCGGCGCCGTCAGCATCCCGGGTGAGAGCAGCGCCGCCGCGAGGAGGCACCGCCGCGGGGGCTCTGGAAGCCCCGGGGGCGCAGCGCGCCCGCCGGCCTGAGAACCCCTGCGCCCGGGTCGTGTCTAAAATGGGGAGCTCCCGCCTGGAGGCCTGGGGATCCTTCCCGGCAGGGCCTGGGGAGCCCACCCGCCGCACCCACAGAGGCCTCCCTGCTGGGGCCTGGTTCTCAGCGGGGCTCTGACCTGTCAGCCGGGAGGTGCATGCTGGGTCCCCAAACCTGCACGAACCGGGCCCGGGGACTTTCTAAACTTCCCCCGGCAGCCCTGTCCCCCTCCCTGGGCCAGGCCCAGTGAAGCCTGAGTGAGCCCAGGCGCCTGGATTTGGTAGGAACACCCAGGCCTCTTCCTCAGCAGGCCCGGGGCCCAGGGCCTGCTCCTCCCTGGCCTGTGTCGCCAAATGATTCCCTGGGAGCGTGGGGTGTTCCTCCGGGACTGTCACAGCTGCTCCGAGTTAGGGCAGTTGGCAGGTCTCTTCCTGGCTGCCCAGGTCACCTCTGAGCAGCAGGCCTCCCCGATGCCCAGCCTGAGGGTGGCCACGGGGAGAGCAGAAAATGACCCTCCTCCCTTGCCACATGGCCCGGCTGTCCTCCATAAGCCTCCGTGCCGGTGCAGCATGGGGCCAGTTCCCAGGTCCCCGCTGGATTGTACCCCCCTCTTTGGTCATAGAACTCAGCTCCCAGTGAGCACCCATGGGAGCTGGCTTCCAGGGTGAGGGCTCAGTGCTGGGAGGTCAGGGGAAACCCCCGGGTCTTGGGGCACTGGGGCTGGCGAGGGGACCCGAGATGTCCTCGTCCTCTTAGGATAGCCGCTCCACAGCGAGTGACATTTTTGGGCAAACCTATTTTGGAAAATAGGAATAAATCATCGTGGTGGGAGATGGCGGTGGCCTGCTCTCCCGCTGCTACGGCTCTGGCCTGAGCTGTGTGTTCCCTCCGGTTGGCAGGGGAGCCAGGTGCTATAGAGTGACCCCCACTTCTCTGAGCCCCGATTTCAACATCTTCCCCTCCAAGATAATCATCTTGCCCTAACTGGCCTCGAGATTGCCGGGAAGATTAGGGCCTGATGAGTTACGTGAAAATTGTGACTGAAACACAGCAGCAGCAGAAGCTGTAAAGCGTTCCTTGTTGTCTCCCCCTTGAAAGCAGCAGTTCTGGTCAAGGAGCATGGGGTGTGACACCTTAGGCCAGGGTTTCCAGTGCAGAGGGCCAAGGTGCACATGCATGGGCTGCCTGACCCCCGCAGTCAGGCGGTGGGCGGGGCGGGTGCAGGCCGCTCAGCTACTGCTGGGGACAAGAGCGGACCCCGCTGTCTGTGGGCAGGGACTGGGCAGACGGTGAGAACTGGTGCCACCTGACGTGTCACCCACTGCTCTGGGGCCACCCTCCCCCCACACAGGATAGTCACTTCCTCCCTCTGCACGCAGGCTCAAGAGTGGGACATGGACGCCCGGCGACCGATGCCTTTCCAGTTCCCGCCCTTCCCAGATAGGGCCCCCGTCTTCCCGGACCGCATGATGAGAGAGCCCCAGCTGCCCACGGCCGAGATCTCCCTCTGGACCGTGGTGGCCGCCATTCAGGCTGTGGAGAGGAAGGTGGATGCCCAGGCCAGCCAGCTGCTCAATCTGGAGGGGCGGACGGGCACGGCCGAGAAGAAGCTGGCCGACTGCGAGAAGACGGCCGTGGAGTTCGGGAACCACATGGAGAGCAAGTGGGCCGTGCTGGGGACGCTGCTGCAGGAGTACGGGCTGCTGCAGCGCCGGCTGGAGAACATGGAGAATCTGCTGAGGAACAGGAACTTCTGGGTCCTGCGGCTGCCCCCCGGCAGCAAGGGGGAGGTCCCAAAGGTACGTGGCAGTCCCTGGGGCGGGGATGGCGATGAGCACCAGCACTGATAAGCAAGACCACTCGTGTGGTCAGGCCCTCACACACCTCCCTGGCTCCCTGCCGTCCACTTCCAGTGTTTTCTCAAAACCTGTCTCCATCCTCGCCACCCCAGCCTTCCTCCCCCTCAAGTTATCTGGGTTTTCCCCCACTCCGACTCCCAGTATGTCCACATCAACCCTCCCCTCCCTGCTGGACATCGTCAGCCTGGAAGCGTGCGTTGCCTGTCTCTGTGATAACCTCCAGACCCAGGCCCCCCAGCCCCCAGTTAGGGCCGTGCCCCTGCTCCTCTTCAGACCAGAATCCCTTAAAGGAGTGGTTTACCTTCCTTCCCTCTCATCTCGCTTCCTTTTTTAGTCTTTTATTTTTTTAATTTTTTTTTAAAGATTTATTTATGCGTACAAGAGCTGGGGTGGGGTGGGGTGAGAGGACTCACCAGAGACAGAGTGGGGAGCAGAATAGGCAGATTGACTGAAATACACTGCTGAGGGGAGCAGCGGGTGAGACAGGAGAGGTCTGCTGCGCCATGTGGGTCAGCTCCCTGGCTGGGGATCAAACTCGTACTGCAGTGGGTGCTGATAGCTTCAAAGTATTGAGACTTAACCCCTTGCACCAGCGGAGAGGCCACTTTTTTAGCCTTTTATTAGAAGATTCAATATATAAAAGTTGTTAGAATAGCATGAGGATCCTCACGAACCCACATCCAACACCAACAACCATCAGCTCTTGGCCAGTCTCGTCTCATATTAACCCCTACCCACACCCCCTCCTATTTTATTTTGAAGTAAGTTCCAGACATCAGTCATTTCATTTGTAAATATTTCAGTATGGAAGGACTTTTTTTTTTTTTTTTTTAAAGATTTATTTATTTATGCTTACACTGGGTACAGTCAGAAGCTCGGGAGGGTGAGAGAATTCACCAGAGCCAGAGTGGGGAGCAGAACAGGCTGAAGGACCAAAGAACACTGCTGAGGGGAGCAGCGGGCGGCAGGAGAGGTCTGCGTGCCGTGTGGGACCCTCGCAGGTGGCCGGGGATCGAACCGGCGCTGCAGAGGCTGCGGGCAGCCTTGCAACCCAGCGCTCAACCGCTGCGCCACTGGGGAGGCCCGACTTTTTTTTTTTTTAAGATTTATTTTAAATTTTTATGCATACAAGAGCTGGGGTGCAGGCCAGAGGAGGGTGTGTGTGTGAGAGGATTCACCATAGACAGAGTGGGGAGCAGAACGGGTGGATCCACTGAAACCTATTGCTGAGGGGAGCAGTGGGGAGACAGGAGAGGTCTGCTGTGCCATGTGGGTATCTCCCTGGCTGGGGATCAAACTCGTGCTGCAGTGGCTGCGGACAGCTTCATAGGTTGCATCTTAACCCCTTGTGCCCCCAGGGAGGCCCCATTCTATAGGTTCCCCCTCATTCATTTTCCTTATAACTTATTGGGGGGAGAGGCTAGGCCATCTGTCCTGGTGCCACATCTCGGTGATTCTAGATTCTGCCGAAGCTCGTCTCTGTGGCCCCCTTCCGCGTGCTCCCCTGTCTCGGTACGCCAGCGGCCCTCCCTGAAGCCTCTCCCGTCAGGCTTTGGCCACCTCCTCTCGATCCCATCGGCCTTGCTGAAGCCCCCTGGAAGGCCGTGGTCAGTTCTCAGTCGCCGGCCGTCCTTCCCCCCTGTTGGGCAGGCATTTCCTGCAGAGGCCACGTCCCTGAGATGCTGTTCCACGTGGGCCTGGGGCCCTCTGGACTCTGCTCCCAGCGCACTGACTGTTCCATCGTCCTCACAGGTTTTTCCTCCTCTCCTGACTTCCTGAGTTGGGAGCAGCCTGGGCTGGGCCTTGGCCTTTTGCTGGTTGTGCCCATCCCTTCTGATGGCCTCCAGCCTCCCGGCTGTCCACACCATCTTTTCCTCCCTCTCTGTCCTGCCCGGGCCCGTTCTGCAGGACACAGTCACATTCTGGCCTGTTCCTTCGGCGCCCCCATCTGGTGTCAGTCACAGCTCCAGTTTCACATGGCCAGAGGCCTGCCGGCCCCAGGTCACTTCATCCCCACCGGAGACACCGTCCTTCCAGTGCTCAAGTGGAAACTTTGGGGTCACACCTGTCTCCCCTTTCTCACATCCAACTTCCAATATATTAGGAAATACCGCCTGGTTTCTTCCTTTAGTCTCACCGTCTGTCCACCCCACCTGCTCCAGCACCCCTGTTCTCTGGTCTCCATCCTTGCCCCCCCATCCAACTCATCCTTAGGGGAGCACCTGGAGTCACCCTCGGAAAATATAAACCGGTCACATCAGGCCTCTGCTTAAATCCCCAGAGCGTTTCCCATTTCCTCTGGGGGAAAGCTGCGGTCTCCTCGCACGCCCTCCCCCCGCGTCTCTCACTTCCTCCTGCCCGTTCCTGCCCCGCTTGCTGTCCTGCCACCTCGGGGCTTTTCCTCCTGTGAAAGCCCCTTCCCCTCAGGCCTGTCCTGTCCTTCCCTCGGGCTGAGCACTCACTGGACCAGGCGTCCCGGTCTGAGCAGACACATCCCCGGCCCCCACTGTGGTTTCTGTCCCTGCTCTCGCTTTCTCCAAAGCACTCGGGCCGTCAGGCATCTGGAGCGCTGGCTCCTTTCCTGCCATCCTGGTTGGGTTTCTGCGACCGGAACATCCCTTCTGCCGGGCTCACCACCCCGCGGCGTGCCTATGACGGCGTCTGGTTTACCATCGGGGTGCCTGGGGCTCGGAGCTGCGGGGCGTCAGGATGGGGTCTCCAGACTGGCAGGCTGCTGGACAGTGCCTGGCAGCTTGCGCAGGTGCACAGGGCTGTGTTGTGACAGTGGCGCAGGTTCCTCTGGAACATTCTCTGCCTCTGCAGCCCACCCACTCACGGGCAGGTGGCGTCCGTCTGGCTGTCACTGTCCAGTTCAGTCTGCTCCTCCTTTCAGGCCCTCCCTCCCGTCTGTTGCTGCTGTGGTGACAGGAGCCACGTCCTCGTGTGGCTCTGGCGTGTGCCTCTGGCGTGTGCAGGTGTCGCCTGCCCTCACGGGTGACCCGGTGGTGGGGGCTGGAGTCAGGGTGGGGTCTGAGTCTTGGCCACACACTGGCTGTCCTGCCTCTGGTCAAGGAGGCTTTTGTGGCCTGATCCTCTTCTATTCCTCCTGTGAGAGAAATGAAGTATAAATAAATAAACAGTCTAGTAAGCACATTCCCTCCTAGTTTCAGTATTCTCATCTGTAAATGAAGATGATAACGTGCTTCCTTTGTGGAATTGTGAGGATTAATTGCTTTTGTTTACGAGACACTGTGTAGCTCATTGTATTATTTATTTCTGGGTAATAAATTACTCTAAAATTTAGCAGTCTAAAAATATAATTTATCATCTGGCAGTTTTGGTGGGTCAGGAATTTGCGAACATTTTCCTTGGAGGTTCTGGCTCAGTGTCTCATGAGGTTACGGTGAAGTTGCTGACGGGGCGGAGGGTCCGGTCTGGCTCACTCCCTGGGCTGCTGGCAGGAAGCCCTGCTCCTCGCGGTGTGGGCGCCCCGCGGCTGCCTGAGCACCCTCATGGCATGGCGCTGGCTTCGCCGGCAGGAGCGGTCCAGGCGAGAGAGCAGGAGCGAGCTGCGGTGACTCTTCCTGCCGCTTATGACCCCGTCTCAGAGGCTGTGCAGTCACTTCCGTATTTATTTGTTCACCCAAGTCTCTCAATCCTGCCCACACTCAAGGGGAAGAGAATTAGGCTCCACTTTTGAAAAAAAGAACTGAGAACTTGTGGACACATTTTTGTTTATTATTTTAATTTTTAAAAAAGATTTATTTATATATACAAGAACTAGGGTATAGGCCAGAGGTGCAAGGGTGAGAGGATTCACCAGAGACAGAGGGGGGAACAGAACAGGTGGATCTACTGAAATACACTGTGGAGGGAGCAGCGGGGAGACAGGAGAGGTCTGCTGCATCCTGTGGGTCAGCTTCTTGTCCAGGGATCCAAGTCAGGCTGCAGCAGTGATAGGGCTGAGACTTCTTAACCCCTAGGCCACCAGGGAGGCCCACTGTGAGAATCTTACCTGACATTCCCAGCTGTAACTCAGGTGTCCTCTTGGTCACGCTTGGGCTCTCTCTCTGTCAGATTCAAGGAAGGCTGTTGTCTCTCAGATCCCGCTTGTCTCTCAGATCCTGTGCCACTTGGATTCAGTTGTTTGTTAATTGGCTTGCAGATCATTCTCAGATAGTCTTTTCTAGCCTTCAGCCACCCTGTGGTCTCCAACCTGGTCTCAGGCTTCCGCTGTGTCCTGGGGCAGCGACATCCCATGGGTGATGTCTATTTCCAGCCCCAGGATATGGTCCTGGAGTTTTGTGCCTTCACAGAGTGGTGATGTGAGGGAGAGGAGTTGGTGTGTTGGGAAAGATAATAAACTCGGTTTTGGATACATTTGGTTTGAGTACTTGAAAGGTGATTAAAGAGTCCTCTTGGGGCTGTGGAAATGTGAACCTGAAGGGGAACAGGGAAGGCTGAAGACGCATCTGCAGAGAGGGAACAGGTGGGCAGTGAAAAGAACTAAATTTCCAAGGGAAAGTGAAGAAATTGGGAGGGGGCCCAGGGAGGAAGAGAAAGCAGAAAGGAAGACGGGAGCCGGGCCTCCCTGGGGGCACAGGGGGTTAGTCTCAGGCTGTCAAGCTGTCGCCAGCCACTGCCACCTGAGTTCAGTCCCAGCCAGGGAGCTACCCACATGGCGCAGCAGACCTCTCCTGTCTCCCCGCTGCTCCCCTCAGCAGTGTTTTTCAGTAGATCTGCCTGTTCTGCTCCCCACTCTGTCTCTGGGGAATCCTCACCCCCTGCACCTCTGGCCTGCACCCCAATTCTATGCAAAAAAAAAGACGGGAGTCATGTGGACAGAAGGCAGCCTGGTTGTGGAGACAAAGCAGGGAAACTTCCAGAAAGAGGGTCTGAAATGGTGAAAGTTAACACCTGGGGTGAGGTGTCAGGGTTCAGGGTCACAGACAGAATTTAAGGGGTCACAGGGTGTGACTGTGTATCCCTGGGGTGTCTCACATGAAGAGGTTGCCTGAGGCAGAGTTGAATACAGGTTCTTTTGGGCTGATGACCCTGAAGGGAAGGAGCAGACGGCAAGGAGGAGATGGAAGCTGTAAGAGAAAGCGCTGCTAAGGTTCAGGGATGTTCAGGGCCAGGAGGTGGGGAGAGACGAAGGGTGGGGAGCTTGTCTGATCTATCTGTATCAGAAGATATGGGGGGGAGGGGGCGCCCCACGGAGGCATGGGCAGCGGGAAGGTGGAAAGGGCCTTCCTGCAAGGAGCGGGGCCATGGCAGCAGTCAGCGAGAGGCAGCCAAGGCAGAGGGGTGCGCTCCGGCCTAGCTCACCTGCAGCAGGGAACTAAAACGCAGAAACTGAGCTGCCTCGGTTTTCCCAGGTTGGGAACTTGCCCGAGTCTGGTGGAAGGTCCAGGCGGTTAGTTCTTATCTGAAGATGGGTGGGAAGCTAGCTGTCAGGAGGGGCTCCCGGCGTGCCCCCCACACCTGCGCAGGACAGACGCCCGGGGCCTTGCGCTCCTGGCTGCAGGGCTGACGGTGGTGAGCCCCACGGGCCTGACCCCCGGAGGACTGGCTTTCTGACTGGCCCAAAGGTGTTGTATAGGAAAGAACGAAGTCTGTGTGGACTAGAATTAGGGCGTGGTGGGGGCAGAGGGGCTGGGGTTCAGATGCGAGCGAAAGAGGGGTGAGCGATGTGGACGTCGCAGAGGTGGCTTGGGTCAGGGAAGGCGGCCGGACCATCGAGTCATGGAGGTGGAGCCGCACTCAACCATGGAGCCCCAGGGAAGGCCCAGCTGGACTCAGGCGAGGATCCTGGTCAAACTGACAGCCGGGCAGCCAGTCAGATGACCTTGACCCTCACGTGGTGGGCGGTGACCGCAGACGTCTCGGGCTCTGTGCTCCGGGATGCCCGGGACTGTCATGAGCGGGACAGACCTGGGCCCTGGACTTTCCTGTTTTACATATTTTAGTGACAAAAATGTAACTGTGCACGAGTAGTGACCTGACCGGAAAGACAGGTTTGATAACAGGGTTTTGCTGGACTTGGCTCCCAGTCCCCACACTGAGAACCTGCCGCGCCTCTGGCCCCCCGAGTGCCAGGAGTGACACGTGACTTCGGGTGCCCAGTTTACTAAAAGTGAAATGACAGAGGTGGGGTCACACAGGCAGCGCGTGCCCTCGCCATTGCTAGAGCAGAAGGTCAGAAACAGAGAGGACGTGCCAAGGAAGAGGACGCTGCTGGATTTGGGGGAGGGAGCCAGGGGAGCAGAGGGGGCTCGGGGACGGGCAGCTGGCAGGTGGGGAGCTGGTGGGGAGGAGCCGGCAGGCGACGTGGACTGAAGCTCTCGCTGGCCCAGGTCCCGGTGACTTTCGTCGACATAGCTGTTTACTTCTCGGAGGACGAGTGGAAGAACCTGGACGAGTGGCAGAAGGAGCTGTACAACAACCTCGTGAAGGAGAACTACAAGACGCTCGTGTCCCTGGGTAAGCGCCCGGCAGCGGGCAGGTGCCCCCACGCACACCTGACGGAAACCCCGGAGACCTCGGCCTGCGCTGCTGGGAGGAGAGGATGACTTCTGGTGGGGTGCGAAGTAGAGAGACAGAAACAGGGCCTCTGGCAATGGAACTGAACCCACCAGCCACCATGCTGGGACACGGGCGGCGTCCTCACGGGCATCTGCCGCTTGCTGCAGCCCGTGTGGGACCAGCTATCTTGGCCATTCTGACCTGTGCTGCAAGTTCCTCACTGAGGTTGCCTGACATGCTCACCTGACAGCTCCCACCTGGAGGGGAGGGCTGGGGGGGCTCGGCCATCACCCTGTATTGGGCCCCTCGGTGTTTCACTCAGCTTCACCTTCCTTCCTCCTCCCAGATGGGGACGGCCCCGTGCCCAAGCCAGATGCTCCCGCCCAGGCGGAGCCCCGAGAAGAGCCCTGTGTGTGGGAGCAGCGTGAGCCAAAAGGGCGAGAGATCCTGATGGATCCAGACGCAGGTGATGGCAGCAGGATGGGGCCAGTGGGCCGGCGAGAAGTCCCGGTCTGCGGGGTCCCTCGTGGGGCAATGAGGTGGTTGGTCACTGACAGGAGGAGATTCAGGCCCTGAGAGCTCACTGGGGGTGTTGCCTTTGGGGTTAGCACTATGCAGCTCTCGATGCCGCTGAGCTGGGCCGAGAGAAGAGCAGCCTCTGGGACTGAGGGTGACCTGCAGAGGCGGGTGCTGTTTGGGGAGCTGCCCTGGGTGGGGAGGCGGAGGGGGCGTGCCAGGGGACCTGATGTAGTGCTCATAGCCCGTTGCTTCTTGCCTGGCTGTGCCCCCGTCATTGTCACCCACCTTCACTGACACCCCAGCCCAGGCAGCTCATGCTTCAGCACTTTCTCCTCACCCAGAAGGAATCTGGGCCTGGGCAGTCCAGGCCCAAGACCGTCACCCCCACTGGGGGGGCGGGGCCAGAAGGTTCCAGAGTTCTAGTCCCCCGCCCAATGGATGTTTCCCAGGCCTCGGCAACCCTGAGTGAATCCTGGTGCTCGGACTCTGTCCTCTGCCTTCCCGTGAGAGCTGCCATACTCTGCGCCCTGCATGTGTCCTTCTTTCTAAGTGGGCACTCAAAGTCCACTCGAGTCCCCCACAGAGAAGCTCTCAAGGCAGCCCCCCTTCCCGACCTGTTCTTCTGATTGAGACATCCTCCATAGACTCGGAATTCACTCCTATAAAGTGTATAATTCAGTGGTTCACAGAGTTGTGCCACCGTCACCACTGTCTGATTCCAGCGATGTCCATCCGGAGCCGCCCTTACCCATGAGCAGTTCCTCCCTGCCCTCCCCCGCGGGCCCCGAGCCACCGCCAGGCAGCTTGTTTGGCTCCGTCTAGGTCCTGAGGCACTGCAGACACACATGGTCTGCAGCTGTGGCCACGGGTCCTATATCTGAGGCAGCCTTGCCCGTGTACGGCACAAAACCACGAGCGTCACACGTTGTCCAGCACTGGGCGAGGGAGAACAGGGATCGCCGTGCCCACTTTATGGGTGACCAGGCAGACTGAGAGCCAGGGAATTCCTGATGCCCTCTGGGTTGGGGGCAGAGTTGATCCAGGGATCCAGGCCTTCCGCTCCCTCACCCAGTGCCTTTCCTACCGCCTGGGCTGTGTCCTGCTAGGGCTGGTGCCATGACCTGGGGGGTGTCACAGGAGAGCACCCCGTTTGCCCATCTTGGGTCACTGTGCATTCTCCACCTGCACTGCATCTCCGCCCAGTCCAGCTTCTCACCCATCTTGTGTGTGTGTGTCTGTCTGACCACCCCTTGGCCAGTCTTTCTGACTGGGGTAACAAGCAAGGGTGAATGACCCCTACACTGAGGTCAAACTTAAACCCTTGTCCTGACTAGCACCCACCCCGAGGTGGGACTGTTTCCAGAACTGTTTCCCGGACTTATGCCACCTCCCTTTGTCCTGAACATTGATCACCCTCAGCCCCTGGGACCCCCTAGTTGTCCACCACAACCCCTGCCTCCCGTGCTTCTCCCTGGCAAGTGCTATTGTTCACGCTTCTGACCCCAAGAGTGTCCCGGGACCCCACTCAGGACAAAGACACAAGTGACGTGCCCTCTGTCCCCAGGAGCTGAGCCCCTGGTGCCTGCGCAGGAGACGCCCTCTCAGGTGAAGCGCGAGGATGCCCTATGTGCCCGGGGTCAGCGGGGCCTGGAGGAACGGGCCATCCCCACCGAGTCCATCAGCGGTGAGTGGGCCCCGGACTGTGCCTGGAGGGGCGCAGGTTCAGCATGTGCCATCTGTCATGTGGTCAGGCTAGGACTGGACGAATCGTGGCTCCAGGACGGGGCTGGAGGCGGGATTCCCCATGGGACACAAACCCAGTGCTGTGTGGACCTGTGCCCTGCACGTCTGGGCTCGGCTTGTCCTGCCTCCTCTCCCTTGTGATGTCAGCTGTCACCTCCTCCTCCCTTCCTTTAAGAGCTACATGGGGTAGAAGTGCCAGGGAGAGGCACTGTACTAGGCTGACAGTGGGGCCTCATGGGTGGGGTCTGCTCCCTGACCGGGAAGCGCTCTCGTGTCTCCTGGCCGCTGCCCCTGTGCTGGGCACTCACACGCCTGCAGTCCCCTGGGGCATCTGGCTGGACTCTGTGAGAACTCAGCGCACACACATAGCGTTCTCCAGAGAACACAGTGTGCACGTGTGTGTACCTATTTGTGTGTTTCGAGAGAACACGTGACTAGTTGACTGATTTTTTTTTTTTTAAAGATTTATATATACATACAGGAAGTGGGATGTAGGACAGAGGTGGGCAGGGTGAGAGGGTTCACCAGAGACAGAGTGGGGAACAGAACAGGCACACTGGCTGAAGTACACTGCTGAGGGGAGCAGCGGGCAGACAGGAGAGGTCTGCTGCGCCATGTGGGTAGCTCCCTGGCTGGGGATCGAACTCATGCTGTGGTGGCTGTGGTCAGCCTCATAGGTTGTGTCCTAACCCCTTGTGCCACCAGGGAGGCCCAGGCCCAGTTCTTCTATGCAAAAAAAAAAAAAAGTAAATCTGGGACCCAGCTGAACTTTAAGAGAAAAATAATTTGCATGGAGAGACTGACTTGGAGCACAGACTGGCAGGCACTTTTGTGTCCTTGACGCGATGCCTTTGCTGCCCCGTCCCCTCAAGCAGACTCGCCAGCCTCGGCCCAGGACCTCTTGTCCCGGATCAAACAGGAGGAGCCCCCGTGTGTGTGGGATCAGCAGGACTTGGCGGAGAGGGATATTCCAACGGACCCCAATTCAGGTGAGCACGCAGCGGGCTTCGTATTACTGGGAAATCAGTCAGCCGAGTCGCTTTTGGTCAAAGGCCAGTGAAAGGGGAATAAAATACAGCACGGGCCTCTTTGGATTTTGGAATAAAACCATTAATAAGGTGGAGAAATTATTATATTGATCATTTATTGAGTCCATCTGACTGATGAAAATTACTTCACTGATATCTGAACAATAACTATAACCAAAAAAGACTTCTGAAACGGTGTACGTTCTTCTGTGAGAAAGAAAGAACTTTGCAGCTTCTGGAGTTTTTCTTGAGGGAATGCTAGTTAGATGTTGCTCAGAAAACTTCTGGGGAGGGTCCAGGTATAAAGGGGAGCATAAAGGAACAATGGGGGGCTGTGTGCACTCACTCATGTGAGTGGTGCATGTGTTTTCACACACGCTTGCAAGACTGGAGAAGTCCCACATCACCTCACCTTGTGGTTACCACCCCAGAGTCCCATCTCATCCCCATACAGGAAAGGGCAGTCTGAGGTGGGGTCTGGAGTTGCTGAGGGCTCCAGAAGCTTCTGTGCTTCCTGACAAAGCCACAGTCTCTACTGCCGTCATGACAGTGGCCCCTGGGTCCCCGGGGCATCAGAGCCCAGGCTCTCCCCCACCTGACCTGGACCTCAGCAGGGCTGAGAGGACTTTGTCCAGCTGCTCCAACCAGCCTGGGCTCCAACCTGCCTGGCCACGGTACAGACTTTGAAACAGGCCAACTGGAAATGGGGTGCCAGTGTCCCTGTGTGTGCCAGGAGGCACTTGAGAGACGAGGGGAGAAGGCCCAGTAGTGAGATGCAAATGCCACGACCAAGCTGTGGCCTTTGCTTGAGGTGGCTGGGAACCTTGGGGGGACGCTCAGCAGAAGTGCAAGTGACTGAGCAACCTTCTCTCTGCTGCAGAGTCTCTGATCTCGGCACACGACATCTTATCCTGGATCAAGCAGGAGGAGCAGCCGTATCCGTGGGGCCCACGGGACTCGATGGAGGGAGAGCTCGGCTTGGACTCTGGCCCCAGTGAGTCACGCACCAGTGGGAACCTTAGGTGCTCCGTCAGGAGCTCCAGGACTGAGGCCTGGAATTTGCCTCCTAACGGGGTGAATTCCTGTCCAGGCAGCCTCTCACAGCTGTCCCAAAGCACTGTCCCCTTTCCTTTCGGGCTGTGGCGAGTGTGATAGTGTCCTCTGGCTGTCTTACAAGTGGCCACAAAGTGGGGGCTCACCGCAGCAGAAGCCGACTGTCTCTTGGCTGCAGGCCCCAAGTCTGAAAGCACAGGTGGGCGGGGCTGTGCGCCCTCCGAAGCTTTAGGGCACCCGGGCTCCTGGTGTCTGCTGGCTTTGCTGGCCTTGACAAGACCCCCAGTCTCCACCTGCACGTGCTGGCCTCTTTGTGACTGCCCTCACCTGCTGTCAGGACAGCCATCTCGGATCAGGGCCACCTCACCTTAGCCATTTATATCCGGAAAAAGCCTGTTTCCAAATAGGGCCCTGGGGGTATAGTACCAGTTTCTGAAACATGGTGCTTGCAAGTTCCACCCAAAACTTTGTCCCTCGGTGCTGCCTCCCAACTTCTCCAAGTCACCAGGCGCATGTGGCCTGGCCGAACCTTCCCGGCGGCCGTGGGAGTGGGTCCTGGAAAATGCAGAATCAGCAGGGTCCTGCAGGCTCCCACCCCCTCTCTGCCTCAGCTTGGGTAGACCCTGCCCTGGGACAGTCTGCCTCCTGTCCTTGACCTCCAGAGGCCTTTGAACCTGAGTATTGGGAGGAAACAGCCCAGGATTTTGGGGTATGGGTGCTTGGAAGCCCTCCCCCTGCCTCTGGCTGGTTTCCCGCAGCGAGCCTGCCCCCTACTGGTTAGTGCCGGGATGTGAAGGGAGCGCCTCCCCTGTGATTTCTTTGTAGTTTCAAGTCCACCCAGATTGTGGTTCCAGGCAGAACCCAGGGGCCTTTGGTGAGGTGTGATAGCAGGTGGCAGAGTCTTTGGAGAGCATGGGCAGGGGTGGGTACAGACGCAGAGCTGCTGGTCCTTGTCCCTGCCAGCCTCCTGCCCCCTCCCCAGCTGTGCAAGAAAGACCTGGCGGCCTGTTTGAGAGTCTGACTCAGCCTGACTGGGAGTTGTGATTTAGTGAGAGGCTTCTGGGGTGAATGGCGGCCTGGAGCTGGGCCACCCATAGGTGCTGAGGCCCGAGGGTGTGCTTGGAAAGCACCCGCCTGAATTTCCCGCATTACTTACTGATGTGGGCAGAAGGGCAGTGCCAGCCTTTTAAAGTTTCTTTGACTGAGTAAGTGTTTGCCTGATGCCTGCGCTGCACAGCGCTGCGGGGTCCAGAGTAAACAGTGAGGAAGGGCCAGGGGCTCCCTCGTGGGGAACCAGCAGGCAAACAAGATAAGATACAGAGGGTGGGAGTGGGGCTGGGGGCAGGAGGCTCAGGTAGGGGAAGAGATACTTGAGATACCTGAGCTGGCCTCAGGGGAGAGAAGAGCAGAGCGGGAAGAGCGGGCCACGGCCACGGCTTCTGGGGTGGGGTGGAGCGACAGCAAGCGCTTGAGCGCCTGTGGTCTGTGGGCCAAGTTAGGGTCTGGAGTGTTCTGCTGTGAAAGGAGGCTCGTGGGGGGCTTACGCAGGGTGGTGACAGGGTCACTACATTTTAAAGAGTTGGGGAATGGATAGGAGCGGGATAGGAGCAGGAGCAGAGGCAGGAAAGCCATTTCCAAAACTGGTGTGGTTGGCTCGGACTCGGAGTAGAGATGACGTGGCCGTGGCAGCGTGGATGGGTGTGCCTGGACGTGTCGCCGGTGGGCTGACCACGCTGCCTGAGGAGTCAGGAGTGACTCCTGGGTTTGGGTCCTGAAGAACTGGGTGACTGGTGGTGCTGTTTGCTGAAACGGGAAGTCCAGAAAAGAGCCAGGTTAGCTGTGGAAATCAGGAGTTCCTGGACTCTGTTCAATGCGAGATGACATCCAAGTGGCAACATCGAGTCCACGGCTGAGTAGAGGGTGTCCGCGGGGTAGCCCGTCAGACGGACACGGGAGGTGGAGGTTGCGGTCACACCCGGCACCAGCTACCGGAGGCGGCCCAGGTCTCCCCTGTGAAAAGCACAGGCTCGCGTGAGACTGCCGTCACTTTTGACTTTCTGGCTACAAATCTAGGGTCCCTCTTACCCCTCGGGTTCGGTGGTTTGCTGAAATGACTCACAGCACACTTGATCCTTGACCAGCCCCGGGGTTGGAGGTGCCAACCGCCCCACGTAGTCAGAAATCCACGGCTGACTTGTGGCTCCCGGCACAGGGGGGCTAATAGCCTGCTGTCACCCGCAGCCTCACCGACGGCAGACATATGGGCACATGCTTCACGTGATAGGTGTGCTGTGCCCTGCATAACCCAGAGAAAAGAAAATGTTAAGAAAACCATCAGGAAGACAAGACACATTAGGTGCTGGGCCGTATTTATTGATACTCTAAATTAGGTCACCTGTTCACAAGACAATCCACGAATAATAAGTGGCCCCACGGGGTTCAAACCCCTGCTGTTCAGGACCCACATCTACTGTCTCGGGTTCCAGTGCAGCCACGTCAATTCAGGGCAGGCCTCCAGACCCCTGGGGCCCCGCGCTGGGAGTTCTAACCTGCAGCTCCCCTTACCCTTGTCCCTGGAGTCAGGACCTGCCCCCCAGCACGGTGGTGTGTGGTGGTAGGAGGGTGCTGTGGCTAGAGAACACCCCCAGCCTCTGTACCCAGCTTTATTGGGGTGTCATTGCATGACGGTCAGATCATGGGCCAGGGAGTCGGCGGCCTCCACCCCGTGCTGGCCCTGGAGCCCGGCCTTCTGGAAGGCTGCGAGGCGGTTCTTCTGGCAGGGTCAGTGCCCCTCCTGGTCAGCAGGCACTGGGGCCCGCCGCGAGCCACCTCGTTGGCATAAAGCAGGGGGGCCTGGAGAAGCCGGGGGTCAGGGAGGCGAGCTCGGGGAGGCGCGGGGGCGCGGACAGCCTCTCACCCGAGTCCTCCTCCCCAGGTGACGGCCTGCTGCTGGTGAAGAACCCGGCCCCCGCCCCGCCGCCGCCGCCCCCCGCCCCGCCGGGGCTGCCCGCGCCCCCCTCCGCGGCGGCGGAGCCCGAGGGCGCGGGCCGGGGCGCGGGCGCGCTGCTGGACGACGGCTTCGCGGCGGCGCTGGCCGGGGAGCGGGGCGCGGGCGCGGACGGGGCTCCCCCGGGCGCGGAGGCGGCGGGGGCGCGGCGGGGGGCGCGGGCCCCGGGGGCGGCGGCGGCGGGGGCTGCGGGAGCTGCTGCCCGGGCGGCCTGCGGCGGAGCCTCCTCCTGCACGGGGCGCGCAGCAAGCCCTACGCGTGCCCCGAGTGCGGCAAGAGCTTCGGGGTGCGCAAGAGCCTCATCATCCACCACCGCAGCCACACCAAGGAGCGGCCCTACGAGTGCGCCGAGTGCGAGAAGAGCTTCAACTGCCACTCGGGGCTCATCCGCCACCAGATGACGCACCGCGGCGAGCGCCCCTACAAGTGCTCGGAGTGCGAGAAGACCTACAGCCGCAAGGAGCACCTGCAGAACCACCAGCGCCTGCACACGGGCGAGCGGCCCTTCCAGTGCGCGCTGTGCGGCAAGAGCTTCATCCGCAAGCAGAACCTGCTCAAGCACCAGCGCATCCACACGGGCGAGCGCCCCTACACCTGCGGCGAGTGCGGCAAGAGCTTCCGCTACAAGGAGTCGCTCAAGGACCACCTGCGCGTGCACGGCGGGGGCCTGGGCCCGGGCGCCCCAAGGCCGCTGCCGCCGCCCCCCGAGCGGGACTAGGGCTGGGCCGGGGGCGGGGCGGGCCGGGCGGCTCGGGGACCCCGCGCCCCGCCCCCGGGCTCCCCCCGCCCGGCGCCTGCCCGCCGCGACCTGCTGGAGACGGGGCCCCGGACCGGCGCGCCCGCCCGGGCCCCCTGAAAGCGGGGCAGGGGACCCCTAGACCTGCCCGGCCGGCGCCGCCCCTCGCCTCGCCTCGCCTCGGGCGGACCCAGGGCCCGGGCCGGGCGCCTTCCCTCCCGCAGGGGGTGCCGGAGCGGGCAGCGCGAGGCGAGCCCCCAGGTGGTGGCCCCCCCGGGTGCCCAGCGCCGCTGGCCGCTGAAGTCACAGGTGGCGGCAGGGGAGCCCCCAGGGGGCCCCGGGACCGTGCCGAGACGAGGAAATGAGGTCCGAAGGTTAAGAGACGCTGAAGACGGAGGCGCAGGTGTGCGGGAGCTGAGGGGTGCGCCAAGGGGCGGCATCGCCGTGGCCACCACACGGCCTCGCGTTTCAGTAGCGCTTTATACTTTTTTAAACGTGTTTTCTATCCGTTATCTATTTGCTCCCTTAGCCTGTCCCTCTGAGGGAGGTGGGGTAGCTTTCCCCTGACTTGGTAAGCTGAGGAAAGTGAGGTGCAGGTGCGATGGTGAACCCTAGACCAGCCGGAAGAGAGTGGCAGACCGGGACCAGCCCCCCCACAGCGCAGTGTCCCCCACCACACACACTGCCTACCTCCTTTGCAGAGAGACCTCAGGACGGCCTCCTGGGCGAGCTCCTCCCCCCCAGGGCCCACCAGATGCAATCAGAAGCAACGGGTTCCTGGGGAGGAGCAGATGGGCCACGAGTCGGGCTTGTGCTTTTGCAAGGCCCTTCCTGTGTGGCACCCCTGGCGGGAGGGCCCCCCAGGGCCCTGGCCTGTCCCCCCACCTCCAGTCCCTCAAGCTGGTGCAGCAGCCTTTTCACTGCACAGTGGTGGCCGGCCCCCCGAGGCAGCTGGTGCCCAGGTCAAGCCTCACCCAGGATGTCTCCTTTCCCCAGGCCGGAGGGGCGCGGGTGAGGCCCGTCCTGCAGGCACAGCCACCCAGGAAGCCAGTCTCTTCCCGGGCAGGGCAAGTGGGTGCTAGAGTCGGAGCGCTCAGGCCCCCTCCTCCCTGAGCCTCCCAACTGGTGCTATCTGCGCAGTGACTGTGCTCACGCATGGACACAGACCCTACGTGCTCCGGACCCCACAGGCCTCCGGGGCGGCGCTCCGAGGACCCCTTGTGTTGGTGCATCTGCTCCGTGGCCCTGAGGGGCCTTCTCCATTTCTGCGTCTTGCATGGCCAGGCCCGGGTGGGGTGCAGGCCCCAGGACCCTTGTTGGTGTCAAGAATTGACTTTTCCTGCTCCTCCCGTCGATCTGCTTCTCTCCCAGCTGGGGAGCGCGGGGCAGCCAGCGCCCGGCCTCCCGTCGGTGAGCGTCCTGCTTTGCCCTCCCCTCATCTGCGCCGCTCTGCTTTCCTCAGACCCCTTTCTGCCATGCAAAGGGAATTCTTGAAATTAAATAAAAGCTGACCAGATTGCAGTCTGCATGTTCACAAGGCCGAGGACTCCAGCACGGCTTCCTGCAGTAAGGCCTCGGCCAGCTGGGGCCCGCCGGCGGGAGTTCCCCGGGCTGCGTGTGGAAGGAGGCGGATCTTGACGCGCTGAGATAAGCGTAGACAAGCTCAGTAGAGGCTTGTTCAGGCAGAAAGGGACCGACTCCGGTGTCTTGGTTGGCAGGGAGGGGGAATCGTGCTTCCCAAAGTGTCCAGAGAGCGCTGGTTTGATCATCTAAATCATGGGGAATCAGTTGGATGTGGGGCTGTTAAGAGGATGGGGAAGGAGGAGAGATCACCGCTGAGCCTTGGAGTGGAGACACGGGCCAGGTGCATCACCCCGTGTGCTGAGTCCCAAAGAGGGTCAGTGACCGTGAGTCGGGCTCCTGCGTCCTGGACTGCTCTGCTCCCCACGTGCTCCTCAGCCACACCCAGTCAGCCCAGCCTCCAGCACCCCAGAGAGCCCGAGCGTAAAGGCTACTCCAGGGCTGGGCAAGGGTGGCCCGTCCCAGCAGCCTGGGCCCTGTGGGGCCTGCGGTCCCCTCACCAGAGCCGAACGGGGTCCTGCGTTTGGGGGTAGATTTTTATTTCCCTTCTGAGAATGTGTTAATTAAAATGAAATCATTAAATTAAAATGAATGCATGCAGTAAAAATTCAAATAGTGAAAAAAAAAGACAAATAGGAAAAAAAAGTCCAGACTCCCTGTTGAGAAGCATCCACCGCTGAAGAGCCTCCTTCCCAGCCTGGGGTGCCCTCCCCTCCCTGGCGGTTGGTTTCTTCCTCATCCCAATCCCAGAGCGCGGGCTTCTGGGGCTTTCTGTCCCGTCAGCTGCAGGCAGGGTTCTGCAGAGCCCGCTGTTGTGCAGAGCTGAGATCCTGGGGCTCCACCACCCGCGCCCGCTCAGGCCTGGTCCCTTCCTTTTGCCAGCGTGTGTGTCTGTACAGGAGAGGCAGGTGGTTGGGGGGACAGGCACGAGGCTGAGGGTGATGGGCCCAGACCTCACCCCGTGGTTAGTGAGCACTCCCCGTTAGGGGATGGCAAGGCCTGGAGCCTGCCCTCTGCGAGCCTGAAATGGAACGGGCAGGTGTGAGGCAAAACCACTGAGACCCCGGGCCGAGTGAGCTGGCAGACTTGGAAGTACACACCTGTTCTCCCCTAAGGTTCGTCACAAGGATATCAGAACATTCCAGAGAGGTCTTTTTGGTCAATAAATTGCCTTTTCTGTGGTCAATGCGTGTCTAGGATGGCGGTGCAGGGGGTAGGCCTGGGGGACAGACCTGCCGGAAGAGGGACCTGCTGTCCCAGGTGCTGGTGACCTAAGAGGAGTGGGGGTCACGGTGTCAAGTGTCAGTGAGTGGGCCGGGTCAGAGGAGGGGGCAGGAACCCTGTAGGGTGGGGATGAGACCTGGCAGGGAGGCTCTGGTCTGGCCAGAGGCAGAGGGCACGGAGGCAAGGGGCATCCCAGCCAGGCCGGCTGTGAGGCCATGACTGTTCCAGAGACAGGCTGTCAGCCAGCCCAGGGTGCCCGGGGCCTTGTGGGAGCAGAGAGCGCGCGGAAGCAGAGAGCGCACAGCTCCGACGGAGGGCAGTGAGGAGAAAGACGACATCTTGAGAAAGCACATTGGAGCCACTGAAAGTAGAAGCGCAGGTGAAGTTTTACCGGTGAGGATTTGGGCGCCATAAATGCCTCAGATCTGAGACCAGAATATAAGGTGTTGGGAGGAGGGGAAAGGGAGACTTCACGCCAAGATGAAGCAGCCTGTGTCTCTTGTGGTGTCTTCCATTCGATGGCTATTGTTGGGAAAACACGTAACAGAGCAGCGGGGCCGGGGCGCTGGGGTGGTTTGGGGAGGCCAGGGTGGACTTGCCACCTGCCACTGGCTCCCGAGGGAGTCGTCCTGGAGGTTCTCTAACCAGTAGAGAGTCCCGTGTATGTCTCCCACCCCTTCCAGGTTCCCATGGGTCCCCTCCAGAGTCTGAGATGCTACACTGTGCCCTGAAGGTTAAGAACCTGGACAAACCTCTGACATTTTTTTTTAAAGATTTTATTTATGTGGTGTAGGCTAGAGGTGCGGGGGTGAGAAGAATCACCAGAGACAGAGTGGGGAGACCTACTGAAATACACTGCTAAGGGAGCAGCGGGGAGACAGGAGAGGTCTGCTGTGCCATGTGGGTCAGCTCCCTGGCAGGGGATCGAACTCAGGCCAGAGGGGTGGTGATAGCTTGATAATGCTGAGAACCCCTGTGCCACCAGGGAGGCCCCAAACCTCTCTAGACATTTTAAGTCCTTATTATCCCTCAGCACAGTCATTGCTACGGGTTTCCTTTTTCCTGCTGTAAAGGCTTACCTTCGAGAAGCAGGGGACATCCTGCGTCCAGTTTTGGAGGCAAATGCTGGTTACCTCATTACTGCCATGCCTCCATTCCCATGGGGGCTGTATCTAGGATCCAAGCCAGCGGCCCCTGCCCCACCTCACAAGGATTTGGGGTGAGTTCAGGCTCGTTTTCCTAGTTGACTCAGGCTTTCTGGGTCATGCGCTGATTGCTGCCTTTGTGCAGCCCTAACCCAGACTGCAGCGCTCCCTGCCTCCTCTTTGTTTGACTTCCTAGATAAGAGGCTTATGTGAAGTGGACTTTCGTATTTGGGAGGGTACAGAGAGGGTCTCATTTCAGCATGGTGCAGCAACTCACCCAGCTTAGACCTAAAATAGTCACCAACTCATCTTAAAAGACCTTGAAGCCTTCTCGCCTTTAGGGGTTTCTCAGAATTCACCCTCTTCCTTTCTCTGTCTTGTATCTTCCCTATTCTAGGGGGTAACTCACCCCCCCAATTTCTGAGGCCCCTTTCCTCCTCCATCCCAGGATACCCAGGGAAGTCTGCAAATCCTAATCTACTATGGAGAGCAATTAGTTTTACCTTTGCTCCCTTCTGCCTTCCAAACCATGCCCCGGGGCTATTTTTCTACATTTGAGGTGGACTGTAAAACCCTTGCGAAACTAAACACTCTTCTTTTCCCCACAGAAATTTTAACCAATGAATTTTTTAGTAGATTTTACATGAATACATTCAAAATTCAAAATGGGTGAAAGGATGATGAGGAGAGAATCTTGCCAACCAGTTCCCTTACCTTCAGGAAACTGGCTGCCCTGGAGAAAGAAGTTTCTGGAAGGACCCTGGAATCGTTCAAAAGAACAGCGGACCAACCAATCCTGGGGAGAGATAAAAATGTCTCTCATCTTTGTGCCTTTCTCTGCATTAGGATCGTTTTTTGTTTTTGTTTTTTTTAAGATTTTAATTTATGTATGCGTACAAGAACTGGGGTACAGGCCAGAGGTGTGGTGAATCCTCTGGTGAGGACTCACCAGAGACAGAGTGGGGAGCAGAACAGGCAGACTGACTGAAATACCCTGCTGAGGGGAGCAGCAGGGAGACAGGAGAGGTCTGCTGTGCCGTGTGGTGTGGGTAACTCCCTGGCCAGGGATGGAACTCGTGCTGCAGCGGCTGCCCACAGCTTCACAGGCTGCGTCTTAACCCCTTACGCCACCAGGTATCATTCTTTCAAACCAACTTATTCCAAAATATAGTGAGGGAAGACCAGAGAGGAACTCAACCTCAGCTCCTGTTAGAGAGCCCCACCTGCTAGTGGGGCTGGGGTGCCGCGGGGCTATGGTGGGGCTGGCTGGCTTCAGGGGCGCACCCTTCAAATCACCGAGGTCAGGGAGCAGGATGACTCCGTCCGGACTGCAATTCCTGAAGGGGAGGGGAGAGCACCAGGGACTCTGACAGCCAGCAGTACCTAGCCCGCACGGTGGGGGGCTTCTCACTGACCTGCAAGCCAGGCAGGAGGCGCTCCCGGGGGGTATTCACCCCGAGAAGGAACTCGGGAGACGTGGCTGCTGCCAGCTCTCCCAGAGGCTCGCAGCGTCGGCAGGGGAGCGGAACAGAAAGTGGATTAAAACTGTGGTGTGGAAACTTTCTTGAGTAAAATCTGGGCATGCATCTTCGTGGGTGTATATGTTAATGTTTATGCTTAAATCAGACACACAGTGGAGAAGCTAAAGGATAAGGTGGATACTTTAAAGCACTATTTTAAATATAATATATATATATATTTCGTGGTTCAAAGAGTACTTTTTCCTGTCTTTTAAAAATGGTGGTGTGGGGAGATGATGCCCAGGATCACTTTCAGCTCTGCCCTCGGGCTCATGGTCTGTACATGGCGAGCTGATGGGATGCAGGACTGAGAATAATTTTTTTGATTCCTCTAGTACCTTCCCCATCAGTGGGGACCATTGTGAACCTCACCTAAAATTTGACTTCAAGGTGTGTGTCAACATCTGTGTTTCACTGGGGAAGGACACATGGGTGGCTTCCAAGAAACACAATAAAGTGACCTTTATCTTGGTGTTGTGTTTCAAGTGATTCAAGGCTTGGACCTTGCGAGGCCAAACCAGCACAAGAAGTTACCTGTAATCAGTGCTCACCGGCCGCCAGAACTTCAGCTCCGCAGTGCTGTATACACACAACTTATTTTATCCTATCAACACCCAAGGAGGTGGCATTGGTCATCTGGGTGGGCAGGCCTCAAGCCAAGTGCGCCTAAGCCACAGCACTTAGTGTGTGAAGGAGCCAGGATGCAAAGAATAAAAATGATCGTGAGCATTTCTGAGCCCCCTCACCTGTGATCAACGTGGTTCTAAGCCCTTAAACGAACACACTTAATCCACTCAGTAACTCGACATGTACACCACTATTATTCTGCAATAACCACAAGACACACGAATGCTGAGAAGTTCATGACTTGCCTGAGGTCCACATCTAGGGAGTGGCTGGGGCCCTGGGTGGTCTCGCTTGCCATCCCACATTCTAAATCACGGTGCCTCACTATCTCCCCAGCCCCCAAGACTGCAAGCTGGCACCCAGCGCTGCCTCCCTTGCAGGCTGGAAAATTGATCTAAAACTCCTTCCCGAGCTCCAGTCTGAGAATCAGGGAGGCGGAAAGCCTGTGACTCTCAGACACTGGTGGAGAAGCAGAACTAGCTGCTTAATAATTTCCAGGGGTGGACAGGACACCTGCACCAACCTGGCCCTCGTGCTGTCCTGTCTCCCCATCATCAGAAGGTTGCCTGGGAAACACAGACAGGAGGGAGTGACAGGTCTGTACCTGCCCAGCCCCTGGGCTCTGCTCTTGCTTCCTCTACCTTTACTCACTCCCTCCTACTCCCCCATCTGGGCAGGAGACCCTGAAGGAAACCCCCTCTTCTCAAACTGTGAGTGAGCCAGGCCAAGTGCTTATAATGTGGATTGTGTGACTGTTGCCTTGGGGAACATGTGTGCGTCAGGGATAGGGTGGCATTTGTATGTGGAGTGACCTTTAGTGTTTCACTTCTCAGAGGCTCTGGGGTGTGTGTATGTGGTGTGTGTGAATATGGGGTGTATATGTCAATGATTTCTACTTACCCCAGAGTGTTCTTTTGTACAAAAAAAAAAAAATCTTTCAATAAATGTATCGTTTTTGTGCACACACGCACACAGAATAGAGGGAGTGAATTCTATAATCGATCTGTTTAATGACCTCACTCTTCTATGTCCTGTTAGATCAGTCTCTACAATTGTTATACTTTTTAAAAATGATTTATTTATTTATGCATACAAGAGCTGGGGTACAGGCCAGAGGTGGGGGGGGTGAGAGGATTCACCAGAGATAGAGTGGGGAACAGAACAGGCAAATTGACCAAAGTCCACTGCTGAGGGGAGCAGCGGGTGAGCCAGGAGAGGTCTGCTGCGCCATGTGGGTTGCTCCCTGGCCGGCAGGGGATCGAACCCGTGCTGCAGAGTCTGCGGATTGCTTCATAGTGCGGTGCTTAACTCCTTGCGCCACCAGGGAGGCCCCTACACATTTTTTAATCCCTTACCGCACCCACAAGAGTGCTGGGCCTGGGGAACACACACAACAGGCGGTGGGTCCGCGGCTGCTGTTCCCCCTCCGGCCGCGCGGGGGCGCGATGGGAGGCCCGCGCGGCGGGGACGGGCGCTGCGCCGCTCTCGCAGCCGGCCCGCTCCCAGAATGCACCTTGTGTCAACAAGGCGCCGGGGGCGCTTCGAGGAGGGGCCGCGGGCGTCCTGGGGCCTGGGTCGCGGGGTCGGGGGGCTGTGAGGTGGGGCCCGGGGAGAGGGGCGACGGGCAGCCATGGCGGAGTCGGCGCCTGCTCGGGTAAGCAGCCTCGGGCGCCTTCGGCCGGCGGGGCCCGGGCCGGGGCGGGGCTGCGGGGTCCGGACGCCGGCCGGGCTGGGGGTCCCGGGGCTGCGGCCGGCGGGGGGGACCCCGCCCTGCCCCGCGGCCCGCGCGGCTCCGCCGGGAAACTTCCCCGAGGCTTGTTTTGTGATCTTGGATTTGCGACCGTCCAAGCGCCCTCTCCGTTGCGCAGAGACCCCGACTCCAGGCTGGGAAGGTCGCCCCGCTTGGAAACCCGGGGGCCCCGGCCTGCGGGCGAGGTCGCCAGACGCGGCGGGGACCTCAGCACGACCAGCTCCCTGACTGGCGGGTGCCTTCTGCCGCTTCCTTCTGCCAGTCTCCTGCTGCGGGCTTCGGGGCTGGGGTGTAGCCGCGGGCTGAAGTCGGACGTCTTGCTCTTCTCGGGGTCGGGTGTGTTTTCACGGTGCAGTCGGGGGGTTCTTGTGAAGCCGTTCGGTCTCTGTCCCCAGTTCTCCCATCCTCGTTCAGGGACTCCCGAGGTGCAGATCTTGGCGTGGGGGAGAGCCTGGGTAAGGAGTCAGGAGACTGGCTATTTCAGCTGGAACTCAGCTCGCAGCTCTCCAGCTGAGTGGTTTTAGGCAACTGTTTCACCACTCCGCGCCTCCGTTTCCTTCGCTGCAAACTCACTGTGTTGCATTAGTTGCTGCATGGTCTAAGGTTCCTTCCAGCTCAGACAGCCTTACCGTATTCCGGAGTCGAGGTATTAGTCGAGGTTGCTAATGCAAGAGGATTTGCTCTGGAAAGGGGAGGTGAACTTTAGTTGGTTTTTAATGCAGCATTTTTAAAAATAAATTTTATTTTTATATTCCCCATACAATTGCACCCCCCTTATTTTGACCCCAATCCCTCCCCTCCCCGCCCCTCACCCCCCATAGAGTGTCTCTGGTTCATAGTTTTTTGTTGATTTTGATTTTCACTTTCTTATAGTTATTCATTTTCCTGGTCCCTTATTTAAGTTTTCTAGATTCCTGCTATGAGTGAGACCATCCGGTATTTTTCTTTTTCTTTCTGGCTTATTTCGCTGAGCATGATCCCTTCCAGCGCCATCCATGTTGCTGCAAATTGCATGTGTTTATCTTTTTTGAATGCTGAGTAATATTCCATGGTGTATATGTACCACATCTTCTTGATCCAGTCATCTATTTTTGGGCATTTGAGTTGTTTCCAAAGCTTAGCTCTTGTAAACAGTGCTTTTAATGCAGCATTTCTGGGCCTGGAAACACTTTCAGGACCATGTGAGAGCCTTGTGAGAATTGAGGGCTAAGGAGATTGTGAGGTGAAAACTTGGTTGTGAGCAGGGTGTATTATATTTGGTTCTTTTAGAAAGTAGGATGTGGAAAGAACTAAGAGGGGAAGAATTGGAAGACTCGCAGAACACATGTTTGCTCTCAAGGAAGTTGCAGTTGACTTGTGAAGACAAGGCTCAAATGTGTACAATACTTAACCTCATCTGACTGACTCCCTTAAGCTAAGCTGATCCAGCCAAAGACTTGGGTTTTCCTCAAGTCCAAGTGTGTGTGTGGGAGGCAGGGGTGGGGATGTACAAGTCACTGACTAGTCAGCGCTCAGCTACCTACATGTCATCAACAGACTTTGTTAGAGGAAGTCTTAAAAGTCCTCCAGAGGCCCAAGCTATAGTTTAACTAACTTGGTGATCTGTCATTAGATTATCCTTGAGTAAGTTTCTGCTCTCTGTCTCTTCAGATGAGATCCAAACCTCTCAATTCAAGGTATGGCTGAAGAGGTGCTCTTATAAAAACAACTAAATATTCTGGCAGAAAACTCAAATATATTTATAATGTATATTAGTAAAGAATACATAGAACCCCAAACCTAAGTGAAAGAACTCTTAAGAGATAAATGAGTTCAAATAATTCTCAGATAAAATTCCAAGAGAATTGAACGCATAATAAGAAAAATTACCAAACAAGCAATGAAAAGCTATGAGGAAAAGTCAGAAGAAATAATGGACAGAAAATTGTTGTCTTCAGAGGTTTTAGATACTGAAATTTCAGAAGAGAAACCTATTGGAATTCCAGAAGTGAAACACACAATCCGTACTTTATTTATTTTTTAAATTTATTTATTTATTTATACAAGCACTGGGTACAGTCAGAAGCACGGGAGGGCTAGTGAATTCACCAGAGCCAGAGCAGGGAGCAGAACAGGCAGACTGATGAAGTACACTGCTGAGGGGAGCAGCGGGCGGCAGAAGAGGTCTGCGCGCCATGTGGGACCCTCACTGGCAGTCTGGGATCAAACTGGCGCGCAGAGGCTGCGGGCAGCCTCGCAGCACAGCGCTCAAGGGCTGCGCCACCAGGGGAGGCCCACAATCTGTACTTTAGACCATATCTGATGAATATTTAATGACCGGGGATAAGGTAGGACTGCTACATATGTTCATACATAGAAGCCCAGTGGATCCCAAACATGATAAAGTAAAAGAAATCTGTGTTGACACATAATAGTGAATTGCCATCAGATGAACTACCATAAGACTGATGGAGTCCAGTTTCTCAACAGCAAGAATGGAAACTAGACAATAAAATGATACCATTAATTTACTGAAAGAAAATAGCTGTGGTGCCAGATTCTTATACTCAGCAAAAATAACTTTCAAAAACAGGGTAAATAAAAATACTTCCAGACATATTAAAACTGAGTTTGCTGCCAATACATCATCATTAAAGGAAATTCTGAAGGATATACCTTAGGTAAGAGGAAAATTATTCCATATGGGAAATCTAAAAATGTAAAGAATTTTTATGAAAATGGGTATTTCTAAACACATACTGGGGCCTCCCCGGTGGTGCAGCGGTTGAGCGCTGGGTTGCGAAACTGCCCGCGGCCTCTGTAGCGCCGGTTCGATCCCCGGCTGCTCCCCGGCCACCGGAGGAGGGTCCCACATGGCGCACAGACCTCTCCTGCCGCCCGCTGCTCCCCTCAGCAGTGTACTTCGGTCCTTCTGCCTCCTCTGCTCCCCGCTCTGGCTCTGGTGAATTCTCTCACCCTCCCGCGCTTCTGACTGTACCCAGTGCTTGTATAAACAAAAAACAAACAAACAAATAAATAAATAAAATAAAAAAAAAAACCATGCCTCTATAAAAAAAAAAATAAACACATACTGACTGAATAAAATAGTTGTAATCTCTTGTGGAGTTAAAAATAGCAGAATTGAATTACATGGCAGCATTAATGTAAAAGCTTAAGAAAAGATGATCAGAATTCAGGTGTTTTAAGGTATTTAAAAGTATGGTTTCTGTAATTCCTCGGGTAATTTTTGAAAGACTAGAACTTGGCTATATAATTTAAAAATTAAACAGGGATATAATACAATAAGAAAAATATCTAAAAGAAGACAAGAAAAAGGAAGATGGAGCTAATAGCACCAAAAAGCTAAAGAATAAATAAGTAAACGTAGATCAACACCTGCAATAAACATAAATGGGTTAAATACTTTAGTTAAAAGGTAAAGAATGTCAGGGTAGGGAAAAATGCAGCTATGTGGTTTAGTAGTTGTTGGCTGTAAAAGACTGAGAAAATATGTACCAGGGCTAATATGAATCAAAAGAAAATTGGCTTAGCTGTGTTAATATTGCTAGAAATGGACACCTGCTACTACGTTTATAATGGTAAAAGATTCATTTACTAACTTGATAGTACATTTCTAATCTTATATACACCTAATTACAAAGAACTTTCTGAGATAATGGGAATATTCTGCTCTGTGCTATTCAGTATAGTAATGCCTAGTCAATATGTCTAGGCACTTGAGCACTTGAAACTATCTAGAAAGACTGAGAAATTGAAATTTCAATTTGCGGGCATTTGAATTGCTTTCATCATGATAGGTATTCACAGCAGAGAGAAGGAGGAACTTGGTTAACTAGTTTTCAGTTTTTTTACTATGTGGAAGGGTTGAGATTAAGTCCTCTGTTCAGCTCTCCACCCACCTTCCTTGTCTGACAAGCAGCAGAGAGCCAGGAAGGAAGAGACTCGGAGCACTGGAGACTGAAGCACGGAGCATGTGATGAAACGACTTTGTTCAGTAGCCTGACGCTTTCTTTCGTTTGTATTTATCTTTCGTGTTAGGCTTTTCCTTGGGTCTTTAGTTGGGGGGGTATTTAAGTTTTGGGCCCATATACTACATAATGAACCAACTGAGTTGAGTAACGAGTAGCTCAAGGCCAAACTCAAGCGTTCACTGCTGTGCAGGTCACTCCATTTTGCCCCTTTTCTCCAGACCATGACCCTTGACCCCACAGTTCTTCCAGAGATACGTCCTCCCAGTGTCTCGGTCTCAGTGTCCTGCCCAGAGAAGTGACCTTGAGTAAAGTGCACGCCCACCTAACAGAAGAGGAAACTGGGGGATGGTGGTGCTGGGGGACTGAGAAGGACAGGCAGTAGGACTGGGGCTGCAGAGCCGCTCTGGGGAAGACTTGTCGTGTGTTGCATTTATTACTTTTGAGCTTTGGCCACGGTGACTTTTCTGCCGTCAGGGGCACCGTAAAGTGAGGTGCGTAAGGGAAGTGTCGGTTCATGCCGTCAGCCTCGCTCTCAGCCAGAATGCGAGGGTGTGAGTGAGCCCTGCGGGCCCTCCCCAAGGGCTTTGGCTTTATTGAAGTAGAGGAGGAAAGGTTTCCAGCAGGGGTGACACTCTCGGCTAAGTCCAGGGAGAAGTGGGGGCCGGAGTACACGTCATTTATATCACTGTCACAGTCCCACGTGTCACACAGCAAGAAACTGGCTTGAATATGTGACACAGGAAAGTCTTACTGAGTGTGCTGATTGTGAAACACAGGTGACAGAACGTCATGTATGATATGGTTTCAGTTTTGCTTGAAAAGAAATAAAAGATGAGAAGAGCTTATGGGAACTATACCAGAATTCGAACAGCTTATTTCCGGGTGGTGCTATTTTACATCACTTTTTCTTTTTCTACTTTTCAGCACTTCCTTATTACTGTGTCTCATTTGTTGTATCCGAATACGAAATATCAGGCATTTTTCTTAAAAAAAGGAAAGTGAAAACTGGGTGCCTCTAAACCCTTCTGGACCCTTGTCTTTTTTTCTTTACTCGCTGTTTGGAAGGGATGCTGGCTGACTGACGCCCTGTCTGATATTTCAGCACAGGAGGAAACGCCGCGCCACCCCCCTGACTTCTTCCACGCTGCCCTCACAAGCAACAGAGAAAAGTCCCTATTTCCAGACCACAGAGATCTCCCTCTGGACCGTGGTGGCCGCTGTTCAGGCCGTGGAAAAGAAGATGGAGGCCCAGGCCGCCCGTCTGCAGAGCCTGGAGGGGCGGACGGGCACGGCCGAGAAGAAGCTGGCCGACTGCGAGAAGATGGCCGTGGAGTTCGGGAACCAGCTGGAGGGCAAGTGGGCCGTGCTGGGGACGCTGCTGCAGGAGTACGGGCTGCTGCAGCGCCGGCTGGAGAACATGGAGAACCTGTTAAGGAATGGAAACTTCTGGGTCCTGCGGCTGCCGCCCGGCAGCAAAGAAGAGGCCCCCAAGGTAGGAGGATTAGAGTGGACAAGACAGGGGGCATCCGCCTGATTGTGCTTTATCGTGGAAGAGTAAACTGCTGGCTTTTCCGTCACGGCTGTGACTAGAGGCTGTCTGTGTGACGTTTGTGATTTCAGGTGTCCAGGTCACTGGAAGACGATGGAGTCTGTTTTTCAGAGCGGGAGTGGGAGAATCTGGAGGACTGGCAGAAGGAGCTGTACAGAAATGTGATGGAAAGCAACTACGAGACGCTGGTGTCTCTGAGTAAGTGGCGGCCCTCCCTAGACCCCTCCCCCAGACACCCGCACTCCCGCCAGGCTGAGCGGGAGCCTGGACCGCACCTGGATTGTAGTTGGCTGCTGGGCCTCTTGGCCTGGGCGGGTGAGGACCGCGAGTCCTCTGGGCCTCAGTTTATGAACACTCGGAAAGGGCTTGATGCTGTGCGGTTCTATTTCTTCTCTGTTCTCTTGGTCATACTTACTGGTGGGTAACATGCTGTCATATGCACGGAATGCGGCTCGGGTCCTCGTGCTGGTTTTACTACTTCAGACCATTTGACAAGAAATCCTTTGTGACCTGTGGGCAGCATCAGCTACCAAAAAGTTTTTCTTGGTGCTCTGCTGGCATTGTGCCTGCTCACTGTGTTGGCCAGAAGAGCTGCTTCATAGACCCACATCTCTGTATGCAGAATAGAAGCTGTCAGGTACCAAACACATTTTGTTTGGTTAACAGAATCTTTTAAAACATAGGTCTGTGGGGGAACGTCAGGAAGGAGGTGGGGCGGGAAGTAGCATGTGGGTCAGAGGGCGACTCTGTGACCTTGGCGGCTTGCAAGTTCTTCTAGTCAGTTTCCTTGTCTGTCCCCATGAAGAACTGAAGCGGGGGGTGACATTAGATACCCTGAAAGGAAACAGCACATGACACCAGTACATGGAGAGGTGTACTTTTGGGGAGAAGGGTGCTGGGCCCGGCGCCTAGGCTGCGGTGAAGGGCCTCTGGGCAGCAGCCAGCTGAATAGATGGTTCAAGCTGACCTAATTTTCTAATGGTCTCAAGCCGCTGGGGCGAAGGGACGAGAACTGTAGCCTTTGAATCTTTGAAGCTCCTGACACTGGTCACCTTGTTCCTCCACAAACGGCCAGTGCACGTGAGCTCACACTGGCTGTTTCCACCCAGAGGTCCTCGGCCAGCCAGAAGGAGAAGCGGAGTTGGGTACAGAAATGCTGGGTGATTTGGAAGAGGAAGGTACTGGTGATATCCACCCAGGTGAGTGCTCCAGGATATTCCACCTCCCTCCTTGCTCCCTGAAGCCTGTAGTGAACCTTCCCATGCTAAGCTGCCAAACACTGATGATTCGTGTCCTCACCGGGCCTTACTGCTCCCAGATCCTGTGTGGTTGGTGTGAGTGCTCCTATTACACGCCCTGACTCCCTCTCCTGCAGTGTCCGCAGATTCATGACCGTCACGTCCTCCTTGATGCCCCAGAGCAGCATGGCTGGCCTTTAGTCAGAACCGCTTGAGGCTGAGACTAGGGTCGGTCTGCTCTTCAGGAGTGAAGCTGACCGAGTAGGGGGAGGGCATTTGTAAGCCAGGTAATTTGGGGAGATTATGTAGGATATCCGGAGCTGGATGGATGAAGTTTCTTTTTTTTTTTCTTTTCTTTCTTTCTTTCTTTTTTTTTTTTTTAAAGATTATTTATGCATAAAAGAGCAGGGGTACAGGCCAGAGATGCAGGGGGTGAGAGGATCCACCAGAGACAGAACGGGGAACAGAATAGGCAGACTGAAATGCACTGCTGAGGGGAGCAGCGGGTGAGACAGGAGGTCTGCTGCACCATGTGGGTTTCTCCCTGGCTGGCCAGGGATGGAACTTGTGCTGCAGAGGCTGTGGATTGCTTCATAGTGCAGTGCTTAATCCCTTGTGCCACCAGGGAAACCTGGATGGATGAAGTTTCAAGCCTATAGGTTTTCTTTTTTGTTTTTTAATCATTCAAATTTATTACTTTTAACACTTACATTAGTACAGTTGTTAAGAGAGTATTTTTCACAGGGACTAAATACAGTTTTGTGGAGAACTATATTGGTAACATCGCTCTGTAAAAACAGTACATTCAGATTCCCACCAACATGGCTCTTCCCAAGCATGGTTTAGTTTGTCAGGTCTTGGAACCTGGTTGGTCTCATTCCCTCCAAATGTCCTAATCCCCTCCTTGATTTGAGCCCGACTCCCAGATGTTCGTTGGCTGGCAGGAAGCTGAGGGGACACGCTGTGATCTGTCGGTCTTCTCTTGGCACAGAAGGGGTTATGATCAAACAGGAGCTGCAGTACGTGCAGGAAGGCTCCGCGGATCTTCCTGGAGAGTACTCGGGCGCTGCTGAGGAGCAGGCTTTCCTGAGCCCTGAGCAGGCCGAGCTGTGGGACGGGCAGGGCAGCTCCGTCCTCCTGGAATCAGATCCCAGGGACACGAATCCAGAGGAGCCTGCTGAGGGCAGTAGAGACTCTCACAGTGGTGGAACTATGGGCAGCGCCCCCAAGCAGACAACTGCTCGGCAGGTCCAACTGGGTCGGGAACGTGGGCCAGGCCTGAAACTGAAAAGGGACACTTCCGGCCCCTATGAATGCTCGCAGTGTGAGATCAGCTTCCGCTCCAAGCAGCTGCTGGCCACACATCTGCGGACCCACTCGGGGTGGGAGTCTTACCCCGCCTCTGAGTCTGAGGAGAGCCTGAGACCCCGGCCACGGCTTAAGCCTCAGTCCAAGAAAGCAAAGCTGCATCAGTGCGACGTGTGCCTGCGGAGCTTCAGCTGCAGGCTGAGCCTGGTCACCCACCAGCGCTGCCACCTGCAGGAGGGACCGAGCGCTGGCCACCGGGTCCAGGAGCGCTTCTCGCCCAACAGCCTGGTCGCCCTGCCTGGCCACATCCCTTGGAGGAAAAGCCGGAGCTCCCTCATCTGTGGCTACTGTGGCAAGAGCTTCAGCCACCCGTCCGACCTGGTGCGGCACCAGCGCATCCACACGGGCGAGCGGCCCTACAGCTGCCCCGAGTGCGAGAAGAGCTTTGTGCAGAAGCAGCACCTGCTGCAGCACCAGAAGATCCACCAGCGGGAGCGGGGTGGGGCGGCCCCCGGGCCCGGAAGGCCCAATGGCTTGCTTTAAGGGTGCCAGCCCCTTGCCCGTTGGGGGGGCGGAGGGGGCTGGCTTTGGTCCCCCTAAAGAAACCCAGGGCAGAGTCAAGGGCTGACTTCTTCCTGAGGGGAGTCACTTTGCTCTGCCTTTTCTCCACCCAGCAGCACCAGGCTTAGCCCGGAGGCAGGCCTGAAGCCACGGGAGCACACGTCCAGGGCCAGGCCTGCCCCAGCCGTCTTTTCCCTGCTGTCTCTTTGCACCTTCAGCTCTCGGGCATCCCGTCTTGCTGAGCCCCATGGGCTGGGTGGCTCTCTGATCCGCAGGGGCGGGGGGCAGGTTCCAGGCCCTCTTGCAGCATTGCAGGTCTTCTTGGGGGGCAGAGTTGGGCCAAAGGAGTGGGCAGAGTTCTGGGAGGCATATTCCTCCATTTCTTCTTTTGTAGTCTCTTTGTTAATAACAAGTAGAAGAAATAATGTAAGTGAACTGCTTACCTGCTCTGAGGAACTTTTTTGGAGTTAGATTTTAGTTGATTAAAAAAATACACAGTCTGACACTTGTTTTCTAAGCTTCCAGAGTTGCAGAAGTTGTTCCTAACATGAGGACTGGGCTCCCCTCTAGGAGGGGTCACTTATGGGGCTCTTTTAGCCCACCACACTGATAGGCCAGAGGACAGGGACAGAGTGCAGGCTACCTCTCCTGGGGGTCCTTGGTGCTCAGGTGGGGCTAACCGAATCCAAAGGCGGGAGAGGGGGAGGGGAGCAGGAGAGACCCCAGGGCCCCTGCTGCGGAAGACGCTGTAAAGGAGCTGAGAGAGGCACTGCCTCAGGGAGCCGGGTTTCTCCCCACAGCCCTCCTTCGGGTGGGCCTCAGCGCTCCCATGGAAGCGGGTTCACGGTGTGCCCGTGGCTGTTTGAGCTTGTTCCTCACATAGGTTGTCTCCTTGATGGTTGAGATGACTTGTTCTCCACCTTGGTGGAGGTGGTGGGATTGAGGTGGTGGGGATTGAGGTGGTGGGGACAGAGTGGACCGCTGCTGTCCCAGGAGTGTTGAAGGCCTGTCCCCACTGTTTTTGGGGAGCCACGAGTGGGCTCCTGGGCATTTGGGAGTGCCCCTGTGGTGATTTGCCGTTGCCTAGAATAAAACGCTACTAGCAAAAAAAAATAATAATGCTCCTGTCAGTGATTTTTCTCTGAATGCCCTTCTGGGGCCCACATCGGGGAGTGGGCACAACCTGGGCCTTGCCTCGCCAGGCCTGACGGGACAGGGTGTGTGTGCGGACACCAGGGACACAGCTATGGCGAGGGCTACAAACCCTGTGAGGTCAGCTGGGGAAGGTGGGAGGTCAAGGTAGCAGGTAAATAGGGCAGGCACATGGGGAGTCCTGGGGAGCAGGATCATGGCTCGGACACGTGCAGCCATGGTGGCGGGTCTGCAGCGCTGCGTGGAGAGTCGGGAGGGAATGTCGTCTATGAGCACGCCACTCACGGGAGTGAGAAATGCACGTACACAAAACGTAAGAATGCACAGAAAAGCATAGGTTTCACACGTAGACATTACAGTTGTCCACCGAGGGAGGGAGTGGGATGTGAGGGTAAAAAGGAACAAATTAAATAAATAAATAAAAATAAGCTTGGTTGCTGTGAAGCATGGACTGTCATGTTCTAGAAGCAACGTGGAGGGGAGTTGGCCCGCGGCAGCACCACAGGAGGTGCTCAGCTGCCATGTTTGGTGTGGCTTTTCGGTGTCCTCCTTGGCCTCCTCCCAGCCCCAGGCTTTTGCGCTTTGCACATAGTGGGTATTCGGAATGGGGAGCCCAGTGTTTGCATTTGGGAAGGCTTTGTGGGGTTTGTTGCACTGTCTCCTACTAAGACTTCCCCTCCTGAGGCCTTTATAATTAAGCGAGGGTTTGCTTCCTAATGCAGATTACCTGCCTGGATCAGAGAGTGAGGGGGCCACAGGAGTCCCGTGTCTGAGCTGCCCCATCCTGTGGCCCGTGTGGGGGTGGGCCCACCAGCACACCACTCTCCTGAGCCCACTTGGAGTGACGCCAGGGCTTTAGCGGCCCGGCTGTTTGGAGTGACGAGCAGGATTGGAGCCAGTGCTGGAAATCTAGTGCTGTCAGGTCACACAGAAGATTTTAGGCCCTAGAGATCTGATCCCTCCCCCCTCCCCCCAAAGAAAGCAAACTCACAGCAGATGACGAATAAGGATGCAGGGGATTTTTACTTAGAACTACGCCTGATCTGACTCCAAACTGGTATGCTCAGAAATCGTGTTATGGTGTCAGGTTTGGGGATTTTTCTCTCCCCCATACATTTATAAAATCAGCAGGGGGATGGGAGGCAGCCGAGGGAGCCCGCGAGCAAGGCCATGGCGCTCAGTGTGGCCACGAGGCTGGTGGGAGCAGAGTCACCTGAGAGATACTAGAACAGCAAATTCTGGTCACCGCCAGCCTTTCCAGCTTCAGACCTGGAAGCTCAGCCCGCCCAGCAGTCTGTATTTCAACCAGCACTCAGGTGAGCAAGCTCTGCCAACATCTGAGCACCACTGACTTGCTAGGAGACTGCTAAGACCAGCTGTCACTTACCTGAATAGGGCTTGGTAAAACGCTACCACTCTCTCTCCAAGCCATTCTCCAGACCCCTGTGTGCCCTGAACATTGCCTTACATTTCCAGGATTACAACTTGCCAGTATTTTTAAGCCTTTATATGTTGGTCTGACTGACCCAGATGTTCTGATGTCCTCAGCGCACTTTGCAAATTGCCTGTTAGGCCGCGTTACTCCAGTGAGGGCCTCCACGAGGAGCAACGCCTTATTTTGCATTGACTGCTTGTTCCCTTCAAGTCACGCGTCCTAACCTTGCCCCAAATACAGGTCCACTCAGGCAAATAATTTTCTCTCCTGCCTCCCCCCACCCCCGCCAAAACAGTAAAGCAGCAAATCTGCAGAGTAGTTTCGGGGGAACCTGCAGGGGCTGGACGGTAGGGCGAATGGGAAGTACAGAAAAGACAGAAAATCGACCCGCCGGCAGCACACCTGTCATTCACGGGCACGCTGGTTTTCCGGAGGAGGGCACCTGGGTGACGGGGGAGGACAGGGGGGTTAGTCACGACACCCCAGGATCCCCCCATCTTGGTTGCTGACCGGCGAGCGAAGACGGGGGATGGCATGGAGGGCCCTTTGCCTGCGGCTTGTCTCCCCCAGGGGAGGGAGAGACCCGGGATTCCCATAGGGACTTTGGGGGCGCTGTTGAACCGGCACATCCATGTGCACTTGCGCTGCCCCGGAAGGTCTGCGCGGCTTTTCCCCTTCCAGGCGGAAACTCCCCAAATTCCAACGTGTCCCGCTCATTCGCGCCCTGCCGGTTCCCGGGGTGGGACGCTGGGCGCCCCCTGCCCGGACCCCGGAGGGGGTGAGGTCCCCGCGGGCGCCCCCTGCCCGGGCCCCGGAGGGGGTGAGGTCCCCGCGGGCGCCCCCTGCCCGGGCCCCGGAGGCGGGTGAGGCCCGGCGGGCCCGCCTGCGCCTGGTCGGGTCCGGGGTCGCCTGCGGCCGACGGGGCCCGGCGGGCGCGGCCCGGGCGCGGGCGGGGCGGGCGCGGGCCCCTCGGGCTGCAGGGGGCGCTGCGCGCCTCGGCCCGGCCGCCGCGCTGCTCCTTTTTAAAGGGCCGGCGGGGCACGTGGCTCGGACGCAGCTCGCGGCCGCCCGGGCAGCTCCGAGGCTGGGCGGCTCCGCTCCGCCTCCCGCCGCCCGCGCCGCGCCCAGCCCGACCCGCCGGCCCGGCCGCCGCGGAGGGACGCGCAGCATGGCCGCCGCGCCGCCCGCCCCGGTAAGTGCCGCCGCCGTCGGGCGCGCGCGGGGTCGGGGCCTCCGGCCGGGCCCGCGCGGGCCGCCTCGTCCGCGTCCGGCCGGCGCGCAGGCCCCGCGCCCGGGCGGCCCAGACGGCGGGCGGCGGCCCTGGCGGCCTCGACCGGCCCCGCGCGGCCCGCGCTGTCTCGGGCGGGCGCCCCGGGCGGCCCCGGGGAGGCGCGCGCTGCCCGGCCGGCGGGGAGGGAGCCCGCGGAGGCGCCCGGCGCCCCGGCCGCGGGGAGCGGCCTGGCCTGCGCCCGGCGGGGCTGTGCGCGGCGGACCCGCGGGGCGGAGCTGGCCGCGAGGCGCGGCGCCCGGCACGCCCGGCCCCTGACGTGCCCGGGGCACTGGGAAGCGCCCCGCAAGCGGCACCTCCTGTGACTGATGCCCCGCGAGGAAGGTTCCGAAACCGCGACCCTTCAGGATGCCGTGAGAGGAGGAACTTCCCTGCCCTCGCAGGCGGGGTGCGCCCTCCAGGCCTCCCCTTAGTGGCCCGGCAGGGTGGGAGCAGGTCGGGCCGAGGCTTGACCCTCCTGCTTGCTGGGGCCCAGCCCCGGGCCCACTCTCCTGCCCTGCCGGTCCCCGGCCGCTCCTGCCGCCTTGCAGCCCCGGAGAGCCCACGAGCCCGCCCCGTCTGCCCTCCACGCCTGGGGCCCGTGGCGGCACACCTGTTCACGCTGACCTCCTGTGCAGAGTGTCCCCTGCAGATGGGGAAGGACACAGTTTTCCTGCGTGCCCCTTTGTACCTGTACTGTGACGGCGTCGAGTAAGCTGTCCACTGAGTGTGTGCCACTGTCTGGTCACTCATCGGCACTTAGGGAGCATCTGCTGTGGGTGAGGACCTTTTAGGATCTGGGACGACAGGCGAGGGACCCTCCTCGAATTCACATCTCCTGGGAAAACAAGCCCAACCTCAGGCCACGGCGGGGACTCCTCACAGTGACCAGTGCAGCGATTCGGGGGCCTGCTTCTCCCAAGTGGGCGGTGGGGGTCTCTCTGCCAGGGGCTGTCTCTCCCTAATGCCTGCCAGGAGCTGGCCGGGAGGCGCCCTCGAGATGCCGGCTTCAGTGCCGGGCCACCCCGGGAGCGCGGGTGTCCTGGTGGAGGGAGTCACACGTCGCAGTTTCCGGGGCCTGCAGAGTCGTATTTACACTTGACTGCAGCCAGCTGCGTGCGATGGTGTGTGATGGTGTTATGTCTACGCCACGGTTCAACATGCTGGAGACCCCCGTGAGCACTGCCGGGAGAGTGGGGCCGAAAGCAGGGCTGCCACAAACCTGCAATTTGTTAAAAAAGCAAAACCTAAAACCCAGTTTCTGCAAAATGCCACAAAGTGAAGTGCAATAAAACAAGGCCCCCAGGAAGGCCAGGTTGGGGGTGTCAAGTCAGGGAGGGGGGCGGGGGCGTGACGGAGGCTGGGGTGTTGTTCTAGGTTTGTGGGGAAGCTACTGACATTTTAAGAAGGGGACTGAAATGACCTAGTCTGTGTATTTGAAAGAATACTGGCCACTCGTCGGAAGTATCTGGGGGACAGAGGGGGATGTGAGTGCTGCTGCGGCGACCGGGGGCTTGGCCTTCATGGAGAAGAGAGGAGGGTATGGAGATAATTCTGGAAGTCAGGTGGGTAGGGTTGGTGGTGAGTGGCCCGTGACAGTGAGTGAGGGGCGATGTCACTTGTCTTTCCCATGAGGCTTCCAGCAAGGACCGGCTGGCTGCTGCCCCCGCGAGGGTGAGGCTGGCGCCGAGTGGGCTGAGGCTCTTCCGCAGCCTCTTCCCAGGCGCTGAATGGAGTGGAGTGCGAGAGAGCAAGGAGAAAGGCCCTGGGAGTGGTTCATAGGCACCCCGAGCCAAAACACCCTCATCTCTCCTCTCAGCAGTACCCACGCCAGGCCCCCCTCGCCTGAGCCCTCGCCCCGAGCTCTCCCTGGAGATCTTGTGTCCTTGCTGCTCACTGTCCCGTCCTGCAGCCAGTTCTCTGCGCCGTCTTTTTCCATGTAGAAGTGAACTTGCAAGAGGTTCGAGGAGCAGAGTTCCCGTCGCCCCAGGCTCTGGCTGAGACGCCCCGTTCTCTGGGCTCCCGAGGCAGTTTCCTGCTTTGCAGAGGAGACCAGACCCGCGAGGGGGTCAGCTGTCCGTGTCATGACTCGCGCCTCCTTCCCAGTTTTCCCTGCTTTCCGACCTGGAGCGCTGGTCCAGCCCCTGCCTCCTGCCTGGAGGCCGGGCTCTCACCCGAGTCCCCGCCTCCCCGGCTGCCTGGCTGCCCTAGCGGCCCAGGTGGGACTTTACCTGGCCAGGTGCTGTTCTGCCTCAGGCGGACATTCCGCATGCACAGTTCTGATAACATCTCTCCTTTCTTTTCCTGTGGACAGGCTGTGGACAGGGACAAGCAAACAGAGGATGGGAGGCCTTCCACACCCTCCCCCTCCCCCCAGCCGGCTGCTGAGAAGAGCTCCTACCTCTACTCCACGGAGATCACGCTGTGGACGGTGGTGGCTGCCATTCAGGCCTTGGAGAAGAAGGTGGACTCCTGCCTGGCCCGCGTGCTGACTCTGGAGGGGCGGGCGGGCACGGCCGAGAAGAAGCTGGCCGACTGCGAGAAGACGGCCGTGGAGTTCGGGAACCAGCTGGAGGGCAAGTGGGCCGTGCTGGGGACGCTGCTGCAGGAGTACGGGCTGCTGCAGCGCCGGCTGGAGAACATGGAGAACCTGCTGAGGAACAGGAACTTCTGGATCCTGCGGCTGCCCCCCGGCAGCAAGGGGGAGACCCCCAAGGTAGCTCCGGGGCACGGGGCGGGGGCAGGACGTGGGGGGGGACGTGCCTGGCGGTGTGGGGGTGAGCTCGCCTGACGCTTGTGGTTCCAGGTGCCCGTAACCTTTGACGACGTGGCCGTGTATTTCTCAGAGCTGGAGTGGGGCAAGCTGGACGAGTGGCAGAAGGAGCTCTACAAGCACGTGATGCGGGGCAACTACGAGACGCTGGTCTCCCTGGGTGAGGCCGCGTAGGGGGGACCTGGCCTCCTGCGTCTGTTCCTTGGCTCTGGCTTCTGCTCCTCAGCGGTGCTGCATCTCCAGGGGCAGGTGCCCCTTCCTGACGCAGTCCCCCCCTCTGCTCGCAGATTATGCCATCTCCAAACCAGATATCCTTGCGCGCATGGAGCGCGGAGAGGAGCCTTGTCCCAAAGGCCCATGGGGCCTGGAGGAGGGGAGTGCGAGAGCGGCAGCAGGCCCACGGAGGCCGGACCCTGGTGAGTGGGGGCGCCGGGCGGAACGGCCAGGCAGGCTGCACCCCGAGTCCGGGCCTAGAGCTTTGGTCTTGGAGCCACAGGGTGTCTGATTTGCGCGAGGCTCATCCTCGCCTCGCTCAGTCGTCCTGGGCTCCCGACGCAGATGGAGGGCTGGGCTTTGCCAGGAAGTGGGGGCTTACTGCTCACAGCACCATTACCACGTCCTTGGCGCCCCTCCACCTCTGCTCCCCAAACTTGAACCTCTCCAGCCCGGTCAGGCTCCTAGTGTGCCTGTGTCTCTCTGTGAAAATGGGCACGCCCAGAGGAGAGGCTGGTGTAGGGGTTCTAGAGTCTACTGCATGTCAGAATCTTCTGGGGCCATTCCACTGTGAAACCCAGTGAAAGTAGAAGAGTGCAGTGAACCCCTAAGTGATCTTCACCCGCATTCAGCAGTGGCCATGCTCTTGCCACATTTGCTTCATCCATCTCCCTTTCCCCCTTTTCCTAAACAGAACCACAACACCATGGCCCCCCCCCAGTGGGTCGCGATCTAACACCCAGGCCCTGCTCTGGCCCCCGACAGCCTCGAATATGCTTTCCTGGTTGTTTGGGTCCTCATTTAATAAACCCAGATTTTGCATTTGGATTATACAAAGCCTGCAGGAGCCACCTCCCCGCGGTCACAGCTTTATGGGGCTGTAAGGCACACGCATATGAGCCCCAGATTAAAGCCCGGCCTGGTGACTTTGCTACATTCACAGAACTGCGCGCCCTCCGCTACAGCCTGACATTGTCTTCATTTTCTCGCACCAAACAGAAACTCAAGCCTGTTAGAGGGTGGTGGTGTCTGTTCTGCCCTCTGCCCTGTCCCACTAATCTGGGGCTGCCTCCTCTGGACAGTTCCTGTAAAGGGTTTCTGCACCCTGTGAACACCGTGGGTGCAGCTGCTTCCCCTAGGGGGCTTTCGGGCTCCTGCGTCAGTGCAGCGCCAGCGCTTCCCCTCGTGTTCACCGTTCATCAGCGGAAGGCCCACCCCACTTCCCTCTTTAGCCTCAGATATTGTCTGTCCTTTTATTTATTATTATTTTTTATATATATATCCAAAGGAACAGGTTTATTGAAAGGGGACAGAAGAGCAAAGGACGCTTGCGGAGACACAGGCGGGCAGAAAGAGCAGCCCAGTTACTTTCCGTCCTTTAAACGCTGCTCTTTCCCGCATGCCGGCTGCGGTGTTGGGCGTTGCTCTGCCCCCATATTTCCGATGAACTGTGGATGTGGCTGCCTGGCTCCTGGGCCTCAGTCTCCCCAGCGAGGCTGCTGCGGCGTGGTGCGGGGGCTCCTGCCGGGTGGCGTCAGGAGGCACGGGGGTCTCTGTTGTGATGCCAGCCTCATCTTGCAGTGACAGGGCCTCTCCACAGATCGCCCCCTTGGCCTGGTGCCTGGGACTGTAATAGCCTGAGGGCGGCTCTTCTCTATCTCAGGCGGGGTTGCGGAACTGGCGAAATGCTGTCATACTTGTGCAGTGAATAGCTGAGGCTCTTCTATAAAGTGTGATCTCCCTGATCAGCTCTGCTAGTTACCCCAAGAGAAGTCAGGACTGATGCTTAATTCTTTTCCTTCATCCGTTTTCAGAACGGCTGTTGCTGCCTCAGACACCTCCAAAGGTGACCAACATGGCTGCTTTTTCCTTTATTATTATTCCTTATTATTATTATTCCTTTATTATTTGTTGAGTACTTTATATATGCCAGCCCTTTGCAGCCATTACTTACCTGCTTGAATTTCCCCTTCATTAGCTCGTGGGAGCCCCTTGGTCAAGGTGACCTGCAGGTGCTCTAGATTTCCAGCTCCACATGTGTCTCCGAGGAATTTTGAATTCTTTCAGGGAGGAATGGATTGTACACACCACAGTGTGAGTGCAGATTTTTGGCAGTTTCTAGCCCTTTCCAGAAAATACATGTTTTTGAAAAGAAAAAAAAAAAAAATCATGAGTTCATAATGACAATTCTAATTCAAATTCAATGCTCTCTGAGTTCAGACTTGTATATCGCTTTTCTTTCCCATGGAAATCTTGAATTCCTAACTATAATCACTCATGTGTATTATTTTCTATCCCAATCTGATATTTCATTATCCTGTAATACCTTTCAGTTTCAAAAATAATGAAGGACTCCCGGGTGGCCTAGGTATTAAGTCTCAGCTCTATCACCACTGTGGACTGAGTCCCAACCCCGGCTAGGGAGCTGCCAGGGAGCTGACCCACAGGGCACAGCAGACCTCTCCTGTCTCCCTGCTGCTCCCCTCAGCAGTGGATTTCAGTGGATCCATCTGTTCTGTTCCCCATTCTCTCTCTGGTGAATCTTCTCACTGTCCTCCCCCCACCTCTGGCCTGGACCCTAGTTCTTGTATGCATGCATGCATAAAATCAATCTTTAAAAATGTATACCAAAAATAATGAAGCTAATGTTGCTACTAACAAGTAGATTTTTGATGGCGATCTGAGATTTTTTTGCAGCTTTTCGTATTCTGAATGCACTCTATTCAGAATTGATAGACAAAATAATGCCTTCAAAAGTCACCTGGGAGGGTGGGGGGTGGGAAAAGGAGGGGTTGGGGTCAAAATAAGGGGGTTGTAATTGTATGGGGAATATAAAAATAAAATTTAAATTAAAAAAAATCATTAAAAAAAAAAGTCACCTGGGAATAATTCTTTTCTCTATGTGGTTGTGTCACCACCTTGATACACAGTTATGTTCTCTTTCTTTTCTTTTAAGACTGTTTAGAGATGGCTTTTTTTGCTCTTTGATTTTGCTTAACCTCTTGGCTGTGTAAGACTTGCATGCTGGCAAAGCCACCGCGGCTCACAGGACACATCCTGGGGGGCGCATGTCCAGCCTGCCAGCCACCCCACGTGTAGTGCTTTCATCAGTGACTTGTTGATAGCAATACCTTCAGGGTTACTTTTTGAAAATAACAGTGACCCCGAGTTCATTTGTATCCCTCACCAGTCAGACAGTTTGCCTGGAGCTCGCGCCTGTCCGTAGTAGAGATCGTCCTCATTTCTTTTGTGGGTGCAGAATGTCCTGTGGCGTGACCTACATGGTTTATTTGACCAGCCCTGCCGGTGGCCATTGGGGTGGTTCCCATGTCCAGCTGATAGGAACAGTGCTGTAGGGAAGACTCTGCACACAAGTCAGCCGATGTGTCTTTGGCTAGAGTCCTCGAAGCTGGATTGCTGGGTCAGCGGTAAATGACCGCTGGAGTTTTTTGAGAATTTATCGCTAAATTCCTCTCAGTAGGGTGGTATCCTGTGCATCCCCGTGGGCATTGTGAAAGGACTCTTTCCCCATAGCCTGGCCAACAGAGAATGTGGTCAAACATGGAGAAGTTCTGTCTGCCTGGTCACAGATAAGAATGTGTCGGCGTGGAGTTAGTGTGGTCATATGCTGTGCAGGCTACTGATGTGGTCACACGCTGTGCAGGCCCCTGTGTGAAGTGTGCATAGTCACAGATGTTTGCACTAACACCCACTGATGAGAATCTTAGGGGTGTTCCCTGGGGGTTCTTACACACTGGCCTGCTGGAGGACCTGGGATTGGGAACTGCTGCGCAGCGGGTAGTCCCCAAAAACTCAGGCCCTCAATCCCACTGCATCCCGCCACATCTGGCACTATCAGGTAAGTCACCTCACCTGGGGCTTCCTTCTCAGACCTGGAGGCTTCAGCCCAGACGAGCTGCTGGATGGTCAGCAAAGGCAGCGTCACCGTCACGGCCTGTGCTCGCTGGTGCCCAGGGGTGGACGTTGCCGCCCCCCAGAGGCTCCTCCACCACGGGGGCCTCACTGTCACTGCTTTTCATTCCCAGGCCTCCCTCCAGACCTAGAGCACACCCCGAGCCCGGTCAGCGCCGCCCAGGAGGAGCCACGAGAAGGCCAGGCTCCCCAGCGCCCGCCAGACTCGGAGTCGGGAGTCGTCCCGGCTGGGCCCAGCACTGGTGAGGGAGGTGGCCAGGTGGCCCTCTGGTCGGTGTCAGAGAAGCAGCCCTGAGAATCAGCGTGGGGAAGAGGGCTGGGGCCCCTGAGACAGCCCTTGGAGGAAGGGGGGTTTTGGGGAGCAAACAGCATTTTCAGCAGGAGAAAACAGAGGCCTGGTTTCCTCCGTGGAGGGGCTGGAGCGAGGGCAGGGCGCGCAAGGCCCTCACACCAGTTACAGCATGGGCCATCTGTCATCTGCCCGGCACACGCGTTCCTCCCTGCGTGTCCTCACCGAAGGCCAGGGAGGGGCCCCTTCCACTGTCCTCTGCTTGTGTTTAGAGGCGGTCTGTCCACCCTTCCACAGAAGTGGACAGGACTTGGGGCATTTAGCATGGCACGTGGTGACCCAGGGGCCCTCTGTTTCCAGCCTGTACTTGGCCCCTTGTGCCCCTTCCTCCCGCTGGCCTGACCAGTCTCTGGTCAGCTCTGGGCCTCTTCAGTCCTCCCCACCGAGTACTGGCTCCCTGAGGTGGGTGGTGATGTCCCCTCCTTCCCAGCCGAGTCTGGCCTCTGCTCATGGGGTAGGAGAGATGGCCTCTTCTCTTGGTCCCTGGAGCTATGCCTGGGGGCTGCCCTCCATGAGCCCTCTGTCCTTTTGAGGTCCATTGGGGTGAGAGTTGCTGCAAAGGGACGAGTTGCAGGCACCATCTGCCCTGGAATTGGGGGTGTGGCTCCTGGCTCTCCACTCTCTGAAGGGGAGGCTGTGCAGGGACACCCACAGTCTTTAGGCAGAGGCCAGGACATGTCCAGGGCCTGCTCAGAGGCAGCAGCCGTGCCCTTGGAAGGAAAGGCCTCACAGGACTCTCTCACAGGGCCTGCAGCCAGGGCTGGCGCTTTGTCCTCCATCAAGCAGGAGGAAGACTCTTCAGATGGGGAGCTGGCAATCTTCCCTCCCAGGGACCTGGGGCCAGGTGAGTGGGGGAGTGGGGGGGGGGCCTAGTGGCCACTGCAGAGCCTTAGAGTTGCTTTGGGGCCCTGGGGAGCGGGGTGGAGGTGGTTGTGAGGGTTGCTGAGAAGGCCTTGCTCCTGAGGGCTTCCTTCTCACCCCGGGCACTCTTCTCAGAGGGCTCCCCTTGGGAAGGCCCCCCATCGTGGCCCGACCTGGCGGAGAGGGTGCTGCAGGCTCCCAGGTCTGTGGTGGTGATGGGAAGGCTGTTCACATGGTCCCGTTTCAGCATTACGGCAGCCAGGGACGTGGCCGGATCCCTGGGTGCCAAGTCTCGCCGTCTGTGTGGCAGCCTGTGGTTTGAATTTCGTATCCCCCGACCTTGAGTCTGATTTTTCTGTAAAACCAGGCCTACACCGTCAAGAGCAGGGAAAAGCGAGTGTTGCCCGTTCTCCCTGGGGGCAGGTTTCCGTCCCGGGGAGAGGGGTCCTTGTGTGCACACATGCCCCCATGTGCGGGCACCATCTGTCCGGGCACCTGCCTCGGTGGGGAGGCCAGGCCCTGGCGGGCTTCCAGTGGAGCGCTCTGGCAGCCGCGGCCTTCGCAAGGAACAGGGCCTGAGACTCTGGTTCTCCTAAGCTCAGGAATGTCGTGGTCATTAAAATGCACCAATGCTTTACCCCCAAGTTTAGATGATTGGTGACTCTTTAACAGTTCTCTAGCTGTAGGACAAAATTAAAAACAGTTGGGTCATTTCTAACATGGTAATGAAGTTCTGTCATGAATTACCAGTGAGGGTTGTGGGGTAAAGTTTGGAGAAAGGAGACCCCCACCCCCAGGCCTGCCCTCCAGTGGTCTGGCTGGGGCACCCTCCAGAGCAGCTTCCCAGCTCGTGGTTTAAGTTCATGCATCGGCAAGAGCAGAAATCATCTGGTCGTAGGCCCGGACCTGCAGAGGGCGGGCTGTGGGCACCTGAGCGGGCCGCGCGCCCAGCTGCCAAGGCCCTGGTGCTGGCCAGAGCAGGGGGAATGTCTGGGGCTGACCCGGGAGAGGGCAGAGCTGAACAGCCCCCACAGGGCTTGGAAGAATGGTTGTGTCCCCGGGGGCTCCAAGGCCAGGCCTCCCCCTCCTGGTGTTAGGGGCCCAGGGAGCTGCTCCGAGACTGCCTGTTGCTCTGTCCAGCAGCCTTTTGCCTCCCGCCCCGCCAGAGTCAAGTGAGGCCAGCGGGGAGCCGGTCCTCATGCCGCTCTGCTGTCACCTGCCGGCCTGCTGCCGGGCAGGGCGAGGACACACAGCGTGGACCTGTCGTGTGGCTGAGTCCCCAGCCCGTCTGTGGCAGTCAGCACCCGCAGGGCTCACTTCCCTCACAGACAGGGACTCGGGCCATTGGACTCTTGGGTGCCCTGCGTGGTCAGCCTAACTCAGGGCCCAGGTCTCCCTTCGTTTTCCCACCCCTCTCTGACTGACCCCTGACCTCCAGGCTCCCCCTGGCCGCTCTGTCTCCTGCCTCCTGGTGTCTTTAGCGCTCCCTCTAGGGAGGGGCCACTCGACTGCAGTGTGGGTGATGTGTGCAGGTGGTAACTGCCCTGAGGGGCAGGGGCCAGGGCTGGGGGCCCCGGGCCTGGGTGTGCTGAGCTGGTGGTCACTGGAGATTCCTTCCCCAGGCGGAGGTGCGGTGGCGATCAAGGCAGAGGTGTCCTCTGAGGATGAGATGATGCCGGAGCAGCTCCTCCTGGGGGCATCCCCCAGCCAGCCCCCGCGCAGAATTCCCAAAGGGCCCCAGAGCAAGACGGGGGCACCCAGCCGGCTTCACACCTCCGGCATGCCAAGGGTGCGAGCAGGGAGCCCTCGGGCTGCAGGAGCTCTGGGGGAGCCGCCCCGCGTCCTCCCTCGCCGGCGGGAGCGGACCTTCCCTTGTCCTGACTGTGGGCAGAGCTTCCGACTCAAGATCAACCTGACCATCCACCAGCGGACTCACGCGGAGGAGCAGCCCCAGGCCGCCCAGGCCAGCTCGCCCCCAGGCTGGGAGGAAGCCCACTCCACACTGGAGCCAGGAGAGGTGGTGGTGCCCGGCCCGGTCATCCGCTGGCTGCCAGAGGAGCCTGAGGGCCGCCGCTCGCTGGCAGGCCGGGCCTTCGGGGGGCGGCGGCCAGTGGCCACCAAAGTATACCACTGCAGCGAGTGCCTACGCTTCTTCCAGCAGCGCAAGAGCCTGCTGCTGCACCAGCGCCTGCACACCGGCAACAGCCAGGGCTGGCCCTCCTGTCCCTACTGCGGCAAGGCGTTCCGCCGGCCCTCGGACCTCTTCCGCCACCAGCGCATCCACACGGGCGAGCGGCCCTACCAGTGCCCCCAGTGCGGCCGGGCCTTCAACCGGAACCACCACCTGGCCATGCACATGCAGACTCACGCCCGCGGACAGTCCGGACGGCCCTGCCCTGTGTCGGCCCACATGGGGAGCCCCACCCGGCGACCCAGCCGCCTGGAGGAGGGCTAGCCAGGCAGGACCTGGGGGGAAGTGGGGGCCCTAAGTGGGCCTCTCCTTGTGCCTGATGCTGGCTCCTGTTTGGAGATGGCTTTGGAGAGGGAGTTTTGTTTTGCTTTGTTTTTTAGATTTATTTATTTATACAAGAACTGGGGTATAGGCCAGATGTGCGGGAGGGTGAGAGAATTCACCAGAGACAGAGTGGGGAGCAGAACAGGCAGATGGACCAAAGACACTGCTGAGGGGAGCAGTGGGCGAGACAAGAGAGGTCTGCCGCACCCTGTGGGAATCTTCCCCAGCTGGCCGGGAATCGAACCGGTGCTGCAGAGGCCCAGACGGCTTCACAGCACCGCGCTCAACCTGCTGCGCCACCTGGGAGGCCCTTGTTTTTTAATTCACATGGGAGCAGCGGCCCTTTCTGTGTGACCGGACGCCTCAGGGCCTCAGGGCCAGTATGTGTTACTCTGCTGCCGCTTTACATTCCCGATTATAGAGGACCCCTGAAGGCTTAAGGGATGCCGGGTTTTGGAGGGGCCCTTTGGAGGGTACCTGGGACAGACCCTTTGCTGGGTGAGTGGATCAGAGACAGTGGCCCTTCCAGTAGGGGACAATGGCGGCACAGAGGGCCCGGGCTCTGACAACATGGAGGGCTCCCCCCTGGAAGCCTGGGGATCAGCAGTGATGGGCACTGGAAAGTTGAGTTTTCTACTTTTTATTTTGGAGCTTTTCTTTCTCATGAAGTTTTTCTAGTGCTCTGTTAGTGTGGTAGTGGTTGCGAAGGGGACCAGGAGCCACCTCCTGTGTGGGGGGAGGGCAGAGGGGCCACCCAGGGCAGCCTGGGTGGTGATGGGGTGTCTTGGCCGTGCCCAGGAAGTCAGGGGCCCTCCCAGGTGTGTGTGCTCGGCCCAGAGTGACTCCTGGTAGCCTGGATTTCCGCCAGGAGCTGTTCACGCCATATTGATGGCCAGTTGAGGGTGAAAATGAGGACGACTCTTCCCTGACATCTCAGTGTTCCGTGTGTACACCCCTCAGATCGGCCCCCATGGGGCATCCTGGGTGGGGGTGCGGTGGGGGGTGCAGAACAAGCCTAGCAGGTACCTTCCCCAGGAGAGATCCTGGCCCCTTGTGAGGCTGATCTGTCACATCACAGGGGGAGGCTGTCCCTGAGAACTTGGGGTGCTGTGGTGTTGAGCCAGGAGCGCTCCTTCCTTTCCTGTCAGAGGGGACGGGGGAAATGACCACAGTGCTTTCTGCTTCACCTTAGGGTTGTCAGGCCCGGGGACAAGTAGGAAGCCTGGTTTTCCCTTCCAGAAGTTCAGCACCCCTTTCTCTCCCATGTCGATCACCAGCCCTTCCCTCTGGCTGGAACCCCAGGAAGGAATCCCTGTGTATGGAGTGAGCGGCAGGGCTGCTGGGCGCAGAGGGAGCCCCCTCCCCAGTGGGTGACTGCCAGGAGGAGCTCCCCTCACTCCCCGCCTTGTGGAGAATCCGTCCCACACCTGCTGCTTGGGCCTCGAGTCACCCCTTAGGGTGCCATCTTCACACCAGCTCTGCGGGTGGGTGACCGGAGCTCTGCTGATCAGTGCCTTACTTGTCTGGCCTAGTGTGAGGTGGCCGGTGCCCGCCTGCGCCCGGGGCCCTGGCTGTGCCACTCTGCCCTTTCTGAACTCACCCCCCCCAGAGTCAGGGGCAGCGAGTATAAAGTCAGGCCCGGCCAGCACCCCCATGGGGAAGGAGAGTGTCCCCGTCCCTTGCTGTGAGTCTGCTGGTCAGCTCTGGCGCCCCCCACCCCCCAGGGGCCCCACGAGTCAGGTCTGGGCCGGGAGCAAGTGCTCGGAGGGGACCTGGCGCGAGCCTGGCCGTCGCAGCCTGTCCTGGCTGTGAGGGCGGTCGGGGGTTCCTGGGGACGCAGTTCCGAGTCTGGTTTCCCAGGGTAAATGCCGGGGCTCCCCGGAGAGCCGCTCTCCTTCCAGGCGCCCTCGCGTCCGGCCGGACCCCGGGGCTTGGCGCGCGGGCGGGCGGGGGCGCGGGGGGCGCGGGGCGGCGTCTCGCTCGTGGAACAAAGAGCAGCGGCGCCGGGGGCCCGGCCGGGGTGCGGGCGGCGGCGCCCCCGGCGCGCAGTGAACGTCGGCGCCCCGGGAGCGAGCGCGGGGCTCGAGGGCTCGCCCGCGGCGGGGGGCGCGGGGCGGCGCGGGCCCCCCAGGGCTCCCCGCGCCGGGCGCCCGCACCTGTCGGCGCCCACAAAGCCCGGCGCGTGCCGCGGGGGCGGGGCCGCGCGGCGGCCAATGGGGGCGCGGCGCGGGGCGGGGCGGGGCCTCGGGGCGGGCCAACCGCGGCCGGCTCCGGGCGGGGGGCGGGGCCTCCGGGCCCGGGCGGACCCCGAGCGCGGCCGCCCCGCAACCCCCGCCCGCCGCCGCCTGGGCCGCTGCTGCCCGCTCCGCGCGCGGAGCCCGGGGCGAGGCGGGACCTCCGGCGCCGGCTGCGGAGAGCCCGGGGCGGCTGGTGCGGCCGCGCGGGCAGCGGCGCCTCCGGGCGGGACAGCGTGGGACCATGGCCGAGGCGGCGCCCTCTCCGGTAAGGGCGGCCCGGGAAGGTGGACCCCGCCGCCCGCCTGGACCGCGAGGCCCGGCCCGGGGCGGGTGAGGGCGAGGACGCCCCCGGCTGACAGGGCCGGGGAGCTGCAGAGGTCCACGGTGACGGCCCCCCTTGCTGGCCCCCCGCGTGCCCCTTTACAGGCGTGACAGCCTCCCGAGGCCCCCCCAGCCGGACCCTGGGTCGGAGGCGTGGAGGGGGGTGGTGGGCGCCTCGGTCCCTGCGCTCGGGGACTCCCCTTGCGGCTCCCACACCCCCCCTTTCAGGAAGACCCTCACCCCATGGCCATCCCCTTGCCAGCTGTCGTCGGGGGCGCTTATTTCACTCCAGCCTAGGCCCTGGCTTCCGCCCGAGGAGCCTCTTGCTCCTGCGCGAGTCCCGCAGAGCCCTTCAGACCCAGCGCAGGGCCCCTGGGGGTGCACTTGGGCCTGCGAGATGCTCCGGGAAATCCTGCTGCTGCTGGTAGGGGCCTGCCTCATAGAGGACAAGGGGTCAGGCTGAGGTTTGACTTCGTCCATGCTTGGCCAGCCTGTGCAGATAAGGGCTTTTGTACCTGAAGGTAGAAGGAAACCCCCTTCCCCCCACTACAGGTAACTTTCAGATGGTTTTATTTATTTATTTGTGGGACCCTCGCCAGTGGCTGGGGATCGAGCTGGCGCTGCAGAGCCTCGCAACCCAGCGCTCAACCGCTGCACCACCAGGGGAGGCCCAACTTTCAGGTGGTTTTAGAAACGTTCAGAGGCCAGGTTTGGGACAGGGTGTTGCCGAGAGAGATGTTGGTCCCTAAACTGTGAAGACCAGTCCTGCCTCCTCCAGGTCTGGGTTCGAGATTCTTTCCATGGGGGTTCTGGGGAGCCACTGTCTGCAGTCTTTGTGTGGGGGTGGGGTATGTGTGTGGGTCTGACCAGTCAGTGAGGCCTTCTGGTACCTGGAGGAAGTTTCCCCTGCTCCGGAGGACCCTCACCTTCCTCTAGCTGGGAGTCGCTGTGGGCCCCTCTCCTGGTGGCTGACTCGCCTCCTTATGTCTGCTCGCAGGAATGGCTTTTGGGGACCGATCTTCAGCGGGAGGCCCAGGTCCAGTCTGCAGAGATCTCTCTTCTGGCCATCTTGGCCGCAGTTCAGGCCGTGGAGAAAAAGATGGAGGCTCAGGCTGCCCGGCTGCAGAGCCTGGAGGGGCGGGCGGGCACGGCCGAGAAGAAGCTGGCCGACTGCGAGAAGACAGCCGTGGAGTTCGGGAACCAGCTGGAGGGCAAGTGGGCCGTGCTGGGGACGCTGCTGCAGGAGTACGGGCTGCTGCAGCGCCGGCTGGAGAACATGGAGAACCTGCTGAGGAACAGGAACTTCTGGGTCCCGCGGCTGCCCCCCGGCAGCAAGGGGGAGACCCCCAAGGTACAGGCACTGGGCTGGGGTGGAGGTGGAGAGGGCCTGTTTGGACTCAGCAGAGACTCAGACTTGTATCATAGTGGAGGGAGCCTGTTGCCCACCAAAGCCTGACCTCTTGGCACCTAATGCCACCACCGCTGGACTTTAAAGGGCTTGGGGAATGTCAGAAGGAAAGTGAGCCAGCACAGTGGCTGCTATGGCAGGTGGAGTGGCTGTGGCAGGTGGAGTGGCTGTGGCAGGTGGAGTGGCTGGTTGGGAGGGTATGGTTGAGCATAAGGAGTGGCTCAGGTGGGGAGATCACAGGAGGTATATGTGTCAGGCAAGGGGAGGAGAATCAGGAGACCTGGTCCTTTTAGCAGTCGGTCCCTGAAGCTGATGTGCTGAAAATGAGCTTGCCTTTGCCCACATTGCTCATTTGGCCAGCAATGCCTCTGGTTTGCAGGCAGGAGGAGGAGACTGGAGTGGGTTTAGGCCGCTCTCTGATGGGGGTGACCTGTACTTCCAGGGGCCCACGGCCACTGATGACATGGCAGCGTGCTTCTCGGAGCAGGAGTGGGGCAGGCTGGATGACTGGCAGCAGGAGCTCTGCAAGCGTGTCACGCAGGGGATCCCTGAGTCTCTGGTCTCCCTGGGTAAGAGATCGCCAGCCTCAAGGTCTTGGTTTTGCTCTTTTTTTGAATCAGATGGGCCTCCAGGATCTGAACCAACAGTACTGTGAGGTCATGTGACTTCAAGTCTAGGGTGTCCTCGGTCCCCATGCTTAGGCTTTTGGAGATAAAGTGCAGGGAGTGCAGGTGACTTGCCCAAGGTCTCCTGGGGCTCAAGAAAGCTGGCGTAAGCCTGGAGAATCCTGATGGGCCAGTGCAGCCTGCTCTTCCCCTGATCTGTGTCTGTCCCATGTCCCCTGGGAAATCTGAAACCTGCTCCTCGCTGTGCTGCCCCGTCACATGGCCCCAGAGGCTGCTTCCATGCACCCCTGCCAGCCCGTTGACTTCTGGTGAGCCGGGGCCTCCCTTGTTTATAGTTGCCCCGCTCAGACTCACCAAGCTACACTGCACCTTGTGAGTTCCCAAGGAACTCAGCAGAATGGGGGTCCACTGTGGGCCTACTGAGGGTGCCCCAGGTCCAGAAAATGAGGTCTGGCCCTGGAACATCAAATTCTTCAGGCAGTGAATAAAGAACAAGTGTGCACGTGTGAGACACATCTCCATCCAGGTCTCGTAGCTGCCCTGCTCCCGTTCCACCCCTGCTTGCACACCTCAGTTCTTCCACAGCTTTGGGCGGGTAGGCAGTACACCTTGTCCGCTCCCCTCTCTGTGGGAGGCTGAGGCCCAGAGCAGCATGCTTGGCCACAGAGATTCCTTTTCCAGAAAGTCAAGGAGGGTGGGGGGCCTCAGGGAGCACTTGGGACAGAGGGCAGTGGAGGCCTGTGCCTCGGAGTGGACAGTGAACACACCATGCTGAAAGCTGGCTTCCAGGTGCGACTCCTCCACCCAGGCCTCAGTTTCCCTGCGGGGGGCCTTGCTGCCCCAACCAGCTAAGTAAACCAGCTGGTAAACAAAAGAAAGGGCCTCACACCGTGGGGCCAAAGGTTTCCAAAGGGCCGTCCCATCCTCCAGGAACCCCTGATACCCAGTTTGCCGAGGCTGGCTCCTGGCATTTCCCCACCTGTCAATTGAGGTAACTGGACTAGGTGACTTTGGGGTCCTCCTATCTTGAGTTCCACTTCTGCCCCTGTGAGGGCAGCAGAATGGAGCCTTCCCTGCTTCCCTCTGGCCTGTGGATTGTGGAGGCCCCGCCCCAAACTCTGCTTTTTGTGCCTTCTCGAAGGGGATCCGCTCCAGTCACAGCATCTGGAGGCAGGCCCACCACGACCCCTGTGGCTCCGGGCCCTTCCATCCGCATGGGCGGGCCACCCCCGAGCCGGAATGGGCCCCACGAGGCTGGGCCCCAGCCTCCACCTTCATCTGATCTTGGTTCAGGGGTCCCCATTTGGAGAAATAGGAGCAGTGGGAGGTTGATGGCTGTGTCACTCAACTGTCACGCGTCCATGTCAGGGTGTCTGGTGTGGGGGTGCTGTGCCACTTCCCACCCTCGTCTCCCTTAGGCGCCTCCACCGTGACTGAGACTGTGGCGTGAGCTGGGGGAGGGCGGGAGATAGCCCGGACCCCCGGGCCCAGCCCGGGAAGCCGGCGTGAGCTTGCGGAATCCTGACGGGAGGTGGCCAGAGGCCTCCTCCTGCACGTCCCCGGGGCCTGCTCTCAGGCCCTTGGCCCCGGTCCTGCTGCCTTGGTCTCTGGGTGTCTGGGCCCTGGCGGAAAGGGACTGAGTCACTGTCATGTCCCAGGGCTTCGCGCACGCCTGCACACACGGAGAATCGCAGCACCAGCCCTGGAGCCAACAACAACAGCAAAAAACACGACAATAGGGGACCCAGCATGCAGTTGTCATGCTTTATTTTAAAGGGCAGGAAGCCATCAAAACAGCTGGAAACACAGCCCAGGGTCGCGTGGCCACCGTGGTCATGGTGGGGCAGACACGAAGGCCCTGCCAGACACCCAGGCCAGCTCCTGCCTTCCTGGCCTTCTGCTCTCTGGTGTTTTCTTTGGGGAGGAGGCTCCCTTTTAATCAAGTCACCCTGAGCTCCAAGTTGGGGGGAAGGCAGGTGGGGACCAAGTGTTGAGTGACTGGCACCTGAGTCTGAGGTGAAGGTTGGCTTTCAGGGTGGGGAACAGCCAGCCTAGAGGCACAGACAGGTGGGGGCGGGGGTGGGGGGCACAGCAGGATGCAGAGCAGCTGAGGGGGGGAGGGCGGAGTGTGGCCTCGTGGTTTCCGTGGTTTCCCTTCTCTCTCAGGCTGTAGCTGCAGGAGGCTGGTGGGGGCGGTGCTTCCTGCCCCTGGTGTCGGCCAGTCACCAGGCTGGGGTGCCCCCAGGCTCACCAGGCTGGCCCCGCAGCAGGCGTGGCAGGACGGCTGTGGGCCCAGCAGCTCCGGGACGTGCAGGGCTGGCAGGCCTGAGGTGCCCTCCACGACGGGAGTCTGCTCCTGAGTGGGGCCCGGGGGCGGGGCGGTGAGGTCCCCAGGGACTTGGGGCCGGCCCTGTGGTCGGCGGAGCCCTGTGTTCCAGCAGTTGTGAGCTTTGGGCTCCTCAGGAGAGTGTTGCATCCTTCCTCGTCTGAGCTCCTTGCAGAACCTTCTGATCAGACCAGCTCCCCGGTGTGCGGTGGAGTCTGCTCCGTGACTGGACGTCCCCACAGTCTCCTAGGAAAGGGGCACAGGGGTTCTTCCAGCTGAGCGGGGTCTGTGCCCCACAGGCTTCAGTGCAGGCCCACGTCTGAAAACTGAGGCTGGCCAGACGCACCTGCAAGGCGTCTGGCATTTTGACTTTGCAACAGGATGGAGAAACGCTCATGCCTCTGTCTTGGGGCGCCCTCCCGCAGCTCTCTCTAGGCAGCCCCCACTGTCATTCTGGGGCATGACAGCTGCACCCCTCATCCTGGGAACAGAGTCTGGTAGCAGAGTGAGCAATTTGAGTGTCCAGGTACGGGGGGCCTGGAATGGTCTCCATTCATTCAGTTATGTAACAGAAACGGGGCCTACCCTGTGTCCAGGCTGGGGCAGGAGGGAGGAGCAGTCATCACCCCTGTGCCCGAGGTGGCTCCCAGAGACAGGCACACCTTGGCCCGCTCTTGGCCTCGGAGCGCACTCACCAGGGTCACATGTTAGGCGGGCGGGCTGGCTGCTGGGCCAGAGACCAGTGATCGTCACGCACCAAGTGGTGCGGCAGCCGCTTAACAGGGTGGCGCTGGGGGGCCTCGGTTCACTGCCTTGTTTGTAGCCATTAAAAAGGGAGCAAGGAGGCGGCGGGGGGGGCGATCTTTCCGTCTAAAGACAACCCATTTTTTTACTCCTCATTTAATGAACACACATCTAGTGCGCATCGTGGACTTCTAAAAAAATAGATCCAGCCGGGCAGGTTTATTACAGAAAGGGAGCGTAAAGGATGTCTGCACAGACACAGCGGGGCGGGAAGAGCTGCCCTGACAGGGACGGGGTGGTTAAGAGATGCGGGGATCGGAGGCGGCAGTGGGCAGTGGGCTCTCTCCTGGGGGGAGAGCGGCCTCCTGTTTTGCAAGGGAGAAGGTGAGCAGAAACACCTGGATGGCCACCAGTGGGCAGGAGGGCGCGGCTCACCATGTACTGACCACTGTGGGCCCCTCCACGTCCCAGCACCACCCTCTCTTTGCCCTGTTGCAGCCAAGGAAACCGGGGCTGGAGGAGCCAGTAGGTGATCAGGTTTCAGGTGGTGGGGGAGGCAGCACCCCTGCACCCCCGGTCAGGGCAAGTCACGGCCGCATCCACCTGTCAGGAAGGCCCCACAGGTCCTGGACTGGAGGGGGCAGTGGGGCTGGAGGGGTTGATGGCCTCCTCCCAGGCGCTGCCATCCTGCCCGCCTGGCCAGGGCTCTTCCCGCGATGTTGAGCGCCCTAAGTTCTCAGCAGTGCCCAGCACCGAGGCTGCCCCTTATCTGCGTTTTCACTCTCCGCGGTCAGTTGCAGTCCGAAAATAATGACCCGCAGTAAGATATTTTGAGAGAAACCACATTCACAGACAGTGAACTTCCATGACAGGGGGTTGTTAGAGTTGGTCTGTTTTATCCCCGTGGCCCTCGCCGTGCCTGGCGTCCGAGCGAGGCGTGATCACGCGCAGGGCACGCGTCCCCCGCCGCAGGCCTGGGAGCTCGGCCCGCTGTTGCCTTGTGAGCTGACGAGAAAACCAGACTCATCCGAGCTTTCGCTGTATGTGCTTTGCTTCATGGCACAATTTCCAAGAGCCCACTGGGCGATGTTAAGTGGGAACTTTGCTTAAGTGAGGATGGCTGTGGCCACCCGCTGGGGGGCTGGGGATGCAGCCACCACAGGGGAGGGCGCTGCTATCCGCTCGGCCTTGGCGGGGCCTGCAGTCCTGCTGGAGTTGCCTCGCGTGCCTTGTCCCACGGGTGGGAATAGCAAAGAAGTCCAGGTACAGCTGGTGTCCTCAGGGCCTCTTCCTGTCTCCCTAGAAGCAGGCCAGCCAGCATCTCCCCCTAGAGAGCGACCTGGGATCAAGCAAGAGGAAGAGGCATGTGGGGGGCACCAGCACTGCCGCAGCTCCAGGGAGAAGACCCCTGTGCTGGGCTCAGGTAAGACTGGGCTGGGCCTGGGGGGCGGCTGCAAGCTCCTCCCTCAGGGCCTTGCTCGGGAGTGCCCTGAAGGGGGCAGCAGCGAGCAGGCTGCCTGCTCCTTTGTGTCTGTCGGGCCTTACCCAGTTTCCAGACTTCATTTTATGAGCAAGTCTGTAGCCAGGTGGCCCGGGCACCGCGGGCACTCATCGATGCCTAAGACACAGCCACAGAGTGGGCAGCTAGGAGGCGGGCAAAGAGCACCGCAGACAAGCAGTATAAAATAAGCCACCTGTCGGTAGAGCCCCGGGCCGGACAGGCCTGCGAGGGTCTGGGGACAGTCACCAGCAGCGCCTGCGCAGGCACCGGAGCTCACACTGGAGCCAGGACACCTCGTGCGCAGGTCTCGGGAGGTTGCAGGGAGAGAGGAGACTTGAGTGAGGCGGGCAGCACAGCTGATGGGCAGTGGGGAGGTGTTCTAGAAGGAGGGACCCTGGGGTGAGGCAGCGGGGATGGGTGGGTTTTGGGGAGCATCAGGGAGACTAGCAGGGGCTGGCACACTGGCAGAGGCGAATAGGAGGTCTGGGAGGTTGAGGCCAGGAGAGGGACTTCAGTGACAGGCCATGCTGGGCCTGGATCCTGAGATCCCGGGAGAACAAAGTGTGGGTGGCCTGGCTCCAGGGCCAGTGCGCAAGGCAACTCCCTTGCTGTGGCCCTCTGTGTCCCTTCCCGGCAGAGAGCTGGCTGGTCAGCAAGGAGAAGAGGAACCTGGAGGGAGAGCCGGAGGGGCTGGACCCCGCCCGGGCAGCTGAAGGGGGACTTGGCAAGCAAGGCTTGGAGGGGGACACCTGTGGAAACCTGCCTCTGCTGAGGGCCACCCCCAGCCACCCTGCCCCCATGGAGAGAGGGGTGGTCGCCCTTCCTCCAGGCCATCAGGGCCCAGGCGTGGCAGCTGCTGGGTGCTCCGAGCAGCGTGGCCAGAGCCCTGCTCGGAAGGAGCCCTGTGCGCCGCAACCGCGCGCGCCCCACAGCCCGCGGCCCTTCCCCTGCGCTCCGGGTCCCCCGAGCGGCGCGCCCCCGAGCGAGCGCGCCTACACCTGCGCCCAGTGCGGCAAGAGCTTCGTGCACCAGTCGACCCTCACCACCCACTACCGCACGCACACCGGCGAGAAGCCCTACCCGTGCGCCGAGTGCCCGAAGCGCTTCGGCCGCCTGTCCACGCTGCTGGAGCACCGGCGCACGCACACGGGCGAGCGGCCCTTCCAGTGCGCGCAGTGCCAGCGCCGCTTCGGCCGCCTGTCCACGCTGGTGGAGCACCGGCGCACGCACACCGGCGAGAAGCCCTTCCAGTGCGCGCACTGCGAGAAGCGCTTCACGCGCCTGGCCAACCTGACGGTGCACCAGAACGCGCACCCCGGCGAGCGCGCCTTCCAGTGCGCCCAGTGCGGCAAGCGCTTCGCGCAGAAGCCCGGCTTCCTGCGGCACCTGCGCGGCCACTCGCAGGAGAAGCGGCAGCCCTGCGGCCAGTGTGGCCAGAGCTTCACCTGCCGCTCCTGGCTCATGCGCCACCAGGGCGGCCCCGCCAGCCAGGCCGCCCCGTCTTGCGTGGCCGGCGAGAGGGGCTCCCCGACCGATGAGCCCCCGGCCGGCTTCCTCAGAGGTGCCGCGTGGGGGCGGCCCCCCAGGGACCCTTCCGCCGCACCCGGGTGTGAGAGCTCGGGGCCCGAGCAGGGCCCCCGGGGGCCTTCCGGGAGCAGGCGGCTGGGTGGCAGCGAGCGGGAGGGTCTGGGGGGCGCTCTGCAGAGCCCGCTGTCCCGCGTGAAGATGGAGAATGCGGGGTAGCACCGAGAACACCCCTGAGGGGGCCACTGAGGGGGGCGGGGCACCTAATGCCCTGTCACAGCCGGGTCTCCAGGGGCCACTTCTCAACCCCGCAGGCATCTCCGTGCTGTGGTCCAGGCCTCCACCGGGGCTGTTCGCCCAGGGGCCGCAGGCTAGGCCGGGTGCCCGTGGCGTCTTCGCCCAGGGTGGCAGAGCCGCAGGAGGGATGCAGGGCTGGGTTGAGCCGCCCTGCCTGAGGCTGTGGGGAGGGGCTGCTGGGGGGTGGGAGAGAGGGCTGGCTCCTTCCCCTCCCAACTGGGGAGTGGGATTTGGGGCAACACCGGGTAGGAGAGGGCAGGAGAGCAGGCGGCTCCCGGGCTGACTTCTGATCAGAAGAGCTTTCTCCTGAGAAGCGGCCGGAGGCCTGGCGGGGCTGCAGCCTCTCAAGGAACAAGCAGTGGCCTGAGGCCCCGCAGGCGTGAACCTGTGAGCCCCGGTGACTTGTCAGACCCACAGAACCTGCCCCGGACTGTCCCTTTTCCATACCCTTGGAAAGGCAGCTTGGGGGGCCACCTTGTCCCTGAGAAGCCTGGCCAGGCTGCGGCACGGCACCCACCGCTGGCTGTCGTGGCCCCATGTGGTGCTGGCAGCTGCTGCGGGATTTGCCATCAAACCCGGTGGGGCCTGTGGGGACTGTCTGCCCGCGGGCCTTGCAGGCTGGGCACGGAGTGCAAGGAAAATAAGGGCCAGTTCCTGGCCGGGGGCTGTGGATGGGTCACCTGCCGTCATGGGTGGCACCTGGCATGGGGATGCCAGCGGCCAGCTCAGGTGGCAGCAGGAAGGAGCCCTTGGAAGTGGAGAGAACGGGGAGGAAGGTGACCTGGCATGGCTGCTGGCAGCCGAAGGGACCTGAGAATCTGCAGCCCGCCCGCCACCTGTGCACTTTCCACCAACAACTGGCGCTTGCGGCACAGCCTCCTGAGCCGCCGGGCGCGGCACCCTGCCCTTCCACTCGGCAGTCCGTCTCAGATGGCAGCCAAGCGGGCCCCAGCTGTGCCCTCAGCGATCAGACGGCCCCCGCCCACCTCCCTCAGGATTCCCTGGGAGCGCGCGCACCCCACGACCCGGGCACCTGGAGGGTGTGCGCGTGTTGTCCTAGGCCAGCCCTAGGCCGTCCCCCTCGAGAGCTGGCGAGGGCCCTGGGCTTGCCCACCCCGGAGCTGGCCTGCCCTGCCCACCGGCCTCTGTACATCGGGCACGTGTTCACCGGGAATGACCAGTCCCTGCGGCCGCCAAGCGCTTGTTCTGGTGCAGTAACTGATTTCAGATTCCGGGGACCAGTGGGGGTCTCCGGGGTTCCCAGCCGAGCTTCCTTTCTGCACTGGGGGAGTGGCCCGGTGGCCCCAGGGCAGGACCGGCCGGGAGCGGCCAGGGCGGGGGCTGGGGTGGGCCCGTCTGCGGAATGAATAAAGAGGTTCCCACGCCCGGTGTGGACGTCCCTCTGGCGCCGGTTCCCACACTCCACACTCCCGCCCTCTGCCTGGCGCTCGCCCCCAGAGATCGGCCCCCTCCCGGCGCGGGGCCCTTCCGTCAGGAACCCCCTTTATTCTGCGGCTCCTTCGCGATGCGCCCGCTGCCCCGTGACCCTCACCAGTGCGGGCCGCGCCCCTAGTCACGTGCCCGGGCTGGGGCAACACCCGGCGCGGGCCCTGCCGAGGGGCGCAGTGCCCACGGCTGCCGCTCCTGAGCCCGCGAAGAGGCGCAGCCCCGGGTCGGGGGTCAGATGCGAAGGCGACGTGAGCAGGCTGTGGCTGCCCCGAGTTCAGTCACCCGCTGGCCCCGCTCAGCCACGGCCCTGCCGGGTAGGCCCGTCCTGGAGAAGCACGGCGGGTGGGGGGGGCCCCCAGTCTCTTGCAAATTCTCTTTGACCCTCCCTGTCCCGCCCCCCTATTTTTCCGGGCGAAATCACAGCCCAGGTATTCCTTGGCCCAGAGTCGCGCGTGAGCAGCTGGCGCTGCCGAGGGAGGATCGCGGGGTCCTGCTGACCAGACCCCCGCCCCCCGCAGGGCCACCCGGCCAGGGCGCCAGCGTGGGGGGGACACTGGCTCTCGCCGCTTGAGACGCTCACCCCCCCCTGCCCTCCCCAGGCCACCCTCCCTCAGCTTCTGCGGTAGCCGATGCCCCCGGCCGCCCGTGCCCAGCAAGTCCCAGCAGCCGGGGCTGCCCGTGGCCACATCCCCGCCCCGCCCCGCGGCAGAGTCGCGTGGTCTCCGCACTGTCGCTGGCCCCTGCCCATCCAGCGCCCTCCTCTGGGGCCCGTGCAGTGGCGGCTTCTGCCCCCACCTTCCTCCCTGGGGACTGCCACGCGCACACAGACCCGCCCGACGCCCAAGGGTCGCTCAGCCCCGCGGCCCCTCCAGTTCCTGCCCGGTGCCTCGGGTGCCCTGTCTCAGGAACGTCCCTGAAGACCCTCTGTTCACCGGCTCGACTCCCGCCCGCCCCGTCCAGCCTCGGCCGTCCAGCTGCCATTTCTCTGGCCCCTGGAAACAGCCCTTATCCAGCCAGCGGTGACCGCACTTGGCCGGCATCGGGCAAGCCAGAGGCACCTTGTCGGCCGCCCGCCCTCCGCCCTCCGCCCGCGGGCCTGGCTGGCTTCTCGCCTGACTCCTGCGCCCGCCTTCAAAGTGCATTTACACGGCGCTGCCTCCCAGGCAGGTGTCCGCAGCCCGGCCCACCGCTTCCGCGAGACCCCAACATCCACCTGACCTTGGTGTCTACCTCAGCTTGCCCGGCGCGAACCGTTGCGTCCCCGCCCTCACCCCCCCTGGCTGGGCACGGGCGTGACCGTCCACGCCGCGGTCCGGCCCTAAGCCTGGGACTCCAGCTCCTCCCCGCTCGCCTCCCACCCAGCCCTTCGCAGCCCTGTTTGCTCGGCTTTGAAGATGCTTCCTGGGCCTGAGCGCGGCCCGCGGCCCCGGCGCCCCAGCCATCTCTCCGCACGCCCCGGGCGGCCCGCTCCTCGGGCGTCACTGCTCCCCGCGGCCGCCGGGCTGTTGTCAACGTGCAGCTCCATCATGTCCTCCCCCCAGCGCCTGGCTTCGCCCCGCTGAACATGCATCTTCAGAACCTTCCACGACCGAGGCCGGGGCCTAGAAAGGTGGGTGGGTGCCTCGGCTCCAGGGCCAGCGCGCCTGGCTTCCCCAGGGGTGCTGCTGTCCCTCCGCCCGCGGTGGACTTGGCGCGAGCTCGTGGGTCTCCGGGAACAGCGCCTGCGGCGGCGCGTCCTCCGTGGAGCCCCCGTGGCTGGAGTCACCGCGCTGGCTTGCGGCCCACACAAGCTGAACTTTTCTGAGGAGCCTGTCACGCGCCTCCGTCTCGAAACTCATCCTCAGCCGTCCAGCTGTGCTCCGCGGCCGCCCTGCCCGCCTCTCTTCCCGCAGCCCTTCTAGCGCCTTCCTTTGCCATTTTGGCACCTCCCGCGCCATCTGCCGGCGCATCCGTGCCCCAGAGCCCCCCCTTTCTGCTGCCTCGCTCCCTCCTGGCCAAGCCCTGCTTCTGAGAAGCCGCTGGAGGGGAGAGGCCGCTACACGGCTGTCACTCAGAGCCTCCCCGTCCGCTCCCCTTGTTAGGGGACCCCTGTCTCCCCGGCACCTATCGCCGCCTGAGGTGTCTCTTCTTGGCTGCTGTTGCGCTGGCACCGCCCCAGACTCGCTCTGCCAGGGCAGCCGCTGCAGCTGTGACGTGTGGGCGTGTCCGGCCCCCGCGGGAAGGGTCTGCTAAGTCAACCCCCAACATGGGATGGGCTGACACGAGGGCTCCAGGCGGGGTGCGGCCAGCCACGGGGCGCCTCGGGTCTGCAGCACGCTGGGTGGCGGCCTCCCCTCCCGTCCAGCAGGAGAGCCCAGGAGCCGCCCACTCCAGCGAGCCCAACAAGGAGGCAGGTGAGGGGCACCGGGAGGAGCCCCTGGGACCTGCTGCTGGCGGCGGAGGCACCGCGGCGACCTGCACCCCAACGCTGCGGGTAGAATCTGGATTCCGTGGCCGGGGGTCCAGCTGTGCCTCGGAGGCTTTCGCTGGAGTCGGGACCTGTGGCAACCGAGGGTCGCTTTACACAGTGCCAGCCGCGCGGCCGCATGCGCGGGTGGTGCTGGCTGGAGCAGGGGACGGTGCCATGGAGACGTGTGGCCCTGGGCTGTGTCCAGGGGGCGCCCCACTGAGGCCGCCAGTGTTCCTCTGGAGTCGGCGTGGCGGCCGAGCCTGTCTAGCAGGGAGCGGCGCCCTCGGCAGCTGAGCGCGAGGCGCGTGGTGATGGGGGCCGGGATGAGGGGTGACTGTTGCGCAAGGGCACCCCGTGAGACCTGGATGCCGGGGTGCGGGCCTTGGGGCAGCGAGAGGCCTGTGGCTCCAGAGCAGGCTCACGGAGCGCTGGGTCCCAGAACAGGGGTTCGCAGTGACCGGTGAGGCTGGGGTCCCCCGGGAAGGAGGGGAGGCGGCCAGGAGCCCGGGCGACTGTGGCGGGAGCTGGGCCGGGAGGCGGGCGCAGTGTCACACGCGGGAGCCATTTTGGAGGCCGGGAGCCATTTTGCGGGCCTGGGGATGCGGAAGGGAGGCCGGGTCGGGGCGACTGCACGGTGGACGGGGCAGGCCGGGCCCGGGGGCTCAGGGGCGAGGCCGGCGGGCAGGCGTGGGGGCCCCTGTGTGGTCCCCGCGGTCCTGGCACCGCCTGCGCCCGCCGAGCCGGGGCCCCCCGCCGCCGACCCCGCGGGGCGCAGCTGCGCCTGAGACCCGTCCCTCGCCCGGTCCCCCCCCTCGCCCCACACCGCCAGGCGGACCCCACTTCGCTGAAGGCCCGGTGGCGCGGCCTGTGGGCCCGAGACAACCGGGGGGCGGGGGCACCTGGTCTGGGGCGCAGGGTCCGGCTCAGGCGCTTCCCGCCCTGCAGAGACCCCTGGTGTGTGGGGTGCGGGCTTCCCCAGGCTGGGCCGCCGCCCCTGCCCACGGCGGGCACGCGGGGTGGGGGCCGTGGAGCCAGAGCCCCAGGAGGGGAACGTGCCAGAGGGTGTGTGGGCGCCAGAGCCTCGAGCGCGGGGCGGGATGAGGGCGGGGTGTCGCGGGGTGTCGAGGGAAGCAGCTCTCGGGAGCCCGCCGTGTGCCCGGACCCGTCGTGCAGGTTAACAGGGTGCAGGTCAGGAGCCACACGCGGGCCCGGGGGTATAGCTCAGGGGCAGAGCATTTGACTGCAGATCAAGAGG